ACTTGACTTATCAAAAAAATTCTCTCCACTTGATATTACTGCTGGCCTCAATCCGTTGTTCAAAAATGGGAAACTTTGAAAGACATTCTTGATCAGGATTGAACCTTTGCAGTACTTTAAGAATGAGACCATTAATAGTCACTTTGCTAAGGGCCTCTTCAATGAGTCTTGAACAATCTCAGATCTGACCACGACGAAAATGATCCATTCGAATATAATGGCACTGTGACGGCATTAGGCACAGAGAGAAACAGTTGCCAGGAAAGAACTCTAGGAGCAGATGTATAAGAAGGAGAGAAATATAAGATTACAACAATTTTAGGGTATATTAACATTTCAATAAAAACTTTTGGACTCTTCCAGCTGAACATCTTCAGCAATCAGTAATAAATTTTTCCTTTCAACCTTTTTTAAATTGAAACTTTATCTTTTTAGATGGTATTAAACATAAATTGATTGGAGAATCGCTCAATTTGTTCAAACATCCAAGACTGTTGTCCTCAACCGTAAGTTCCTTATCCCTTAAAACATCATTCTTCTATCATTTAAGAATATTGCTCCTTGATCGAATAGAGCAATCATATTTTCGCATACTGTATAAAAGTTGTCCTAAGATGAAGTTGGCTTGTCAAAATGGATAAAGCTTCAGTTCACTATAGTCTAATCAATGGGCTTATACGATATTGATGCTCGAGTTTAAGGAGGACTTGAATGAAGGTCTAGATGCTTCAAGCTTGATTTTTTTTTTTTTTCTCTCATTGAGATCAGGTAAATTTGTAGTTGACAAAGGTCAATACATTCACAATAGGATGTAAATGGTTAAAAAAATCATTTAATAACTCTCTATTTTTAACTCTCTTTACTCTGCATAAACTGGACGATAGTAAAAAGCCACCTCTTTGTTAGGTTTGAAAAACTCACCATAGCATCCGTGATAGAATATGACAAACAAGCCATGAAAACAAGGGAAGCATAAGCAACACAAAGAATGGCAAAAAATACTTACTGGGAGTCAAAACAAAGTGCTCTTATTTGTGCCTGTGCCTGACCGAGGTCCTCCCTATTCAAGGTGCAGACAGATATACTCGTCGTGACCTTCTTATCAATATCGACGGTGATGATGGCCACATCTTGAACTTTGGGAGTTCTTTCACAGAATTCAGTCCTGGCCACACAAAATGTTCTATTTCCCAAATAAACAAAACTCGAAGTGTTGAACCCATACGGATCCACGGGTGGATCCAAAAGACACGTAATTACTTGTGGAGCGCTAAGAGTTTGAAGATACCATCAGCAGAAAGGCTGAAACCATGTGCAATCAAGCAATAACTCTGTACCAAAGTGTATACTAAACCATCAACATATTCAGCTTTTCCATCAAAGGAGTAATATGTCACCCCCTCGTTTTCCTTTTCGACGGCCCGCCACTCCTTCATTGAACTCCCGACTTTGTAACAGAAGAACTTAGCTAACTTACCAGTACTTGCATCTTCAACTGAAATGAGAATATTGTCCTCCACGACTGCGTGGCCGGAGACAGTCAAGTTAGTCTCTTGCGGCAGAAGGTTGTCAGGTAGGATAGCAGAATCATCCCACACCCGCTTAAGATGATCAAGACGTTCAAATGTCGGAGATTTTATGTAAGAGCACGAACGCATGGTATCTGCGCAAAGCACATAAAAACCTCTTTCATGCACCGCCATCACTCTGGGATAAGGTTTTTAACTTTAGGCTTTGGCAACTCAGCGAACTCTTTGGTATTTGTATTGAAAAGAAGGGGTTGGAAATGGGTTAATTTGTGCTTACTCGTTGGACTATACGAACCCATCAAGCATATCTCTGAACCTATCATATCACAAGTAACCGGTGAATAATATCTTTCTTCAGGGCAAGTAAAGAATTTCACCGGAGGATCAATAAATTTAGCTCCTCCGCCACCAACTTCGATCTCATATATTGCACCACTTGGGTCTAGCTATCTCTTTATTTTCTTTTTCTTTTTTCTCTGATTTATTCTAAATTTTTTGAATGCTAATCAATTCCATTATTCACTCTTTCTTGTCTTGGGTACATAAATTTTTAAAATTGTATTTTTTTTAGAATAAAGTGCAAAAAAAACTCCTAACTTTTTTTAAAAATCATTAAACTCTCCAAATTAAGTGTGTTTCCTGAATTATTCAAAATATGCAATTTAATGAGAAAATCAGAAGTCACGACGAGTTCTGTAATTCTATATCTATATATACTATTATTAAAAGTCTAAAGACTTTTACTATTTCAGTATTTATTTATTAATATAAAAAAATATTTATTAATTGATATAAAAATAGTTTTTAAAAGAGTATCTATAAAATTTTGACACAAATTACTTATTTATCTATCTATTAGGATTTTTTCAATTAAGAAAATATAATTAGACAATAATTATTATTACAAAAAATATATTTATTAATTGTTATAAAAACAGTTTTTATAAAACTTTAACACAAATTTCCTATTTATTATGATTTTTTAAATAAAGAAAATATAATAAGACTATAATTATTAATGTAAAAAATATTTATTAACTGATATAAAAATAAAATAATTTCTCTAAAACTCTACTACAAATTACCTCTTATTATGAATTTTTTAATTAAAGAAAATATAAGGATATATTTAAAGAAAATAAAATAATTTCTATAAAAGTCTACCACAAATTACCTATTTTATTTTCAATAAAAAACAAATTACCTATTTATCTATTTATTATGAGTTTTTTCGTAAAATGAAATCTAATTAGACAATAATCTCAATCACATTAGACAAGGATATATTTAAAAAATTTCTATAAAACTCTAACACAAATTATTTATTTATCTATTTATTATGAGTTTTTTAATAAAATGAAATATAATTAAACAATAATTATTAATATGAGGAAATCTAATTAGACAATATATATTTTAAGAAAATAAAATAATTTTTATAAAACTCTATCATAAATTATCAGTTTTATTTTAAATAAAACTCTTTTGTATTAGACTAAGGATATATTTAAAGAGTTTCTATAAAATTCTAACACAAATTACCCATTTATCTATTTATTAACACAAATTACCTATTTATCCATTTGTATCTATTTATCTATTTGTTATGCGTTTTTTAATAAAAGGAAATCTAATTAGACAAGAATTATTAATATAAAAATATATTTATTAATTACTATAAAAAGAGTTTTTAATAGAGTTTCTATAAAACTCTAACACAAATTACCTATTTATATATTTATTATGAGCTTTCTAATCAAAGAAAATTTAATTTGACAACAATTATTAATATAAAAAATATTTCTTAATTGATATAAAAAATAAAATAATTTTTCTAAAATTCTACCACAAATTACTTTTTATTATGAGTTTTTTAATAAAAGAAATCTAATTAGACAAGAATTATTAATATAAAAAATATTTATTAATTCTTATAAAAAGAGTTTTTTAAAAAGTTTTTATAAAACTCTAACACGGTTTTTAAATAAAAGAAAATCTAATTAGGCAAGAATATATTTAAAGAAAATCTAATTTTTATAAAATCTACCACAAATATTTAGCTATTTTATTTTCTATAAAACTTTTATCACTTTATCTATTTATTTTGAGTTTTTTAATAAAATAAAATCTAATAAAACAAGAATATATTTAAAGAAAATCAATAATTTCTATAAAACTCTACCACAAATTAGCTATTTTATTTTTTTTAAAACTCTGTCACATATAACATGTATTTATCTATTTACTATGAATATATTTAAAGAAAATTAAATACATTCTATAAAATTCTACCAAGAATTACCTATTTAATTTTCAATAAAATTCTATCACATTAGATAATGATATATGTAAAGTGTTTCTAAAAAACATTAACACAAATTACTTGTTTATCTATTTATTATGAGTTTTTTAATAAAAGAAAATCTAATTAGACAATAATTATTAATGTAAAAAATATTTATTAATTGATATAAAAATTAAAATAATTTTAACACAAATTATCTATTTATTTATTTATAATGTCTATCACATATAAAATGTATTTATCTATTTACTATGAATATATTTAAAGAAAACTAAATAATTTCTATAAAACTCTATCATAAATTACCTATTTTATTTTTAATAAAATTTTATCACATTAGATAAGGATATATTTAAAGAGTTTCTATAAAAGTCTAACACAAATTACCTATTTATCTATTTATTATGAGTTTTTTAATTAAAGAAAATCTAATTAGACAATAATTATTAATATAAAAAATATTTATTAATTGATATAAAAAATAAAATAATTTTAACACAAATTATCTATTTATTATGAGTTTTTTAATAAAAGGAAATCTAATTAGAAAATTATTATTAATATAAAAAAAATTATTATTAATTAATAAAAAAAAGAGTTTTTAAAAGAGTTTCTATAAAACTCTAATACAAATTACCTATTTATCTATTTATTATGAGTTTTTTAATAAAAGAAAATTTAACTAGAGAATGATTATTAAGGTTGCAATAAAGAAGCACATTTGGCACTTGTTTAAGTCTAAAGATATGCTATAGGTTCAATGGGTTAACACTTACCTCCTTAGAGGAAGAAGCCTTTGGGAAGTCACCACTAGTCAGTGTTCTTGGACTTAGAGGAAGCTTCTCTAACTCAGACCAGCCTTTCAACCCCTTGTCAACCTAGAAATTGGGGATGGACAAAGCATCAATTTCTGGTTTGACAATTGGTGTTACTTTGGCCCTCTTCATCAACTCATCTTTCCTCAACAGCTTACTGCCACCTCCCATGACACCACAACTAAACTTGGCTCCTTCATCACTAACACATCATGGGTTTTTCCCTTCTCTATCACAAATATCCTTCCACAATTACACCTTACAAATAGGCTGCCATCACCAAACTCCCATAACAAGGACAAGCTCACATGGATTCTGTCCTCAACTGGAGAGTTCTCAATTGCACTAACCATGAAGTTTCTTAACAGGCAGTTGGCGACTTTACCATGGACTCACTTAGCTTGGGGGAAACCATTAATTCCTAAGCATGCGTTTACACTGTGGATTGCTATCAAGCAAAAACTTTCAACCCTGGACAGAAAATGTACTTCACACATTGACTCGGTCACATGTGTCCTCTGTAACAATGCTCTGGAATCTCATGACCACCTTTTTTACATGTGTCCATTTGTTAAGCCTTTGTGGACATTTATACAAATACCTTGTGGGTTCTATATCCAACCGACAAATTGGGCAAGTTTGATCTCATGGGCGGCTTACCATTGGAGAGGGGAAGGTTCTTCTCACAGTAGCTCATTCTCGAGATTGGCATTGGCTTCCTTGGTCTACAATGTTTGGGCAGAGCATAATCGGAGGATCTTCACGGGGAGAAAATTGACTCAGAACTCACTCCTTCATCTCACATTGGACTCGGTAAGAGCTAAACTCCTATCTACCTCCATCAAGGACTCTACCACTAGAAGACAGATTGTTGAAGAATGGAATCTGCCGAGCTCTGTTTTGCGTCAGCCGGCGAAGCCGCCGGACATCTAATTGTGGAGGTTCCTTCCATGTGCTGACCGGATTGTTCCTATTTGTGTTTGGGTTGTCGCCTTTGGGCTTGTCTCCTTTTGGATTGCCTTTGTATTTTCCTTTGGGCTTTTCTTGAGCCTTCTTTTTGGGGCTGAACAGTCCTGTTATCTATAAATTCAATTTACCTTTCAAAAAAAAAAAATCGAGGTCGATGCCACAAGGACAAATTAAATCTAAAATTATTATTTAACTAATTCAACAAAAGATTTGATACTTTAAATACCTATTATACCCATGTCAGTTGTCTCTTTTCATTCTTCCTCTCTAAACATCATTTAAAATATAAGTTTCATTCTTATATAAATTGCTTGTTTATACAATCATATATTACTAATTTAATTATTTGTATTTTTATGTGTGCATCCAAATTTAATTTATTTTTGATATTTTTTTCACTTTTTTTTTTCCTTTTTCGAAAGGTCTTAAATTAGTAAAACATTTTTTCTCATAATTGATAATGATTGAGAGTTGTTATATATTTACGTAACTATTTGTTGATAAGAGTGTTAGGTGAAAACTGAGTTAGTGTTGAGATTCTTGATCAACGATTTAAAACTCACATATAGTTGATCGACGCCTATTCATGTACGTGGTATCATAGTCTTCTGTGTGTGTTCAAACCAGTGCCAAAACTCTAACTATACAAATACTCCAAAGCTCACATTTTTTTTTGTACAAGCAGAAACTATAGTTCTGCCTTTCTAAGAATATGTGTTAGTTTTTATATTGATGAAGCATTTTTAAAAGTAAAAGCAATATAAGAATTTAAACAAATAAATCTTCTTCATCTTCTCCTTTTTTGGCCCATCGACCCGTGACATAAAAAATTCGGTTTATCAAAAAGATTATTTTTCTCAATTTTTAAAAAATAATAATAATAAAGAGAAATAAATAATAAAAATAAAGCTAACATGAGAAAACTAATATTTTAATCCACGTAGGACAAGTGAATATATATATATATATATATATACACATTATTCTATTCCATATTTCACTATTTTCTTACTAAAATAAATAATTAAGTATAAATAATAATCATCTAACATAAATTTATTTATTTATTTTACGATTTGAATTTATAAGGGTATTTTTGGTAAATAGAATCATTTTATTTTCCTTTTCATGCTATATAAACTAACAAAATAAAATTTTCCCACAATTTTCTTCAAAATTTTTCTTCCTAACCAAATGGATGATGGAAACTTAATTTTCCTTTCTTTCACTTCACTTTATTTCACTTTCACTTTTTATAAAATTTTCTGTCTAACCAAACTGAGCCTTATAATATTTTTTTAAACTCATAGATGTTCTATCATTGGTTAGACATAAATTCATAAAAAAACAACTATTTATCCATGGTCAGAAATAAATAATTATAATTTATTATTTTTTTTTCTCAACTAGACCTATGTAGATTAGTGATTACTAATTCTTGATTACGCATTTCAAACGGGTAGGTTGCGTTTCAAGAAACGGATTTGAGCCTCTCAGTTCAGGCCCAACTAAAAACAAAAGGAATGGGGTATCTTGTTATCTGTCGGGCCAAATTGTCAGTGGGTTACAAAGAAAAGGAATTAAGCCCAATACAATTCCCGTTAGGTGATATAGGTCTTTGAAAAATGACCCAAGACAGAATAAAAAGAAGATGGGTACTGTTTGAAGGACTTTAATTGGGTCAAGCCTAAGGCCCAATCCGAAGGAAGTGGAATTCAGCTGAAAAAGCAGCCATTGGGTCAGCAATGTCAGAGCCCAGCCCAAATCCTATAAAGATACCCATTAATCAATTGAGTTGACCTCGTTTTAAACCCGCTAATCACAACTCTCTCCATGCATCTTCTTCAAGGCATAGGGGAAAGTTGGGTGCAATGGGACTCAAGATGACGACCTTGGGGACCACTGGTAAGGGCCGCAGATGATGTAATAAGGCAATGGAGATTTGTTCAAGAAAGATTTCATTTGGGATTGCTGTTGAACCATTTTAAAGCTCTGTTATTTTAAATTTTCACCACTAAATGTGTTTGTTATTTAAAAGACGTCTTTCTGTTTATTCATTATAATTTGATAAGTAATACAATTATTTCTTGCAATTTTATCCATTAAATTTAAAATTAATAGGAGAATCGCTTGATTTTTTCTCTCTCAAAATTGCCAGTTGCAAAGGTCAATACAATCAAAATAGGATGTAAATGATTAAAAAAACTTTTAACAACTCTCTCTCTCTTTCTTTCACACACACACACACAACTTCATGCATGTCAACAACCTAAAAATAGTGTTAACCAAGTAAAAGTGTAGAATTAAGGGTATGGTGCATATGTGTGAGGATGTATATTTTTAATGTGCGAGTAAAATAAAATGAGGAAAAAGGCAGAAGAAAAAAAAAATTGAAGAAAGTGGAGGGTGTTGTGGGGTGGGAGTGGGGGTTACACACAGGATTAAAACATTTGACCACTATATATAAATGTGTGTGTGTGTTTGCGCGCCTGTGTATAAAAAAATAAATTTCTCCTGAAATCAGCATCCATCCATCATTTTGCACAAACTATAATTATAAATGTGATTTCAGTAATGATTCATATACCCAAACTCAATCCTACTCTTTTCCTTAATGTTGGGTTAGTTAGGAAAGAAAAAAATTAGATGGAAGAGAGAAAAGAGGGGATGGATGAGACATTATTAGGAAAGAGATTATGTATTTCATTTTTTTTGTTAGTTTGAATAGAAGAGAAGAGAATAACCTAATAATTTACTATATTCGTTAGGAGAGAACAAAGAGAAAATTTTAATTGTTTTTACCATTATATCTAATAATATTTATAATATTGTAATTTATAGAGGACAATATTGTAATTTAAAACTTGTATAAATTAAGATAGTATTTAATTTAAAACTTTTATAATACTCATTTGTCTTTCTTCCTTTCTTTCACCTATTTTTTGGCGGATGAAAATTTGTAAATGAGTTATCCTTCCTATTATCCTTTCCTTCTTTATATAACAAACAAACGAAATTCGTCCTTTCTTTCCTATTTTCTCTCCACATCTCTTTTTTCATTCTTAGCAAACACAACATAAATCTTTTTTGGGGTGAATACACTTGTACTGCATTTGTTTGGTATACAATTTAAAGTAGGAATGACCATTCCATTGGAATGAAAATCCATTCCATAACTAAACCTATGGAATGACCATTCCATTTCCAAATAATTTTTAAAAAAAAAAAAAAAACCCAACTTCCCAAAATACCCTCATGTTCTAAATCCAAAAATCACCACCATCTTCCACCATAACCACCTCCACCTTTTACCACCACCACCACTACCCCCACCGCCACCTTCCACCACCACCACTGACTTTCACCACCACCCACCGCTTTCCACTACTGCCACCACCTTTCACCACCGACATCGCCTTCGTTTGCCCCAGCCATCGCCGTCGCCATCGCCTTTCACCACCGCTACCGCCGCCACCGTCACTGCTACCACCTTCCACCACCACCACTACCGCCTTCCACTGCCACCACCTTCTTTCACTACCGCCACCACCTTCCACCACCACTGCCGCTATTGCCTTTCACCACCGCCACCGCCACAACAGTCTTACACCAGCACCACCACCACTTTTCACCATCACTGCTACCACTACCACCGCCGCCGCCATCGCCTTCCTCCACCTTTTACCGCCACCTCCAGCACCAGCGTCTTACACCACCACCACCACTGCCGCCGCCATCCACCATCACTACCTTCCACCACCGCCGCTACCACCACCGCTGCCATCGCCTTCTACCGCCACCACCTTTCACTACCTTCCATTACCACCACCAACACCGCCACCACCTTCCACCACCACCTTCTTCCACCACCACCATCGCCATCGCCTTTCACCACCTTCCATCACCACCATCGCTACTGCCTTCCACCACCTCCACCACCTTCCACCACCACCAAAGTTACCTCCTTTGGCTTCCACCACCGCCACCTACACCACTATCTCCTTCCACTAGCACCAACACTCTTGCCACCGCCTTCCACCACTGCTGCCTTTCACCAATACAGCCACCTTCCACCATTGCCATCACCACCGCCTTCCAACACCACCACCTACACCATTACCGCTTTCCACCTCCACTACCACCATTTATTTTTAAAAAATTATAGAAGAATGTCATTTTGTTATTTTAATTTATTTTTTATTAACAGGGATATTTTGGAAAACTCAATTTGAAATATATTTCATTCTAAATTAAAAATTGATCCAACCAAACACTAGAATGGTTATTATCATTCTAGTCCTACACATTTCATATTTACACCCAAATAATAGAATGAGAATGCCATTCCATTCCATTACCATTCTCATTCTCATTCCATTCCATTCCTGCATACCAAACACAGCATTGATGTATATTAAATAGGTTCTCTAGATCATAAGATCCTAATCTTCTAAGTTGGAGTTTTATAAAACTCAAACCCTAGATAAAAATCCTATAGTTGGTCAACTGGTACATGAACAAAGCCATTGTAGCCCATAAGTTCTAAAACACTTGCACAAGAACTTTTATCCCTTACATACGTTTTAAGCGATAAACATAGGCCCCACTTGAAACATATCTAAAGGTAGATAAGTTTTAAGCTAATATAACCATTTGGCATTCTCAAGGGGACAATTTTTTTTATTTTTTTAAGTTAACCGGGTGTTCGGGAAGGCACGAACTCTTATGGCCCCTCAACAACCCGACTAATTCCTGAAGACCCCGAAGGGCTTGCTAAGCTCCAAAGTCCAGTGAATAAACCGTTGGGTCATATCCAAAGTGGATGGTGCAATGTTTTGTTATTAGTTGTATCCCTAATATAATGTGTGTGTGTGTGTGTGTGTGTGTGTGTGTGTGTGAGTGTTTAGAGAGAGCTAGACATTTTAAGATTATAACCTACTCTCAATTGAAAAGTTGACAATTGATGTTTGGTCCTGCTCTCATGGAAAATTGAACACATTCACATGTATAATTAATCTTAATCATTCCTTAAGTGAAAGATACATTCTGAGACACAATGACAAGTACTCCTATTTCCCACTCAATTTGAAATCAAACAATTAACATGAAAAAAAGGAGGAAAAAACTAAAATATACTAATAATCAAGGCCAACTGTGGCTTCAGATCTCCAATGCTTGGCTTTCTCAAATCCATTAATGCAATTCTCAAAATCTTCAATTGTTTGGTCAATCTCTTCTTGAGTGTTCATCACAAAAGGCCCAAGTTGCACCACAGGTTCCCCCAATGGTTCACCTCCAACCAGAATAAACCTGAGGGGTTTGGAGGACTTGTTCCATGCCTCAAGGCCATCTCCGGTGCCTAGAAGAAGAAGGTGGTGTGCTGTTACAGGCGAAGATCTTGAGTTTCCAAAGATACCATCGCCTTCTAAAACGTACACAAACGAGTTCCACAATGTCGGTATTGGCTGCTGAATTTGAGCTCCTGGTTTCAGAGTGAAGTCCAAGTACATGGTAGGGGTCTTTGTGTATATAGGTGATTTTGTTCCCAAGGCCTCACCGGCTATAACTCTGACCTTCACCCCATCTTTCGCAGCCTCTGCTATGTCCTTGCTCATCATTTCTTGATACCTTGGCTCAATCCTATCATTAAGCAAAATAAGTAGTGATTATAATTGATATTTGAATGTCTCTGCAAAGATCAAGTACATAAAAGTTCAATCCCATCAATATAAATTCTAGAATATATTGTGAAAATGTGAAACTATGGTTTATTAGATTGTAAAATCAGTTTTTGATACTGAGATTATAAACTTGGCTCAATCCTATATCATTAAGCAAAACTAGTAATTAAAAATGATGTTTGAATGCCTCTGCAAAGATACTACTACCTTGTGGAAGTGTGAAACTATGGCTTATTAGATTGCAAAAACAGTTTTCTATATTTTTTTAAAACAAAAAAAAAGTAGTATTTTAAGGAAACTACATAAAATTGTTATCTAAAATTAGGCATTTTTAACTCGGTTTCTAAAAACAATTTTTAGAAAATTGTCGACAAAATAATTTATAGTTTTAGAAAACTGAATCAAGTAGGCCGAAGAGCAAAGCTCTAGGCAAGTTACTATCAGTGATGTCTTTTTTAAATGTGGGATCCAAAACAACTGAAGGCACAAAAAAACTAACATTTTGTTTTTGGAGGACAGGTTGATCCACAACTGCAAGCCCTTTTGTATTCCCTGGGCTGCAGGCATCTCCGAGTGAACAATCCCTCTTCCCGCGGTCATCCACTGTAAGTCACCAGCTCCTATGGTCCCCTTGTGACCCCCAAAATCTTCATGTGTTACAGCTCCCTGGTCACTCAAAAAAAAAAAACATTGACATTTTCTTTCAACTAAGACGAAAAACACTGCTAGTGGCTATATTTTCACCTCAGAAAACCCCATATAACTACAAGAAAACTATAATCTATATATCTAATATGCATAGGATGATGATAGAGAAATTATTTTCATTGTAACATTTTCATGTCTTATTCTAGTCATTTATATTCTTTATGAAATACTAAGTATATAGTAAGATTGTACCTGGCCAAAATTGAAACTTCCCTAATCTGGTCAGACAATTTTGAGTCTTCCAATTTGATGATATTACCATATCAGCATTATTTTTTGTCAAAACAAATATAAATTTCTTCAAAAATCATTAATATTGCTAGTACCCATTACAACACTCAAATTAGCGATACTGGGTAATGACACTTGCATGTAATGAAAATGAAAAAAGAAAACAATAGAGGCTGTTTCATCCTTTTTTTTGTGGCAAAAATTGAGGAGCATTATGAGAAGTCCACTCCCTTTGATAAGTAATTGCATTTTTTTTTCTCCCTACAAATTCATGTAAATGCACCCACAATATTGTTTAATACCAAACCGAGCTCGAACACTCAACTTCTCCGAACCCTTCCGGAGAGGAGAGATCATACCGTTTGAGGTAATGCTTATTGATAGATAAGTAATTGAATTACCTGTAACATGTAGGTGACAGTTTCAAACCCTGTCAAGAGAAAAAAGAAGAATCAAAATCAATCCAATGCCAAATTCTCAATAAGCATAGCTTTTCTCAAGAAAAAAATATAAATTGGGATTCAAGAATCAAACCTCTATGTGGATGATCAGGAAATCCAGAAGGAGCAGATACTGCAATATTAAAAATTTAAATTCTTAATCAATATATATATATATATATATATATGAGGTATTATTAAACATATGCATATACAGTCCATTACATATCACAAAAACAGAGGAAAACAGAAAAACCCGCCTGAGAATTCATCCAAAGCGAGGAAAGGATCAAAGTACTTTAGCTCATACCTGAAAAATCCAAACACCCACTTAGCCAAACAGATTAAAATCCTCATTTTCCATTTCATCAATGGAATTAATAACTTCCTCTCTCTCTCTCTCTCTCTCTCTCTCTATATATATATATATAATTACCTTCCTATACTTCTTCTAACAATGGCTCCGACACCTTCATGTTGAGGCCTGGCCTGGAACTTTCTGACCACAGAACGAGGTTCGTTAAGAACAATATCGGACATAGTGTTTGTTTGTGGGTTTGTATAAATGAGTTTGAATTTGAATTGTGAGAAGGAGAGTGAAATTTGTGCGTGTATTTATAGGGAGAGAAAGGGATGGTTTTTGGGTTAGTGTATAAGATCTCCTTTACGAGGAGGGTCAAAGGGGGAAATGCAACAGTGGAAAGAGGACCCACATGTGGGGAGTTTCCTTGAGATTAAGGGAGGACGACTTCTTTATTTTTAGTTAATGATGTCAGCATAGCGTTATGATGATGTGCCCTTGGGTTCTTTTAATCTGGCGGTTCTTTTGAGCGCCACGTGTCCACCAAACGGACCGCATCTGTTAATCATTGAACTAGTAGCCGTAGGATTGTTGACTATGGTCATATGAGAATACAACATTGGTTGATGATAACCAAATGAGCCGAGATAGGATTGTTGACATTGGTATAAAATTTAGTGGTGGCAACAACCCGAGATAAAAAAGTTTGGATTTAGGCCACTCGTGTTCGTATCATAATCATATTGATATGAATTGATCCGTTAATTAAACGTGTCGTGTTCGTATTTGACACTTTAACCCTACTAATACGATTAATCTAATTAACTAAATGTGTCGTATTCGTATAAAAAATGACTTATTTAATTAAAAATGTAGAATAAATGTGTCGTGTTTGTGTCAAAAATTATTTAAACGTGTCTTTTCGTATCATTTCGTGTCTTGATCCATTTATTAAATGGGTTACGTGGGTCGTGTCGTGTTATACGTATAATAATTATATCGTGTTCGTGTTAAGGAGTTTTGACATAATTAATAATCGTGTCGTATTCATGTTGACTCTAATCGTGTTGGCACGAACACGACTCGTCAACACGAATTGCCACCCCCAGTATAAACCCACCTCTTCAAAGAGAGGTCGGGTTTGAGAGTCAGTAGTAGAATGCAACAGAATAATTTTGACGACACTTAACATCATCCTCACTAACGACACTTGGCATCATCCTCGCTGTGATTCAATTTTGTTACAACACATTAAAAAATAATAATAATAATAATTGTCAAAGATTAAATGGACCACTTGACTTTTATTTTTTTATTTTTTTATATTTTATATTTTTTAATGTTTTTTATTAATAATTAAAGATGATGAGGTGAGCAATGTAAATCTTCTTAAGCATTGTTCATACACTAACGAAACATGCTTAAGATTTTGTTTTTGTTTTTGTTTTTGTTTTTCTCATTAATGTCCAAACTCCGAACCACTTGCTCATTAGTTTAAGAATTATAATATTTAGGCCCACAGAACTGACCCATTTTTTGGTTTGATGGTTTTAAAAGTTTTTGATTATTACATGCGATTGAGATCACAGGGGGTCACTAGTATGTAATTAATGGCCTTAAATGCATTGGCTAACAAATCGATCAGATTTTTTGATTTAAACATCATTTTTTTATACTTAAATTGGTTCAAACGAGAGATTCATTGTATCTTTCTCAATGAAGGAATTACAAATAACATAGATCTTACTTAAGACAACAATGGTGATTCAATTCAATTCCACAATCTATTCTGAATAAGATTAAATAGTCCATTTTAAGAGATCGATCCTCAATTAATCTTAATTCTATAAGTTGAGTTTAATTTCGATATAAGAATTTAAAATTTTGAACTAATTTGAATAGAAAGATATATATATATATGTATATATATATAATTGATTGGTATTTGCTAATATTAGAGCATAGCACTATGTTAAAATAATTTTTTGTGTAAAATATATACTGTCACGCATGATGTGTAATTTTTTTTTTTTTTTAATCTCCAGTAGTCTATTAAGATATACTATCAGGCCACCAATGTGTAACATTATTTTGTATTTTACACAACTTTTTTACGTAATCACATTAACATATTTTCTTTCTCTTCCATCTTTCTCATTTCATTAATCAATCAACCCAATATTAAGCGGTTTGTAAAAATTATATGGGGTCCATGACACTGGTTGGCTGTTATTAGTGGATATATTTTTACACAAAAGATATAAAACAACCACTCGAGCTAAAAATAAATAATTTAATTTTTTTATATAAATTCATTATGACACATCATATTTACACAAAAAATATATATATACACAACCGTTGAAAATGCTTTTACATTTTACATTAATCTACACACATAATTTTTAATTTCAGTAAAGTTAAGTTTTGATTTGACCTAATTGCTATTGGATTTTGTTTTTATGATACAAAATATACTCTTACTTTTGGCTTGTGTGAATTCATATTCTCAAAATTTGCACCATTTCATTTTAAACTTCTTTCTCTTATTCAATTTTGCTTTTATTTCTCTATTTTTTTCCCCTAGCATTTGAGGAGAAAATATTGTTCCGAGTAAATAAAATTTATAAATACTTTAATGTTGTATTTAGTAGTATCGATTTGACACTTAAAATTTGAAATTGAAAAAAATTTAAAATAGAATCTGAAATAGTTTTTTTTCAATTTCAAAGTCAAATACCAATTTGAAAGAATGTATGTAACAATTATTTCAATGATTTCATTACCAATTTACCCCGAAGATCCATAGAACTATAAAATCACAATAGGAGTAATAATATTCATTAAACCTTCCCAATAAAACATTTTCTTACGTGATTTTCAATTTTATTTTATTTTATTTTTTTTCCTGCCCAACCATACATGATTTTCAATTAATAAGACATGACTGGATGAATATAAGAAGTGGGTAGTTAATGGGGTTGTCCATATTTCTTTGTCCGCATTAAGGTCACTTGACCTTTTTGGTCCCATTACAATAATATGTGAATCATACGACACTACGTACATTGTCACCACAATATTCTATAAGCTAGAAAACAATTACTCTTTCATAGCAATGTACAAATGTAGAATCAGTTAAAAAAAAAAAACCTTAATTTATAACAATTATTGTTAATTTGATAATAATGGCTGTTCCTATGAAATTAATAGATTAATAACATATAATATGGTACAAATGGGTCGAGTTCACTCTGAATTCGATTTTGAAATTTCTTTTAATGGGTTTGGACTATAATTACAAATCAAGCTAGGTTATATTAAATAATGTATTGGATATGAATTTTGTCTATGAGATTCATCAAATTTTAATCATCACCCGCTTAGGAGTATTGTGGTGTTAGCAGGAATTTGAGAGATAAGTACTTGAGATCTCATTTTCGAACCATACTCCTGACTTAAATAATACTTGTGTTATGGAACTAATACACGTACTCTAAGAAGAAGAAGAAGAAGAAAAATAATAATAATAATAATAATAATAATAATAAGATTTAATGATCACATTTTCTTTTTCAACTTTTGTTAAGTTCCAAGGATAATGATTTGAAGTGGAATTGGAAAAGAGTCGGTGATACGTGGGTAAAAAATTTAGACCGATTTGCTAGGCAAAATTTATATGGCACAAAAAGATTAATGATGACTCTTTACAAAATATTGAACATCTAATTTTATTTCCCATCCCCTATATGTTCGTCTTCTATTAAAAATTTAACATCTAATTTTATTTCCCATCCCCTAGCTGTTCGTCTTCTATTAAAAATTTTCCATAAATATCTATGCAATAACCATTCATCTTTTATTAGGAATTTAGTTCCTTCTTTAATTATCTCTAATTTTTTCTCCATAAATATTTCTAATCTCTATTTTGTACGTGTAGACAGACTTAAAAAGGTTAAACAAAATTAATAATAAATAAATAATAATAATAAATTATTGATTTGATAGGTTTAATTGATAGTAAAATAAGAGACAATATCCGAAAGGCAAAGGTAATACAAATATATGGAGATGATTTTATTAACATTCATTCTCTAAAATACAAATTAATTTTATTAAGATGATTTAACCATAAAAAAATTATACAAATAGTCTCAACAATCACTTTGGACTACATTAACATTCATTTTCTATGATATAATTTGATTTTATTAAAATTTTATAAGTAGGCATCATCACTAATAATTAATCAAATCTCTCTATGCAATTAGATGAAGGTATGATTAAATAAAAACTGAAGAGAGAGAATGAGAGAGAGAAAAATAAAATAAAAGAGAAGTATTAGACTCAATTTAAATATTGTGACATGCATGTCCACATAGACAGTCACATGAATTAGGTCAGAGAAATCAGTTTATCTCTTCGTATCATTTTTCATCGAGAAATAGAACTCATTCATATGAGTATGGGCATACATCAACATAATGTCATTAATATTCCTAGTATCACAATGATATCAATCTCTATTTACATAAAATAATTCAATTTGTTCGACCTCCCTATCATTATTACTCAAATTCTAAATATCACATTGACTCATTAACTTATAAAATCAAATCTATTCCCTTTAATGTCCTAATTTATACACGGTGGTTTTGGATCTAGAAATGGAAAAGACTAATTGGAAAAAATTTAGGTAAGAGATAGTCTATTTTATTCACACTCAAGGATGAGTGTACTAAAGAAGGTGGACATCAGGCCTCTTATGAATTTAATAGATAAATTTAAGGTTTTGCGTCACTCATAGTTGAGTATATTATTTATTGTGTCTATGCAAAAGTTACAGGGGTGTTTATTGTTGGCGGCTAAGGATGGTAAAAGGCGGGTTTGGACGGGTGTATCTTTCCTCACCCTCGTAATTGTTAAAAAAATTCACCTAAGTCTCCGTCCAAAGTGGCAAAAACGGGGAGACATTTCACCCCATTTCCGTTCCCGTTTAACATCTTTACTCTCGCGGGTATCCGTCACGTCCTGTTTAAGATCAAAAATTCTCTTCAATTTAATTTTTTTTATCAACTAAAATTATATAATTATTGAAAAGATTCATTAAAAAAAATGAAAAATAAATAGTTTAATATAAAATTCAACATTAAAAGCATTCTAAATGGTCAAGTAAACTACTTGTTCCATATTTTAAAGTTTTGTTGCAAAACAAATCATCCTAATATATACACTAATAAAATATATACACTAATGAAATAAGAATACTTATGCGAAATATATACACTAATCAACTAAGAATATTTAAATAATTTACCTATTTAAACTATTCACTCCTGTACCAAATCTACATAAATTTTCAATACATTAAATCATCCCCGTTTAAATAAATTAAATGATCACCCAAAATCGCAAAAAAATATGTCGGAACAAGGCTGGATGGATTGTCATCCTTGCTTTTGGCGACCGTTATTTATATTATGTATTGTGTTTTGACAATCCAATGCAAAGAAGAGGAGTCAAGTTAAAATCAAAACCGTCCAATCAATGAGAAAATCAACGTTGAACGTTCAAGAGAATATATAGTAAACGTGTTGGGTGGACGTCAGCATGCAATAGGGGTTGGGTCACTCGAGGAACTGAGGTCACCAAGACATAAGCATGACGCGATGACAGCCGTTGGATTAGAATAAAATGAGCGAAAGTCAAATACTCCAAATCTGGAGAGAACTAAGATTGTAGTCGTAATAAATAAACAAATAATTGTTACCAAGACTTTTCAAATCTTACAAAAAAGATTAGACAGATGGATCCACGTTTATGTGATGATGATTTCGGATTTGTGAATGATGATGAATGATGATGCAATGCAAATGCACATTATTATTTACCCTTTTCTATTTTTCTTTTCACCACCCTCTCAATAATGAGGATCCAAAAAAAAAAATTATTTGCAAGTAATCTATTAATTTTAAAATATAGTTAATTAATTTATATGGTAAGAAACTTTAAAACTACAAGGCTAAGAGGACTTTGCGTGATATTGGATCAAGGTGCGAGTCATATTCTGAAATCAACGGTAACGAGTGAGTGTTTCGTGATACGACTCAAAATATTTCGTGATACGACTCAAAAACTTAAGTTATTAAATGAGACTAACACCTTGTTCAAATATACCTAGTAATCCAATCACTCTCTCATCCGATGGGACAAACTCCCATTTATTTACATAACTACTTTTTTTTAGAAGCAAATCATTCCCTACCCCCCCCCCCCCCAACCAAAAAAATAATAATAATAAAAAATACAAATTGCTTGTTTGGGAAAAGAAAGAATAAGGAAATGGGAGTAGAAAGAGGGCGACAGACCTACGTTTCCCTCCCTTGTGAAAAAAACTTTTTGCCTCTCAAAAGTTGAATTATCTTTTTACCATTTATGTGATTTAGGGTTAAATCACTTTTCTTCTCATTTTCTTTCAATCAACCAAATAATATATTTTTCTTTTCACTATTTATGTGTTTAAAGGTTAAATTACTCGACAAACTTTTGTTTCTTTTCATTTTCTTTCCACACAACAAATAATGTGACAAAATCTTACTGACGTCTGCAATTATTGTTGGAGTGCAACTCCGTGTGCATTGGACGCGTTGATTGCTGGGGTGCAACTCCGGGTGCATTGGACGCGTTGATGGATAACAGATTGGACGCTTGTCTATCCGACCCAAAATGTTAGAGGTGTTTTGATCTCACATCAAATTTAGATGACCCAAAATGTTAAAGGTGTTTTGATCCCACATCAGATTTAGATGAGGAAGCTCTTAGACTTATAATGTCATATATGTAACACCATCTAATAATTTAAACTTTTTAAATTAAATAACAAGTGTCTCACCCATTATATTCACCAGCAAAATGTGGGATATAAAAATGATCCCACCACCTTACTACATACACACACGCATTAGTACTTAAAGACAGGTATACACAACAAATCATTAGAGATGCTAAAACGCTAACTTATATACAAATGCATATAATATATTTGTTTATACAATTAAAAACCCACCTGTCAATTTAAGCTGCCAAATTCTTGTAGGGGTCGGTGAAATCATGGTGCCTCACCTTTGGGAGTTCAAGTGATCAAGTCTCCAAGCATGCTTGTTGACAAAAGAGTTTAGGGCCAGCCTATATACATAATTATATATATATATATAGTCTACTAATAACATTCTCTCTCATCTAGTCTTCTTCAATCACCAAAATGTAGGATTAATAACAAGCTACGCTTCCAAACAGAACCAAAAAGTAAGTCTAAATTGACTACTACTTATAATTCCAGTACACAATTGAAATCATTTGAGCAAAAATGCATCAAGAACACTCATAAACACACAGAAAAGTAGGAAAGGTGTTTTGACACCAGCACTTAGAAAAAGCTTTCGAGTTTTTACTGTTTGAAATTTATATATATGTTGACTTCCTGCTCAAATAGGTGACACCTTTGTTGTGTGTAAAGGAGAAAGGGGGAAAAGGAAGAGAACATACTGAAATTCTCCAATTTTATACTCAGCATTCATGCAATGCTTGTAACATGGCCTCTTTGCAAAATCTTGATCACAAGAAAAACTTAATTGCTCCGGTTGTAGTAATGATATGGCGTCATGCACTAATTATACACTACCACACAGTGGACCCACTAAAATAGATGTTTTTTATTTGTGTGTCAGTGTATAATTAGCATATAACACTATAACCGGAGCAATTAAGTTTTTCTCATTGATGACGGTATGAACATGTAACAAATTGAACTCTTGTTTTCAATATCTGCTTTTCATACTCAACCCTAACCAAGGGTAGCATGTTGATCCTAATTGGAACTAGATATTAAGAAATAAGAATACATCATCATGGTGTCCCACATATCATGTTTTCAAAACTCCCATCAAACCTAATCACTTTTTTAAAATCTAAACTAACCTTCCAAATCTAAACTTTATATTTGCAGACAATAACATCCCATTTGATGTTGGGTAATTAAAGTGTCACATGAAAATGAAAGCAAAAATGTTCAAGCAATATAAATGATTCTAAACTACAGGAAATTCAAGGAATCATTTTAGTGGCTGTTAGATGCAGCTAATATCTCTGTCATGCAAACATCATCCAAACATACTAACAAATCCAAGATAGGGTTAAGAAACTGCAATTACCCCTTTTGCCCATGGAAACATATCTGTGCCACATCCATTGAAATTCACTGTCATGCCATAGATACATCTATTTACAAAGAAAATGGAAATGGGCCTTCTGTGAAAAACTGCAACACATCAACAATACCCTAAAAATTGACATACAACTTATAGGCTGCAAATCTTCTGATCTCAAGTCAATATAGTCTTTTGCGACCAGCAAAAAAGTTAATTATCTCTTACATTTCCCTTGTTCTCCTATGGTCTGCATTTTACAAGTGTTATATAAACTCCCAACAGAAAATGTATCCTACGATGCGAAATAAGATAACCATAGACCTTGGACTGTGGTGTCAACTACAGCATAAGACTCCACAGTATCCATGATACATTTTCATTCTAGTCATAACTTACCCAGTTAAGCAGAGAACATGACATCTAAGCAATCACAGCAGAGAAGCCAAATGAACTGCCCCCAGAAAGTATTTGATACAACGTCGAAACAAAGTTAGCATGAACACCATATATCTGCAAGTGACATATCCCATTAATAATTGCATGACAGAGTGTCAGATGAAAATGCCAAAATGTTCAAGCAACATGAAAATTTCTGAACTACAGGGAAAATAATAATAATAATTCTAGAGAATTGAGTCATTGCTGAGCACCCAGAAGAAATTCTTTTCTAAAAAAAGTTACATTTATAACTTATATTAGAGAAAGTAGTGAAGCAAAGGAAACATATAGAGATAAATTGAATATATAAAAAGGGCTAGGCTCCCACCACTGTGGGGTCTGGACTCTGGAGAGGGTCAGATGTACATTGTTTCCCATTAAATACTACATAGGAGTCATAGCCAAAATAGAAATAGAGTTGATTCAATTTATCCTAACACGCCTCCTATTCAAGCAAGCCCCCTGCCCTTAATTATTATTCCAAAGCCATAGAACTGATGCTAAAAATTTAAGGGACCGGTGAAGTGTTAAACTTCATGCTGATACTCTGAACTTAGCAATTTACATGAATGAACACTTGAGTTGTTTGCAAAGGGCATTGAGATCAAGCACATAATAATAATTTAAAATAAATAAATAAGTAAAAGCCAAGAAAAAGATACCTTGAAAATATTATGTTAATAACAATAACCAATTATGACTTTATAGTATAGACTAACCAGTCAGCATGATCAGTTGTCACGATCTCTTAAATAGATGATGACGTGCTAACATCTCAGATATCCCCAGTGCAGAAATGCTTTGGCATCCAAACAGCTCTTGAAGTTTTGCATCACATTGTATTACCATAGCATTTAGAGGATCCTGTGAGCAGTGACCAAAAAAAAAGGTCAATACAATTTAAATCTCAACCACCACATTTTTTCTCACCAATCATTTGACAGTCAATGACCAAAAATTTACAGTAACATTGATGTGGGAATCAGAACTAAATCTCAACATAATCTCAAAAGGAGGACAAAAGATTAGGGCATATTTCGGTAAATTTTGTCCCTAGTATTTAATGTAATCAACTAAACAAATATTTGAGATTAATTAAGTCCTTAATCATAAAGAAGCAAATATTAATTAGCCAAGTTTTGAGAAAACTGGTCCACATGCTCAACTGAACAAGCCCAACTTATTACTTATGTTACTTGTGCTTGGATGTGTGTGTCAGATACATGTATATGTCAGGTACATGCACGTGTCAGACCGTTGTATGTACCAAATCTCCTAATAGAAGGATAAAGAGAGGACTGCTGAGTATTCATTTTATTTAATATTTTTCTATTATTTTTAGAGTAGAATAACATTTTCATGTAACATAGTGTTCAAAATAGGCATTTAGCTTGTCTTAAAGTATCAATCAAATAAAAATGAATTATTGGACATGTATTTTAGGTATATGACCAACCAAATGTGTCAACCACATATCCCATAAACTTATCTGATTGTCCTGTGTTCTACATAGGTATTAACGTGCTTCTAAAAATTCCATGTAACATAGCTAATTATGTATTCTAGATATGTAGTTTCTTGCCATTGAGCTCCATTTAGAGACTTACTTTCAAAAATCACTGGTCGTGTTTTTTTCTCGCTGCATCAACATAAATTCTATTTGACCTTACTCTTGATCACATGACACCTTCAACTTGATTTAATGAGGCTTTCTTTCTGGTACACTAAATTGATAACAATAGCACTCTCTCACCATGTTCTTAAAACGGTGCTATCTCTAGCTTATCACAAATGTTCTAATGCTACTCATTCAGCCACTTAAATAACAAACCCTTTAATGATCACAAGCCAATAGTGACAACTTGGCCATAGTTTACTTACATTTAAACATGTAAAAACCTTGTGTACTGGAAAATAAATAATTATTTTGATTTTAGTAACCAACAATCAACAACGAGAACAAGGACAAAAATGAAGAGGAAAACCAACATGACAAAAAGGCCAGTGGATGTACTTATCAATATAAATAAATAAACAAACAACAGAAGTGCAATTAATCCTTTTAAAAGGAAAGCACTTCCTCAACACTCTACCTTGTGAATAATATCATCTAAGAAATCAAAGATCATCCTAAACATGGCAATCAGAAAAGAAGATTCAAATTGGAAGCTAATTCATCATATATGTTACTTGGACTAGAGTACATGCGTAGGGTGTGGTTATGTATCAAAGCATCGATTTATCAAATTCCCAAATCTAAAGACAGACGGTTAAGTATTCATACTGTTAGGTATAAAAAATAATGTTTTCACTTGTTTTGAAGGAATAATGTAGCAGAAAGATCATATAAGAGAGTTTTATTTTCAATTATATACTAAATTTATTAAATAGATACGCCCGTTAGGTGCATGTCCTGCCATATGAGACTGACACATATCCCGTGCCCATGTCCAACTTTTGTGTGTCCAACACAAGTACTTCACACATTGTTGAAGAGTTTAAATAACAGAGCTCATTTGTTCCCCTCATCAATGGATCACGATCGCTTCAAATTCTTCAGTTTGATGGCAGCCAACCATTTGTTGGAACTAAATTTTCTTTTAGTAAGCAGTGCCATTTGGGTTAAGTAATAAGCTGCATAAGTATTGAAGTCCAAGTTCCTGCAAGTCTTTTGCATTAATCACCCCCCAATCCCCCCCCCCCCCCCCCCCCCCCCCAAGACACAAACAAACACACACACACAGATGCTTAATAATGCTGTCATGATCATTAGATGTCCCAGCAATTCCATGAACATGTGATAGGGGTTTGCTATTCAAACACCTTTATTAAGATTCTTGTCCTAGAAATTCAATCTACTTATTTAACCTCACAAGTAGCAAGACAAAAAAAATTATCAAACCAATCACTAATTACTAACCTTGAGATGAAATACAAAATTAAACCAAATTCAACTAAACCAGGCATCTTCAATGGAATATATTTTCATTGATTCAATGTCAAGTTAGCTAAGAACAGAAAATTTTACTTTGTCAGGCTAAATTCCAAACTAGAAATATTAAACAGTCATGCATCTGGTTACTACCCACCTCCAGTTGATTGACCTTTATGTACTCCCAAACATGCCTTAGAACTTCCGATTGCAGCATCTCCCTTCCATCAGTACCAAAAAAAGTTGCTAGTGCTTCAGATATTATCACAACTGGAACAGATTCAGTAGTTTCAGTTCCAGATTCCACATTTACCTTCAATTTCTTAGAATTTTGACCTACTTGTTCTGCAAGAATCAAAACATGTATTATTATCAATCTGTGCAATTCTTTTTCATAATTCAATCAACACGGTTATCTCAATCAGACAAATATATATTTGTGTGTGTGTGTATAAATTACATACTTGTAGGCTCAAGAGGGATAATGTGTTTAGCTAGCAACTTATTCATCTTGAACATATCAGTACAGTCAGTCTCAAATACCAAACGAAGCTCATCATTGCAAATTATCTTCCTTTTATTACTTGGATCCTGAAGATTGTTTTTCCTTATGTACGCCCACAGCTGCTTCACAATCTGAACCATAGAAATGCATATTAAAAAGAACAATATCCAAAATGACAGCAGTTCAAAAAAATATTGAAAATCTTGTCTACAAGTTTGAACCTCAGTCCTTGGCATTTCTGGTTGGCCAACAATGGCCTGAAGTTCTGGTGAAACACCACAAAGTTTGTTCAAACCCCCTGGTCCACCTCTCCTTTTCTTTCCTGTTTTAACACTGCAAAGAAATAATACCACCACAAAATTACAAGTCACATCAGGCCAAGCATCAAACTGCACAATCTATTTCAAATGTAACGGGCAAAAGTAACAAAGTTTAGAAAAGCAGGACAACTCATCATGAAACTAATAACTTGTTAGAGACATTATGCCAAATGCCACATAGGCATCTTAGGTTGTGAAAGGATGATATCCAGTAGAGCAATCAATGATGTGAAAGCACCCCCAGAAGAACAGAATTTTGGGATTAGAACAAAAGGATTGACAACAACAGGATCTGCCAAGGAACCTGGGTGAAAGGGAGGGGGAAGACACCCAGGCTGAGAGAGCCGAAGCCAGGAGAAAGTTGGGTGTCTGACAAACTTGCAGGGGTTAAAGGAATTGGAAAGGTGTAATTGATGAGGCTTGTAACCTATAAATATGTGCTTCAATTAGGTGTAGACAACGATGCTGCAGCAGCCATTACCATCAGTTAAATGTATCACTGAAACAAAGCCCTACATGCCATCTAATTACAACCGACCACCTTAGAAAGAATTTACCCCATTTTGACTGCAAGCTGCAGCCATTGTTTAAAAAAGTGAGGTCTTCCAGCTTAAGTCATAGTTTTGCCACATTATTCTGGGTAATTGGACTATCCTATTCCTTCAAGATACGCATGTCAACATGGCATGACATGAATATGGGTTGAGTATCAGCTAGTAAAAAAAAAAAAAAAAGGAATGGAAACTCCTCTCACAGTGGATTATTGGTCTAGTTTTCATACAAACCTATAAGATACCATGACAACATAACAGAACACAAATTATCAATGTCATAATCTTAGCATATCAGTACCATTAACTGGAATCCCCAAGAAATAGAATGCTACCTATCGGAAAATCAACCGTTATAAAATCAACCTTAGAAATCTATCTGTATTTGTTAAACTTGGCTTGATAAGGACCTATTTGTATTTCAATAAACAACCTAAGTTCTAATTTAGGTTTTCTTCCAAAAAATATAAAGTACCCCCTTATTAAGTGTTCTTTTAGTGTTTATATGCTATGAAAGTAATTTAATGAATTTGTCTAAATGGGCTTATCCAAGTTCCCTCCTAGTGTTTCCAAGGAGATCAGATTTCACCAGTGAATTCCAGTTGATTAACTATTCTAAGGAGAGGATCAGTACTATATTTAGTTTTTGTTTGTAGATAACAGTGTTCTTATTGCCACAATTACATACAAAGTAAATAATTTTATTTTATATTTCTTATTCTTTGATAAGTAATATATTGGGTAAAGAATCAATAAAAAATATCTGCAGTATTTTGATGCAAAAAGACTTACAACTAGGACAACAAATTAAGCGAGCTATTCGTGAATAGCTCAGGCTCAGTTCATGTTCGTTTGTTAGTAAAGGGACCAAGCTTGAAAAAAATTCTCAGGCTCATTTCTCATACAAACCAAGCTCAAACATCCCTCTGTTCAGCTGGTTTGTATGTAAAAAGTTTGTGAACGGGCACATTTTGAGCTTGTGAATATATATATATATATATATATAGAGAGAGAGAGAGAGAGAGAGAGAGCCCATTAATATTAGCCCATCAAATAGCCTCTATTTTGTTTAAATATGTTAGGTCCATTAAACCCATATAGTGTTGTGTGCATTAAGCTCATATCTTATTAAAATCAAACACACCAAGTAGTGTAAAAAAATCCTGTTTTGAAAATCATTTTATCAAAAACCCCAATTTTGATAAACAAGATTAGAATAATATTTTGAGCCTTCTAAAGATCAAACGAATCCATTTGTCTACTTGTTAGAAACCATTGTAACATGTTGCACTACAAAGTTGTGAGTGAGCTTTTATATAGATGCCATGTAACTAGCTAAAGATGCCATGTAGACTGGTAGCTCCACACTGCACGAAGTGGTGGATCAGGTTACCAAAGTGCTAATTAAGGAATGTTGGAGGATTGTTTGTTTGGCCTTCTTAAGGACCATGGTCCATATTTAAAGAGGGTAGAAAGGTTATTTTGATTTTTTTGGGAAGTGTGAACTAGAGAGTCGGGTACTTCTGGGTTCTCGGATGAGTTCTTGGCGGGATGTTATCATTCAAATGACAAGAAGCAAATGGGTGACAAAGAGTCAACTAGTGCCTTCTTTCCATGCGTTTATAGTGAGAAATAGTGTAATAGACTAACAAAAATTCTTTTATAAAGAAAAACTACTTTCACTTACTACTATAGTCAGGACACACCGACTCTTGGCAAAACAATGTTTCCAATTAAGACTGATCCACCTCGACAAAACACCAAATCTCTCTATCCAGGTGCTCAATTTTGTTCATCAATCATCATATATTTGTATAAAGAAAGCATATTCTTAGGAAAACCCGTTATGCATGAAAAATAATCCACAATCTACACAATTTATTCTAAACCCATAATATTAATGCGTGCTAAACGGTGAATTTCTCTGAATTAGACATCAAAGGATCAAAATAATAGAATTAAAGTGCAATATTTTGGGTGAAATTTAGATCATAGACAAACAAAATTCTCCGTTTGGTTGGTGACAAAATGTACGTAAAATCTAAGAAAATGTCATTTTCTGGTTCATTTCCTCTATTTCTTACCAACCAAAGCGACTGCTCAAAGAAAACACACCTCTCTTTGGGGGCTTCAGCAGGGGCGTCGGGTGCAGCGGTGGCCGGGGTGGCGACATCAGTGACGAAGGCTTCAGTTTTCGACACCACTTGTGGTTGCGGTGGCCGGAAACCGAACTCGTCGGGGCGTTGGAGGGCGAAATTGGGAGGCAGCTGGGACGAAGCGGCGTGGAAATTAGGGTTCTGTTGGAGGGCAAAATGGTCTTTTGAAGGGTGGGGGTGGAGGTGGTGGTGGAGGTGGTGGTGTTGTGGCGGTGGCGGCGGCGTGGGTTGAGGACGGAGGAGGAGCTGGATCTGGTTACGGATGAAGTCGACCTTGTGGGTTAGGACTAACCCTAGCTTCGACTCCAACTGCTGAACGACACCGTTTAGGGAGGTTAAGGTGGTGTTAGGGTTTGCTTCGCGAAGGAGAGACTCCAATGCTTCGGCTATGTCCTGGTCGGACACCATTGTTGCCCCTCTCTCATTCATATATACTAACAGAAATTAACGGACTCTCTCTCTATCTCTGTCGTTCCCTTTCTCTCTCCTATCTCTCTATGTGCCTCTCTCTGTCTCTCTCTTGCTTCTCTCTCTCTCTCTCTCCCCCCCCCTTCTCTTTCTTTGTAGAAACTGAAATGACATAACTGCCCTTAACAAAATCGGATATGTAAACAGTAGAAGCTTAAGATTAATCTAACAAACCAATGATTGATAGCCACGTCTTGTAGTGATTGTTTAGGAACACCTGGGACTGAGCTGGATAAATTATTACGTAGCTGTACATGGTTTTAGCCAAACACCATGTGACATAACAAATAGTTGAATAAAAACTTACGCCTCTTACTATTTGTTATGTGTCATATCAGACAACTATGCAACTTTTATGGTTAAAATCATATTTTTATGTCACTTTTGATCATAAAATTTTAATTTGTTTTAAAAAATATTTTTTTTTTTTTTTAAAGTGATTAGATTGTTTCAATATTTATAACCGACCCATTAATCAGACTATGAAATGACAAATTTAACTTTCCTATCGTTACTTTCAAATTTTGATCATAAAACTTTAACTTGTTTTAAAAAAATTCCTTTAATTTTTTTTTAAATGATCAAATTGTCCCAATATTCATATATAATCCGTTAACCTCGTTATGAGATAACAAATTTAACTTTACTATTTAATGTTAAATTAAAATTTTAAATTTATTTTTAAAAATTACAGAAAATACTCTTTAATCTTCTTCTCCAGCCTCTCTTTCAAGCTCTCACCCATCTCAAACATAATTTTTGTAATTTTAAAAGGTATTTTTGTAATTTTAAAAAATAATTTTTAGTTTTTATTTTAACATCAAATAATAATGTTAAATTTGTCATTTCATAATTTGGTTAACGGGTCGAATACGGATATTAGGACAATGTGATAAATTTTTAAAAGTGTAAAAATTTTCTAAAATAAGTTGAGATTTTATAATTAAAATTTGCAAGTACTGATGATTTTATAATTTTGACCCTAATTTTTATTACATGTGCCTTTGTAAATGGTTTGGTTCTTGGGGTCTTTAAAATCAATCCCAATCGAATTATTATATAATATTATATAAATAATAGAAATTATGAGAATGTATAGACTGTACTAATGTGGATGTTTCATTTTCATTAGTGAAGTTGTGCTTTAAACAAAAATAATTGGATTAACTAAATTAATAGGACTGAATTATTGGGTCTGCCCTGTCTATTGGATTGGATAATAATAAATATCTAGAACCTAACTAATCCTTTTACAGTTGTATTGATTTTACGGTCCGATTTGATTCTAATTTTTATAAAATTGTTAGGAACGAATTAGTTTTAAAAAAATTCAATTCGAACAATGTGCACTGTAGTCAAGGGGATGGGTATGAACTCTATCATTATGGTGTAAAGTGTTCCTACTAGTTAGACTTCATCTAGGGTTGCAACTTTAAGTAGTTAGAGGTACATTTCGAGCCCAACTCTACATATGAAATATTTAACCATAACTCAATTATAACTTGACTTTCAACTCTAACTACTCAACCTGAGTGTAATCTATTCATCTATTCTAAGACTCAAGTTTGCAAGTTAAACTAAAAATTCAAGTTAGAGAATCAATCGGAGAACTCAAACACATGCACACTTACTCAAGGGGTGAGTCCAATCGATTAATTTGGATTATACATATGACCGAAATTCACACTGAAATTTTAATATAATCTCGAGTTAATGTCAAGTTAAATTACTCATAAATAAAAATCATAATTTTAAATTTATTGTAATATATATTTTTCTAGTTGGTACTCACACCTCCTCCAGAAAAATGTTTGCACGTAACATAATACTACAGTTTTTAACAAATTGGAAATAAATTATTATAATTTGGAGAATATATATATAATAATATTATTATTAGAATTCAAATTCGGGTTGCTGACATCTAATTTTAAAATCACCCTAATTAAATTCGGGTTAAGATTTTTTAATTCAAACCCAACTCTAATGATAAAAATAATGAAAATGATATTTGCGCCGATGACTTTGGCAGATTTGTTAAGTAGAAACGCGTACCTCTTCACGTGGTTGTCCAGTTGTACATGCCTCACAATTTCTCTCCTCTCTCTCTCTCTCTTTCTCCGTATCTGTTGGGTTGGCTGAGGATGATCTAATCGGCGGTGGCGATGGGCTGGCTGTGATGGAGCAATGGTAGAGAGCTCGGATGGTGTAGAGATGGCGACGGCGAGGACGGTCGAGGGCTCGCCGTGATGAAGAACTGCGGCCGGCAAGCAAGGAGAAGCTCGGCGGTGATATCATCCCTAATATCATGGCTGTGAACTGCGGCTTTGGATGATGACGACCAAAGATGATTTCAGCGGTTGTTCACTGTAGTTTGATGGTTTTTTTTTTTTGTTTTTTCAAAACTGCTGCATCGATTTTTTTTTTTTCTTCAAACATTGATGAGTAAAAATAAGAAACCTGAAAACAAAAATCAGTGGTGATGGATTTGCAGTTCTTCGGATCAGGTTTTGGGTTGATTTCGATGATGTGTGGTGATGGTTTTGGGTTTTGTTTGATTGGTTGAGATTTGTACGACGAAAATTGGCTTGGTCCATAAGGTGATTGTGGTGTGGTGATGGGAGGTTGTGGGATGCCCTTGCAGAGATCGGTAAATGGTTTGTAGAGACAGTGAAATCGGCCTTAACTGAGGAGGGAAGAAGCAAGATAGAGTGGTTTTTTTTGTAAGTTGGTTGCCAGGTGGACTGTCATGTGGATTCTGCCAAAACAATCGGTGAAAATAATTGATCCTTCTGACATGACCCTAAAAATAATTGTCCAAATAAAAAAAAATATATCAGGTTGAATTCGAGTTAAGTCCAGAAAAAATAATTTGAGAAGAACTTTGCTGATAGGTTAGTCTTACGAGGAAAACTTGTCCCACATCGGATCCGGATGGAAAATAATATGGGTATAAATGGGTAGGTATGCAGCACTATTCAACAGTTTAAACTTTTGGGTAAATGAGCAAGTGCCCACCCGTTACAGTTGGTATCAGAGCCAGACCCAGTCCTTGATCCGGTGCCACGCCAAGCGCCCAGCCCGGAAGGCGTCTGGGTGTGCCACCCCGGATAGACAGGTGGCCCAACCGCAACGAGAGCGTTGCGAGTTCCGTTACCAAGTGGGCCAAGTTTGCCTAATTGCACCGAAGCCACCATCTTCAAAAACATTGCGAGTTAGTATTATTGTATGGATAATTTAAATAGCTAAATATAATCCTAAACAAATTCAAGATAGTTTTTTTTTTTTTTAGGGGAAAAAAAGTAACCACATAACAAAAAAAAAATTAAAAATTAAAAATAAATAAATAAATAAAATTACTTTCCAAATCATGATGAAAAATAATAAATAAATAAAAAGTGAAATAATATATATATTTTTAAAACTAAAGATGATGGGTTGAGAGTATAAAGAATTTTGACTATCATTTTCAAACTCACTTTTAACCTGATTAGATTAAAATTTAATTTTTTTTTATTAAGAGTGGGACATATCAAATTGACATATTTAAGAGTGTAAATTGGCATTTCAAATTGTCATTAAGAGTGTAAAATGAATTGTTCATATATTTTTTTTATAATAGTTTTCATTTTTGTAAGTTTGACATCTTTAAACTGGTGTGTAAAATGAAATATAGTTTCCATTTATTTATTTATTATTATTATTTAAAATGCACACATCAACATCACCATATGATTATTGTTACATCTCTATGTATAACCTTTTGTTGCAAGATGAACATCCTATGACTGACTACTTTGCCGTTTATCCATATTTTTGTTGTTTACCCAATCAAAACTAAATAATTGGAATTTGTAGTGAGGGTTGGGTCGGTGGCCGGTGACTCTTGGTCAAAGGGAGTGACACAATAACATCATGGTGCACAACAACTGACAAAACTTGGATTTATACAAATATGATGTCCTTACATTTAAAAATCTCAAAACTGCATGATTGTTTTTGTTGAATTATCTTATTATAAATATATACAATATTAATATAAATACAATATGAACCGCGAAGAAATTGTCAAAAATATACGCTAGAAATGTAAATATTGATCGATAACTTTTATTCCTTATTCCCTATTCCTTCGCCTATTTACATAGCTTCATTGTGTGGCTTTGTATTTTTATTATTATTATTATTATTTTTGGTCGTGTGTTGCATTGTATGTAGTTGACTAGCTTGTGAGCTTTTATTGAGCAATACTTCCATCCCGCGCAGGGAGGTTCATCCTCCCTGTTGACTTGTTACGCCATGTGTCTAATTTAAAAAATAAGCAATAAATATTTTTGTGGGTTAAATCGCTTCCCCTTGTCAGTCTCTTCTCTCTCTCCCTATAAAGGCAAAAAACCCAATTTTTCATCGGCCTCAGCCTCCACCTTTTCACTCCTTCTCCCGCCACATCACCACCATCATCCTCAACGCCTTCGTGGCGGCACACTCCGGTTACACCATGACTCTCAAGAACATTGTCGCCGCCCTCTCCGACTACGCCCATAGCGAGGTCCAACCCTCCCAATTCCTAGCCTTCGCCATTGGTTCCCCTCTCATCGCCTCCGTTGCACCACCCTCCCTCCGCCTCCCCTCATCTTCCCCTCTCTCCTCTCCAATGCGCCACCACCATGCCCGAATTCATCTCCAAATCCGATCTCAAGCATTCGGATCCAATAATAGAAGTAAATAACGAAGACGAGATGTGGAGGATGAGGGTTTGCCACCGCCACCGCCACCGCCACCGCAGAGTGATAGAACGTCGCCTCCACCTTCGCCACCGGACACTCAATTTTAACAAAACAAAATCAAAATCAACATCACATTCTAAATGCAAGGTTTCAATGATAGGATTAACAGAAAGAGAGGAGAAAGATAAGAGACTGACAGGGGGAAGCGGGTTTAACCCACAATTGCCCATTTTTAGTATTGGACACGTGGTGTAACAAGTGGCCACGACAGCTTCATCCTCCCTGCACAGGATGGAAATATTTTCCTAATTTATTTTTAAAAGTTTAGATTTGAAGTCATTCAAATGATCGTCAAATTACTGTAATGTTATAACTTATAACAAAGTCTGATTAGGCAAATATTAATAAAATGCAGTTCGCAAACTAATGCCTATGACAACATTTGGATTTATTTCAATCCTTCACATGCAATGCAATTGTTATGAGAACTGCATTACAAAATTCTTTTGAATTGGTATCGCTCTCTCTGCGAGCTCTCAGATGGATTCTACTTCTCACTTTCATTTTATATGGCTTAAATTTTATCAGTTCCTATTTTTGTTCACACCCATGTAACTTAATATGGATATATAAACAAATTTGAAAGCAGAATGACTTTTAAGGAGACTTTAGATGTAAATAGAAGAAGAGATTGAGAATTAAATTTTTTTGTTATTGTATTTTACATTTCTAAATTTATACTTTTTTACATTTATGTCCATAAAATTTTAAAATTACCCCCACTAAAATTTTAAAAAAAACCCTCAGTGACTTAGTATGGAAATATAAAGACATTTGAAAGCAGAATGACTGTTAAGGAGAGTTTAGATGTGGATGGAAGAAAGAGATGAAAGAATGTGAAAAATAGCTAGTGAAAAAATGTGATATATAACGGGAGGGTCGTTGGTTGCATGGTAACAAATCCCATTTAAAATTTTTAAATATAAATGAATAATAAGTTAATGGAAAAAAAAAAGTTTGTTCAAAATTGAATCAAACTACATCTTAAAACACATTTTTTCAACGAAGAAAATGGTGTAATAACAATTGTCAATAATTCAATCTGAGCTGAAATTAGCATCCGCAACAGACCCTTGACTTTGCCAGTGTCTTTTTTTCTTTTCCTTTTCTCACATGTCTTGGGCTAAAAATTGTTTTGTTCTAGCCTTCACAGTTCATATTGAACAAAATATTCTTTGCAATTGATGGGTTTTCAATGTCACGATGTTGAGTCTGTTGTAAATTTTTAAAATAATATGGAAAAATTTATGGAGACTGTGCTTAGTAGACGGATTAATACTCTACCAAAATAAGTGTCAATTTTTTAGAATTTAATTCAAATTAAATGTCATTTTTCGGTAATCTAAGGGCTTGCTTAGTTTGTAATTTCGAGAACAATTTTGTAAAACTATTTTCTAAAAACTCAGTTATAGAAATACTTATTTTCAAAAAGCTGTCTTTGTTACGAAGAGTTTCAAACCAATTAAGTCCTAATTTTTTAAGAGGATGAGTTTTTAATACGGAGCATTATTTTTTTTTATTTTATTGTATTGGTAATGAATGAGTTACCAAATATATCTACAGTGAGTTCATGATGTGATGGTTTACTTTTTATAAGTTTAATTTAAAAACGTTAAATTAGTAACGTTATAACTTTTCAAATGAGACGTTTATTTTGAGACCGCCAAAAATAAAAATGCGAACATTTAATTTGAGACTAATGGAGTATTATTTTATTATATTAATAGTGGATGTATTACTAAATTTATTCTTAGTGGGTCCATAGTGATGTAATAGTTTATATTTTATAAGTTCAATACAAGAAGGTTAAATAGATAATATTATAAAAAATAGTATATTTGACTTTTTAAACGTGACACTTATTTTTAGAACCAACGAATACTAATATTTGGACATCTATAGATGTATAAGGCTGTAAATTAGGCAAATCAATGTTTCAACATGCTCTTTTCAGCACCTTATTAGTTTACTAGCAAATGGTACTTATCATTATTATTATTTTATGGTAAAAACTAGTCACGTCCTAATTGTGTTTCTATTTATTTTTATTATTTAATTCAAAAATATTCAAATCCTCTACTTTCATTTTTAAATGGGAGAAGATATCGTGCATAATCATCCTAGAATATGTAGCTCAAACTGTATAAATTGGACCCAACTCTCACTCATTCCACATCTTATTAAGAATGAATCAACTTTGAACTCAAATAAATCTAAACAGTATATCGGTAATATCACAATTAAGCTATATAAAGCTCTCTTCTTAATTAATCTAAGTTTGGCTTGAATTCAATCTTGTTCTCTGGACCAATTCTATATAATCGAACATGGCATTAGTGAATAATGAATATGAAGGGACAAAACTAAGAATGGTTTGGTAAGAATTGACAATTTTATCATTCATTTGGACAACAATTAGGCATTATCTTGTTTTTAATCTCAGTTCGACCAATGACTAAGAGACTTGTCATTTATTTGGCTTAATTAGTATCTATATGATAAAATTACAAAGACCTATAAATTGAACCAATAAGAATGCGTAGATTAGATTATATAGAAGAGCAAAGCAAGCAAAATTATGGTGAAATTTAATTATTAATAATTATTTTTAAAAGTTAAATATTATAGGTGGAAATGACACCCTTCATAGGTTCATATGGAAATAGTAATGAATTATTTTTGGTAATATAAGATTTCTTTGTAATTTTATTTTTATATAAAGTGTAAAACCTAAATTACACAATTTTTTTTTTAACAGATGTTACTCTTACACTTGGAACACATTTTAGTTCTCACGCTCTGCGCGCACTTTCACTCAAATTCTTACTATTTATAACTTAATTCTATCGTTCTCACACTCTGGGTGCACTTTCATTCAAATTTTCACTGTTTATAACTTATTACTACCGATTTTACGCTTTTGTTGTCAAATTCATTCTCATTCCCACTCCCCTTTACGTGACTTTGTGCAAAACATTATATATATATATATATATATATATATATACACACACACACACACAAAAATTGAGATCTAATTTTGCTTGAGGTGAGGTGGGTACAAAAGGGACAAAGTAACTCGAGAGGTGGCTTACATTCATATCCTCATTCGATGAGTTGTTCGACAAAGAAAGCGCGTTTATGTTCACTACCACATACCTGCGCGTATGATTATTATTTAGCAGATGAGTCCCCAAAGCCAGTACGATCTTAAATGGCCCCCATGCCTCATGGTCTTAGCGTGTCCGTAGCCCAAAACCGCCCTTCTCTCTCTCGCACACACTTTGCCTTCTCGCGAAGCAAATATTTGATCCTCTCTGTGTATTTGCATTTTCACAATTTAGTCAAACCTTGAAACAGAAAGAAAACCCTTTGATCTGAACGTCAATCTCTGTTCTCTCCTGGTATGTGTGTGTTTTCGGGTTTTCTTTAATCTCAAGTTTTCTTTTATGGGTTTCGATTCATTTTCGTATTATCATTAGCACATATATACTAAACGTTATTAATTACGTGTGCATTTCTATGATTTTAGTCTTGTAAGAGTTCCTTTTTTGTGATTTTATTTATCAGGGGAATCAGGGATTAAGAGAGAAGTTGCTGGCTACATGAATGGTTTGACAGCTGGTTATTGTTATGTATATGTATATATTCATCTGAATATGCGGTTTTGATCTTTATATCGGTTATTGAATTCTGGGTTTGAAGATTCTTGTTGGGTTTTGTCAGTTTAGTGCAAATTGGGAATAGAAATTTAGTGGGGCGATCCATTTCCTTCCAATTCTTGTTGGGTTTTGTTAGTTTAGTGCAAATTGGGTGTAGAGATTTAGTGGGCGATTCATTTTCTTCCCCGCTGTTGTAATTTTTATAACTGCGGGTAGAAGAAGATGTCTAGTTTTGTGGGTGTTCTTGTTTCTGATCAATGGCTTCAAAGTCAGTTCACACAGGTTGAACTTCGCAGCCTCAAATCGAAAGTAACTATTTCTTGGCCTTTCTCGTGTATTATTTGTTTGGACTGTTGGGTTATTCTTGAATTCTGTTTTTGAATTGATTTGATGAAGTTATTTAATGATTTCTCGTGGCTGTTTATTAACGCATGCATTGGATTCTTGTTTTTGTCTTGTTTTGTTTTGTTTATAGTTTATTTCACTAAAGAAACAGTATGGTAAAGTTACAATTGGAGATTTGCCATCTTTTATGGTGAAATTAAAAGCTTTCAGTGAGATGTTTAATGAAGAGGAGATTAGGGGGATATTGGGCGTGCCAGATTCTGATATGAATAACGAGATTGATTTTGAAGGTTTCCTCAGGGTGAGCTACCTGTGCTTTTCTATAGCATGTTAGATGCATTTTCTTTTAATATTTGACTTATGAATTATCGATGTAGCCTGTATGAAAAGAACTGATGTAGGAATTGATGGGCTTTTGCCACTTTAATCAATTGCATTGAAATGGGAATCAGTAGAATTTAGAAAGGTGACATGATCAATTGTATGGAAATGGGAATCAGTATACTTTAATTTTACTTGTGCTGGCATTTGAGGTATGGTAGGTGACATGTTGATTAATTGCATCGAATGGGCAGACATATTTGAATTTGCAAACTCGAGCTACGCCAAAAAAGGGTGGTTCAAAGAACACTTCATCCTTCCTCAAATCGACCACTACCACCCTTCTTCACACCATCAGTGAATCAGAGAAAGCATCTTATGTTGCTCACATCAACAGCTATCTCCGGGATGATCCATTTTTGAAGCAATATCTTCCTATAGATCCTTCTACAAATGCTCTGTTTGATCTTGCAAAAGATGGTGTTCTTCTATGGTATTTAAACATGGTCCGCTTTATGCTACTCTACTTTGTTATGTCAAAGCTGAGAGTTCTTGTGGTTTAATGTATCTCATGGCTTGATGCAGTAAGCTTATCAATGTTGCTGTTCCAAATACGATCGATGAACGAGCTATTAACACCAAAAGGGTTCTCAACCCATGGGAAAGGAATGAAAATCACACCCTTTGCCTCAACTCTGCAAAGGCTATTGGCTGCACAGTTGTTAACATTGGCACCCAGGACCTAGTTGAAGGGAGAGTAAGTTGAGCTAATTAAGCTACCCATAGTACTCATTGTCATATTCTGGGAGTGAAAATTTGTTAGTTATATTTTCATTTTGCAGCCTCATCTGGTAGTGGGGTTGATAAGCCAAATCATAAAGGTGAACATTTAACTTCATCCTTTCTATATTTCTCTCGTTTAGCCCTTATAACTAATGAATGAAGTAGGGTTCATATTATAACCATAGAGTAGAGCTTCCAGTAATGAATATTGATGATTTGCTTATATTTTCCCTCTTGTTTCTTGTATTAACTTGCTAATTGTGCCAAACTTCAGATCCAACTCTTGGCTGATCTCAACCTTAGGAAGACACCACAACTTGTGGAATTGGTGGAAGACAACAATGTAATTAAATGTTAACCGTTTCATATGTCAAGTAGAGCACCAGATGTGCTATTGATTTATGGGACATATCATATGGTTATGCATTGCCATTTTTCAGGATGTTGAGGAGCTTATGGGATTAGCTCCGGAAAAGGTCTTGTTGAAGTGGATGAATTTCCATCTCAAGAAAGCAGGCTACAAGAAACCTGTAACAAATTTCTCATCTGACCTGAAGGTATCTGCTCATCACTGTTTTCTTTCTGTTGCAGTTAACAAATTTTAAGGCTTGATTTTACACACACACAAGCATATACATATTGGACTTGGAGTTGGAGCCCATATGAAGCAATCATATTATCAACAACATTCTTGCTCAAGAATCTTACCATTGCCCATTTTTCCCGCCTACCAACAACATGTGCCTCTTTCACTCGGGACCTACAATCATCATCAAATATGGAATACTTCTTAGTGCGGATAAAATATCTGACTCTGCTGGTTGACATATCTAATCCAATATATCTGGAGTACTTTTTAATACCATTCTCTTTCTAACAATATCATATGCATATCACTGCAGGATGGAGAAGCTTATGCATACCTTCTTAATGTTCTTGCACCTGAACATTGCAGTCCATCCACCTTGGACAGTAAGGATCCCACTGAAAGGGCTAATTTGGTACTTGAGCATGCAGAGAAAATGGACTGCAAAAGATACCTTAGTCCGAAGGACATTGTTGAAGGCTCACCAAATTTGAATCTTGCATTTGTTGCACAAATATTCCATCAGAGGTGGGAAATGATCCTTCTTTTTGGTAATAAGCTTGATTCAATTTTTGTAAAATTTTCATAATTTTGACCTCATAAGCTGTAGGCATATGGTGAATTATAGGAGTTGTCACTTGACTCACTTGTGGCATTTGCACATGGGCACATGTTATTAGTGGTTTTAGGGCCAATATGATCTTCATGGTGCCATTGGTGTGAGTTTGAGCCTCAAAGTGACCACTTTGAAGATTAGTTCTGTCTCGAGTCATGGTCGATGAACAAAATAAGTGATGTCTTATTTTTTCCAAGCATTTAGAATATTTTATTCTCAACCCCCCCACCCAAAAAAAAAAAAAAGTATTTATAATGTATTGTGGAACTGTTGGAAGATACATTTTCCCACCTGCACTTTTAAAATGTTTATGGTAATATGGATTTTTTTCCTTGTGATTTTTCTCTTTTGTTTTAACTTGAGATCAATAACAGTTAGGCGGTTTACCAATGTTGATCTGTCAATTTCTTTTTGTTATATGGTGGTTCTGGCTTTATATTTTTTTTATGGGATTTATTATGGAGGCAGATCATGTTTTGAAGAATGCAGATTTCCATTGCAGGAATGGCCTGTCTACAGACAGCAAAAAGATATCCTTTGCAGAGATGATGACAGATGATGAGCAAATGTCTAGAGAAGAGAGATGCTTCCGACTGTGGATTAATAGTCTTGGAATTGCTACTTATGTTAATAACATGTTTGAGGATGTAAGAAACGGGTAAGTGTTCAATTTCTATGCAGTACAAATTTTTTATTTATTTTTACCATGACATCACAAGATTCTTTAAGCGTAGTTAATGTGTACTCCTCATGTATGCAGATGGATACTTTTGGAAGTGCTAGATAAAATTTCTCCGGGATCAGTGAACTGGAAGCATGCAACAAAACCTCCTATTAAAATGCCATTCAGAAAAGTAGAGAATTGCAACCAAGTCATTAAAATTGGAAGGCTATTAAAGTTTTCCCTAGTAAATGTAGCAGGAAATGATATTGTACAAGGGAATAAGAAGCTCATACTCGGTAATGTGCTCCATCTCAAGCTATTTTTGTTACCCAGGATTCACATCGATATTGTGGATTTCTTCCCGATTTGAGTTACTGTCCCTAATTTTGCTGAAATCACTTTCATGCTTGATTTTCCATCATGTTGTACTATCAGTAGTATATCAGTCTGATTGATTTTGTTCTCTTATGTAATATTATATGTTGCGGTACGACTACTGTACTACATTCCAAATTACAGTTCCTTTATTTTCCTTAACTGGTTTACCTCTTTTTCAGCTTTCCTATGGCAGTTGATGAGGTCTAATATACTTCAACTCCTAAAAAACTTGAGGTCTCGCACCCAAGGAAAGGAGATTACTGATGCTGATATCCTAAATTGGGCAAATAAAAAAGTGAGGAGCACAGGCAGAACTTCTAAAATGGAGAGTTTTAAGGTTACAAATTTGACATTCTTTTCTTCTCTTTTATTGTCATTATATACATATACTCTGATTGACAGGTGGTGTTATGTTTTTCGGAACTTTTATCCAGGACAAGAGCCTTTCAAGCGGATTATTTTTCCTTGAACTTCTCAGTGCAGTGGAGCCGAGGGTTGTGAATTGGAATCTAGTTACCAAGGGTGAAAGTGGTATGCTTTTTGCAGCTATGAAGTATTGAGAAAGCTGTTAGTTTTTTGAATCTGCTGTCAGATTTTTTGATTGATAGTAAAAATTTAAAAAAGAAAAAAAATCTAAGAAGTGGAAAAGAATTGATTTTATTTTATTTTTTTGATATTAATTAAATTCTTGATTTTAAAGGACCCATGGGAGCAGATTTAACTAAGACTGCGAAAACTTTGTGTCCAGGTTTAAATTTCCTGCAAGTACAGCCATCAGAAAGTAGTTGAAAATAGTTTTGTGCTTTAGCAGAATGTCTAATGTTGATTCCATTTTTTTCCTTTTCAATTTCTCAGCCTCCAAATGGAGGGTTAAGCTTGCATGGTTAAAAAAGTTTCTGCATTTTTCCTATAAATGTTCCTATGCACTAAATTTCGCATATGGAGAAGAAATAATGATCGGGACAAATGACCTTGTTTTGTGTTAATATGACAGATGAGGAGAAGAAGTTGAATGCTACATACATTATCAGTGTTGCACGGAAGCTTGGGTGTTCCATTTTCTTGTTGCCCGAGGACATCATAGAGGTAAGAATGCAACTGTGTTGGAGTTCTTATATTTGTTTGTTTATTTGTTTTACGTATAAATTCAAAACTGTCTACATGTCCTTTGACAAGCTAGCATGAATACTACTTGCATATTGAATCTTCTAGAATTGCCATTTTTTAGTGTCATTTTGCAAAGGAGAAATGAATGTATATATAAAATAGAAGAACAAACTCATGTATGATTATTTCAGATACAAAGCATGACAAATATTCGGGACATGCTACAGAGTACGTAAGTGGAATTGTATTGGTTGCCTTCAATGGACACATCAATATTATTAGTTTTTGAGTTTGCAATTTTTAGCCTTATGCAAAGTTTGAATCTATCATGGAGATGCTACATAGTATGTAAATGGATTTGTATTGGTTACCTTCAATGAATCCGTCAAAATTATTAGTTTTAGATGTTGCAATTTTTAGCTTTCAGTAAAATTATGAGTTGAAAGATTCGAGAAAAGGATACTTCTTTTCTCATGGAAGAAACGTTGATTGTATTGTGATGTTACTGCAGGTAAATCAGAAGATGATCCTTACACTCACGGCCAGCATCATGTATTGGTGTCTTCAGCAACCAGTGGAAGAGTCAGAGTCATCTCCATCTCCATCTCCATCGGCATCCCCTGCTGCTACTACCACTCCTGATGCATCACCAGCACCGTCCATAAATGATGAGGACGAAAGTTCCCTGAGTGGTGAAGTCTCGACCTTAACTATTGACGACACGGCCTCTGACACTACAGTCTCTTCACAGGTTGAAAATGAGGATACTCGTGTAGCGGAATTGAACACGAGTTGAATTTTGTCACTTGGTCTGGGCGGAAATAAAAAGGAAAAGAAAATGAGAACAGAACAGAAATTAAAACATGTTTTTACTTAGATGGTGAAATCATGAGTAGTTTTTTCGACCGGAAACAAATAGACAACCTGAAAAAAACAAAAAATGCCTCTGGTGCATGAAGAGAGAGGGGGGGAATAACTCTTGTAAAGTTTCATAGCTTTCGATAAAGTTGTTCCCTTTTTCTTTAATTTTTTATTTTTTTGTTGATAAGTGCCCCCTTTTCTTTAATTCTCCTTGTATTTTAAGAAGACTTTGGCAATTTAGATGTATTTTATTGGACGGTTGTTCACATGGATCATGTGAAATAATATTCCACCACTACAAAATTTTGAACGTGGGGGTGGGTGTATTGGCAATTTCTTTGGATTTTTCGCCCTATCCATAATGCTATGGATTTGGTAGTTCCCTAAATGGTTTCGGGGGGTGGAGGCTGATTTATCCCGGTTATATATGTGCTTTAAATTCTTTTATATATATATATATGTACAAAATATATATTTAATACCAATTAGGAAATAATATATATTTAATACCAATTAGGAAATATATATATATATATATATATATATATATATATATATATATATATATATAAAAGACTCTTGTTATTTTGTTGCATATTCACTTTTACTAATTTAAAAGTTGGGTCAGTTTATTTATCAATCCAATTTGAACACATTGGGCTAGTTTTTTTATTTTTTTTTATTTTAATAGAAGTGGCATAACGTGTTCCGCCCTCGCAATTAGAAGGAGTATGCAGGACGTAATTGATACTTTGTTTGTTGGAGTAGAGGCAGGGATGTTATACTAATTACAAACCTATCTCGGAATAAGGGTGGAGTTGGTATGACGAAATTTTTAATGCGGCAAAATAGAATTTAGTTAAATCCGCTGCAGCTCTACCCCGTTGCCATCGCTAAACCTGCCCTAACTCCGCTCGTTACCATCACTAGGTATACTTGTACATTTTTTATAATGCTTTCTTTTTAAGTTTTGGGGTGGTAATTCTTGTTGTAAAGACTGAGATTTCCACAAGTTTTAGTTTTATCTCCTCACTATATTTCTTTATAGTCACATGTTCAGAAAATTATTGTCCACATTTTCATGGTTAATTTTGGTCAAAATCTTTGGAATATATTATTATTTCTGAGTTAGCAATACCCTTACTATGGATATGCAGTACTTTTAGATGGATCATCATCATTGTTTTTATTTTATATGAATGGGTCTTTCTTTGTTGTATGAATATGATCTTTTCGTGTTATTTTTTTAATTGTGTTAGACTTTTTAATGTCATTTTTAATAATTTCACTTCAATTATTTTTGGACGTTCTTTTCGTCTCTTTTCTTCTTTTACAATTAGTATTTCTCGTTCCATTTTCGTGTCTCTAGGTCTTGCAAATATATGTTCAAATCATTAAACTTTACTCTATTTTTTTTCTCAGTAGATCAGGTAAACAATACTCTTTATTTTAAAGGTATATATTGCACGTTGGAACTAAAGGCATTGTCACTTGAAATATTTGCAACTTTGAGATAAAGGGTGTAACATCTTTAGTTCGACTTTAGTAATATGTGCAACATCTTCAAATTGCAGTATACTCGATTTAAAGATATTGCACAAGTATGTTGCTAATTGCAATTTTGCTGCAATGCCCTAGCAAAAAATGAGACCTGAGTGATTTTTTTTACAACTAGCAAATCCTGCCAATTAAACATCAGCCTTTGATCTGATCTTAGTGATTGAAACAAAGTGAGATACATTGCCTTTGGTCTTAATAGTTGATTATACATTCAAATTGCATAGTTTATAAGGTATTAATTATACATATTAACTCTGAACATTAATATTATCGGTGCAAATTCGAATATCAGGAACATCACCTTGAAAAATATCAAAGATCATTCATATATTCTCTCCAAGATCATACTATAATAGGGTATTTTTTTTTCTTCAAAACCCTAATATAACGTGATGAGAACTTGGTTTTTTTTCTTTTAATAATATACAATAAGATGAAATAATGCAATTTTATAAACAAAAATGGGTGGACAAGTAAATAACATTGGGAAAAAAGAGAAAAGAAAGATGTAAAAAAGAAGAAAAGAAGAGTGTGACAATTCTTCTTTTTTAGTTATCAGCCAAAGTTATAAAACACAGAAGGGAGTGAATCACATTCCTCATTTTGGAGAGCAAAATAATAAAAGAAGTGGTCGTTCTAAAATTATTTTTCCATTTCCATCCCACCAAATTTCCCCTCCATTCCTTTCCCTTCCCCTCCCCTCCTTTTCCCTCGTCTCAAATATTGGGTAATAGAGCTGAACAATCAACTGCAATATAAATACAGAGAGAGAAGCACACGCACACATACACATACGCCCAGTTACGGTATTTTCGCGCTCTGTTTATTTATTTATTTTACCGGAAATTAGCGCTTGTTTATTTGCTCACTTCATTGTGTTGCAAAACCCAGATAAGCGTCGCTCAATCTTTAGGGCAAAAATTAGGGTTTTGCCGTTGCTCTTTCCGCTCTCCGGTGACATCCCGGTGCTTGCCGATCGGGTAAAGCTTCAACTCGATTCATTTTTGTTCTTTTTATTACCTTTTTATTTTAATACAAATTTGTTAATTGAACACAGGACTTGATGTTGGTGAAGATTATTTTATCTTTCAAACATTTAACTTTACATCTGACTTCATTATATCTATGTGTTGCACCAAATCAACATATGAAATTCGCTATCTGTTACTTGTTTGGGTGCTGAGAATACTTGGGAGAAAGAAAAAGAAAATTGAATTTTGAAGACGTGTTGTTTCGAGCCTTAACTAAGCCGAATTACTATATCAGACGCATTTGGTTATCTAAATGGGATGAAAAGACTCTTCAACCATGAAAAATGGTTGGGTTAGGCACAGTCGAGTGAAGGTTTTGTAATTTTGGGTCCCAACTTACACTCGATGCAAAGTTTGAAAATGGAGATTTTCTTTTCTTTTTGTTTTGCTGCAGTTCCTGCGACCCAAAGAAGGGTGATTATCACAACTGATGTTATAGTAGCATATTTTGGATTTCCATGAAATTATTTCATAGTTTGAAAATTAACGTTTGGCTTTACAATGATATTGGTTTTTCTACCACCAATGTAGATAGATATTAATGGGGCGTCTGAATTTCTGCTTACTGTGGTTTTGATTTTACCTTTCTTTTTTCCTAATAATTTGTATTCTTGTATATTATGTCTTTTAGGTTGTTAAGTAACTACAGCGTGACTTGAAGAAAAGAAATGGAATTTTTTGACGATGAGTGTGAATCTGTTCCACATTCTGTTTCGAATTACCATTTTGTTGATGACAAGGATGAGCTAGTTTCTTTTTCAGAATTGCCAGTTCAATGGAAAGAGGGTGAAAGCTCAGACAACAAGGGAAAAGATATATTTTTGCATGGAAGTACTGATAATGGGCTTCAGAAAATATATAAGCAGGTCACAGCATGGAAGTTTGATCTTTCGGATGAAATGCTGGAGATATTGGTGCTATCTACAGAAAATAATTGGATCAAGCTTCAAAAGCCAAGAAAGAGTTTTGAGGAAATAATTAGGACCATCTTGATCACTGTCCATTGCCTACACTTTGTGAAGAATAATCCTGAAAAGTCCGGGAGATCTTTGTGGGATCACTTGTCCAAAGTTTTTAGGTTTTCATTTGAATATCCCTACCTATTCATCTTTCATTTGGTTCATCTTAAGTGCACAATTTACATTTTACGTCCTTTGCAGCTTGTATGAAGTCAGACCTTCAGGGAATGATCTGGTAGATCACATAAATATAATCAGTGAAGCTGTCAAAAGGGATGATACCTTAGCAAAATCCAAGGTTTGAATTGCTTTCCCATTAAAATAAAAATAGAAACATTACAAGACTTCTTAGGATTCTTTTGTGGTTGTTTCTGGAAACTTTTACCTAATTTTCTGTTATGTATGATAAATTTATATTATGCATCTATAGTTATCTCATCTTTCTTTGTTAATTTCCGAAAAAAAAAGAAAGTAAAAGTTGGGAGATCATGTAATTAGTACAATTTTGAATTATTTGGTAGAAAGTTTACTCTTCAAATATACTATCTTGTAGATGAACATGATATATATTATATATATATATATATATATATATATATATATATAAATTGAATTCATTTGAACAGATCACCATAAGTTGTGAAACGCTAGAGTTAATGCATGTTCACCATAGGCATAATATTGCATCACTTTCTTTTTGAACAGCCAAATTACTCACAATAAACATATGCTCATATAACTGTAGAAACATCATTATGAAACACTAAATACGTGTCTTGCACACAATAAACTTATGGTCATATAGATGCATATGCATTGATCTGTAGAAATGTCATTATGAAACACTAAATAATAAAGGTGTCTGTTTTTAAGTGTGTGCTTGTTCTGCTTTTCTAAAAATAGGTAACTAAACACTAGAGAATGAGATTTAATTGATTCCCATGGTGTATAAGTTTTACGTTGAAAGGATATTCCTATGTAAAACGTAAATTTTGAACAAATGGAGCATATATTCGAAGTATTTTCTTTCTTGAAAATATATTAGGATTGATCTATGATTTTCTTATAAATATTCAATGTTTAAGTTAGCTTAATTATTGATGAAAATCCGTGTTGAACAGTTTTTAGTTGAATTTCTTGAGGAGAAGCCTGGGAAGAGGAAATTTTTTGACGAGGTTATATTCTGCTCCTCTCTCTGTCTATTTTCCTCTATATTCACAGCAAAATTAATCAATCATTTTATTTTGAGTGTGTTTATTGGTTTGGCAGGATGTGGAAAATACTGTAAAGTCTGGTTTCATAGTTGATGATGATATGATTGATAAAGATGATGATATGATTGAGAGAGATGAAGAAGATGGTTCCGATGAAGAGGAAGACCTTTTTGATTCTGTTTGTGCAATTTGCGACAATGGTGGCAACATTTTGTGGTACAAATTTCTACTTTTTGTTTTATCCCTCCTCACACATGATCTTTTAAGACTTTTTTTGTATTGCATATCAGTCAAGATCATCAGTAGTTACACTAGTTCTAAAGATTTGCGTGTCATCATTAATGTCATCTTCATTTTAATTGCTTTTCCTGCGGCTATGACTGTAAATGATAACAATTATAATTATAAATGCTTTTTCCTCTTTGGTTTATACTTATCAAAAAAATTAAAATTATTCTGGGCACTATTAATATTTATTAAAAACTATTTTTTAATGTTAATTTCTTCGGCCTCAAATGACAAATATTGTTTCATGCTTATAGTTGCATAATTAAGAGGAATTATTTTTCTCATCTAAGAGATGTACAGATAAAGATTTATGAACTTGTGCTAATAATGAAACATTTTTTGAGAAAGCAAAGAGGAAACTGTGTGCTAACTATGTACAGTAGAGTATTAAGGGGTATAATAATCTTATCTTAAGGGGTGATGATAATCTTGTGAAACGTTTCTCAGCTTTCTCAGTGCAGTTCTTTGAATGAAAAGCATTTTAGGATTGCAAGTGAACACAACTTTTTTGATTGAATCAGTTAATTTGGTTTGATTTGTGTTACCTTGACTTATAAACTACTGCATTTAGATATCATTAAGTTCAATAGGATTGACTGATTGAGTATCATTTATGTGTTTATATAAAATAGGCTGTATATTTAACTGGTAAATTTTGTTTGCCTTTCTATGTGCCACTATCTGATAACTAAATGTGTCTGTTCAAAGATAAACTTGACATGGTTTACTGCCTTTGTTTACTTATGCAGTGTATTAAAATTGGATAATTCTTGTAAATATATGTGAAATATGTGAGTTACTATATATTTCTTTTCTCTTTTGACTTTGTTCGGAAGGTCTGTCGTAATGGTTTGTCATTGGAGAAATTCATTATAGTTTGAATCACTTCATTTAAAAAGTCGTGGTGTCATCTGTGATCTTGTACAGTTGTGAAGGGAGATGCATGAGGTCGTTTCATGCAACTGTTGAAGCTGGTTCTGAATCAATGTGTAAATCACTCGGCTTTTCTGATGAACAAGTGGAAGTATGAGTTTTTTTTCATATACTTTGTTCCCCTTCTTTCTTCTTCTTCACTTTTTTTTGTTTTTTGTTTTCTGGGTATATGCGGTTGTTCTAGTTGGGGTCATGTTTTCAGTCAGATTTTTAGTATCTTTCGAGTTATATTATGCTTTTTGCAGGCAATACAAAATTTTTTCTGCAAGAATTGTCAGCACAAGAAGCACCAGTGCTTCTCTTGTGGGGAATTGGGCTCTTCTGATAAATCATCTGGTGCTGAGGTACGAAAAAACATTAGTGCTATTATAATGTTGGTTGTTCATGTTCCCCATTTAAGCTTTACAAAATCCTAGTTGATATACAATAGCTTTGCTAGATCTGGTAATGACTAGTTGGCAATCAGGAACTTTCGTCATTCCTCTCATGGGTGCATTTGAATTTTACAATTAATAACAATAGTCCCAACACTGGTTTCTATAGTTTGTTGTGAAAACAATTGATTAGAATTGTCTAACTGAGATCAACTATAAGAATGGCAATGCTATATATTACCAGAGTGTGCTGTCAAGGTGTATCTTCAGGTTACTTGTTATAAATCAATCTTCATCCGTTCTATTCGAACTTTCTGATTTGCAAATTTTTATCAGGTCTTTCCTTGCGTTTCTGCTACCTGTGGTTATTTTTACCATCCACATTGTGTTGCAAAATTGCTCCACCGTGAGAGTGAAACTGATGCAGCGGAGCTTCAGAAAAAGATTTCTGCAGGGGAATCTTTCACTTGTCCTGTCCATAAATGCCATGTATGTAAACAGGGAGAAAATAAGATGGTTCCTGAATTGCAATTTGCTGTTTGTAGACGTTGTCCAAAATCGTACCACAGAAAATGTTTGCCTAGGTATTCCTTAATTGTTTCTACATTTTTCCTTTTTAAATATTTTGATCAACTTGTATGGCTTAAACTTGACTAGTAGTTTTGATGGTTGATGTTTGGATAACTTTTATCAGGAAGATTGCTTTTGAAGACCTGGAGGAGGAGGACATCATACAGAGGGCTTGGGAAGATCTTCTGCCCAACCGTATTCTGATATATTGCTTGTAAGTGTTTACATATGTCTTGCTTATCTTGTTGGTTTTTTCATGTCTTGCTTTTCCCGTTGGTTTTTTCATGTCTTGCTTTTCTTCTTGTTTTTTGCCCATCAGTAACTTGCAAACTATTAACTTAACTAGTTTTATTTTATTTTTTTCTTGTTACCAGAAAACATGAAATTAATGATGAAATTGGGACTCCTATTAGAAACCACATAAAATTCCCTAAGGATTTAGAAAATAAGAAAAGACGTACATCTGATTTGCTCTCGACCAGAGAGAGAGTTGCATCAAGGGAGAGTAATCTGGCTTCGGAAGATGCTTCCAGGAAGAGAACTGTTGGGAAGACACTAAAAGGGTTTGAAAAGCTGTCTTCTGCTAATAAGGAGGGTGATTTTTTCAAGAAGAGTGAGCGAAGATCAAGCGGATCTGATTTCGTGAAGAAACAGAAAATGATGGATACTTCCAGAAAGCCTTTGAACAAGAGTGCTTCTGCAAAGTTCAGTAAAGTCTCCACCAATGACAGTGGGCCCTCCTTGGGTGAAAGGTTGTTTGCCTTGGTTGAAAAGGGTGCTGAGGCAGTTAAGTCGAAGAAGGAGGGCACACCTGACAGTGAACCCAACCAAAATGTGACTCTGAAGCCTGTTGCAAAGGAAACAACCAGTTCACTGCCTCTAGATGCTGATACCAAGAGAAGGTGTCACCCATTTCTTTCATCACTGCACTCACATCCTTTTTGCTCTCTCTCTCTCTCTCTCACACACACACACAGTGTGCACGCGTATGTGTATTTCTAGATTAAATGTGATTTATGGTGTTGCTTCTCTTTAGTTGAAGTCAGTGTTCTCAACTGGTAGTGCGTACAGTAGATTGTGCCATATTAACATTTATATCTCGCATGCAGAATAATGTCTGTGTGGAAAGATGCTTCATCGTCAATAACACTGGAACAGATCATAAAAAAGCACAAGGTGCCAACAACCCATGCATACTCATCAAGATATGTTGTTGATAAGACCATTACCATGGGAAAAGTGGAGGGCTCTATTGAGGTATCTTTTTATAATTCGTAGTGCTCATCGTGGTTGTAAATGGCATCATTTTCAATCTGAAGTTTCTTGTTGTGAGTGTTTTACATGGTCGGCTATACATATGCAGGCTCTGCGGGCAGCTCTAAAGAAGCTGGAAGAAGGGGGCAGTATTGAAGATGCAAAGGCGGTTTGTGAGCCTGGGCTTCTGAACCAGATCGTTAAGTGGAAGGTGATTTTCAACTTGATTTATTCATTCATGACCAGTTGTTTTGAAATTTGTTTGTCATGTTTAAACATTCATATTTAATCTATTCTATTATATAAAGAGGAAGGCCCCTTTTAGTCTGTTTGGTATGCTTTGGTATGTTTTTCTTACAAATCCTACCACTTAGCAATACGAGAGAAATTCTGATGAGTGATGAGTAAATAAGTCAAATTAGAATATGGGAAAAAAACAGGAAGAAATATGATGGGGTATGGAATACTCGCATGTCGCATGCGCTTTGTTGTAGTTAGAATTAAATGAGGAGCTGTTTATTTTTCTATTTTACTTTAATTTTTTTCTTTTGTTAATGTGCGTTGCAGATTTGACTCTGTTTTTCAGATTTGATGCATCTGAGCTTAGAAAAATCCCCATAATACCTATGGTTCATTTGAATGGATGTTTATTGGATCTATAGGTGATACAAATATGTTTATAATTTTTAGTTTGACTGTGAAGTATGGTACCTTGTCAAATGAACTATTTTCCTATCTTTTTTTTTTTTTTTTTTTTTTTTTGGGGGGGGGGGGGGGGGGTGTGGGTGGGGGAGGGGTGGGTGTTGTAGGTTTGATTTTGGACTTATCTTGCAACTTTGAAGATTTGATGTACACTATCCACCTCCTGCATAGCTTTTTGTCCAAAATGATTCTCGTCTGAGTCGTCTCTTCTCCACCTTGTTAGTACTCCTAAATTCAATCATAGGATGAAATTATGCTGCTGTTGGGGAATGCTGTTAGCTCAAAAATTATTGTGAATCTTATGATAGGAGAGAAGTGGATGTATGTTTTGGCAATTGCCGTCCTGCTTAGGGAATGATTTGTGATAGATCATAATTTATTCTCTGCTTGGTGAATGCCCTTGCCCTTTATACTATCTTCTAGATGGCTATCGTCAGTAAAATATTATTAATTTCAAAAGAGATTATTGTGATTGTCAATTTTGTACATATTAGCGGTGTTATTTTTATCATTTTAATTTATGTGGATATATTTTAGATGCTTATTATATAGTTGTTGTGGAAGAAGAAGTATCTTGGTTGAAATAATTTGTCCTTGCTTCGTATAATATTTTTTTGGACATATGCTGAAGAAGTTCATTGCACCAGTGTGTGCAATATTCTTGCATCCAGGACCACTTATCCTTGTTTATATTTGTAGTTTTTTATTTTTACTTAATTTATTTATTATTTTACTCCCTTTTCGGCACTTGACATTACATATGGTTTGATGGATTTTGTTGCTCTTTATTGATACAGAACAAGCTAAAAGTGTACCTTGCACCATTTCTTTTTGGCATGCGCTACACATCTTTTGGTCGCCATTTTACAAAAGTGGACAAGCTGAAAGAGGTGAGTTAATTTCATACAATCATTTTTCATGGAAGCATGTACTCAATTCAGTAGATGCAATCAAAGTCATCTTGTCTTGTGCAGTAGGGTCACCTGGAACACTGTATTTTTCAAAACTTTTTGCCTATTTCATTGTTCAATTGTTTGAGCTCAGCTTAGAAGAATTGATGGACATTAGTTTAATTAGCTATGTGGATAATGAAATATGTGGCTTTTGCCTAGTGTCAATCATATGAAGTACTAAATTAACATTTTTGTTGTAAACATCACAATATCAAATATATTGTTATTATTATTGTTTTTAAAATTTGTACTGTCATAAACTACAATTGGTTTCTTAAAGCATAAAATACTTCCATATCAACCTGGGTAATTCAACGAAATTTGGAAGTTCTCTAACCACCGCATGCTTTGAATTGAATTCTGAAAACAGAAGTAACAATCCGCGGGCGTTGAATCTATGCATAAACTTCCAAATCACCAACATTCTATTATAAATGAATAGTTTTTAGTGTGTGTGTGTGTGTGTGTGTTTGTCTCTCTCCCCCAAACCCCACCCCCCCCCCCCCCCCCCCCCCCCCCTTCTTTTCCTTCTTAAATGAGAATGCTGAGATGGATGGGAGTGACTAGAAGAAATAAGTGTACCAATCAAAGTGTGAGAGAGTTTAGGAATAGTAGTTAGCCCCTATTAGTGATAAAATTAGAGAAAGCCCTTAGTTGGTATGAACACAAACAACGTAGCCTCACAGATGCACTAATGAGACAAGGAAGATTAGTTTGCATTAGTCTACGAGGCGAACCAATACTAACTTGGTATGAAACACTTAGAAATGACACTAAAATTAAATAAAGAGGAGACATGGCGTGGAATAGAATAAAATGATAAAATAGAATTCATGTGGCCAACCCCTTTCTTAGTCTTTTTTGCTTCCTTGAGAAAATGATCAGATACTAGGCATATAGAGAAACAATCATCTTAAATCATATATGAAAGCTCCTATTTGGGCATGTGCCCTAGTACATTGACCTCTCACAGAACTGAAACTCAAGTTTTTGGCTATTGAAAAAGAAAATCATTAGAGATGAACAAAGCAGGTACCGAGTGTTGTGGGGGCTTTCATTTGCATGTTAAGGGCAGTTTCTGTTATAGCACTAGGAATCAGGCCAAAACTAACTTGGAATGAAACACTTTGAAACGACTTTAAAATTAAATAAAGAGGAGACATTTCGTGTAATAGAATAAAATGATAGAATAGAATTCATGTGGCTAGCCCCTTTCTTAGTCTTTTTTTCTTCCATGAGAAAAGGATCAGATACTAGGCATACAGAGAAACAATCATCTTAAATCATATTTGAGATTGGAAGCCTTCGTTTACACTAGAAGATCATGTTGCCAAACTAATGGCTCCTATTAAAGTGGATTCCTATCAAAGAAGAATTTTGAATATTCAGTCAATTCTCTTTCCCGTTTTCCTTTGCATCCGGTTGTGCTTCATGTTGAATCACAATGCCGAAAAATCCCAAATCTTACACTTCGTAGTTTTAGTTGTTTATAAAAAGTTCTTTATTCTGTTTGATATAATGGTTAGAATAGATACTGGAATCAATTAAGTAGAAAACTTTGTCCCGTCTTAAAGCAACTACATATGTGTTGATTCCAACTTCCCAAATATTTTGTCCATGAAGGGATTTTAGTTAAAAAGTAAGTTCTTTAAATTTAGTTGAAGGTTTGAACTTGAACGTGATGGTGATTTCTCATTTTGATGCTTATCTTTTTCTTCATAATTACTAGCAATTCAAGTTTTGACATTTTCTCGCACTAAGTTTTTTTTTTTTTTTTGATAAGTAAATATGTATTAGAAAGCGTTCAAAAGGATTTTCTTGCACTAAGTAAGGTGTTGAAATATGTTTTTGTTTGTGTGATTAGTAAGAGAGTGTAATACTGATACGAGCAAGCTTAAGGCATAAACGATTACAAGGGGCATGCCCCTGGAATCACATGGAAAAGATAAAAAAAATAGCCTACATCCACCGGTCAACATAGATCCAACTATGCAACCAAAGAGCTAAAAAGAAAACCTCAAATAGAGGAAAGCAAACAATGTAGTGTGTTGAAGGATTTAAATAATAAAGTTGTACCCTCTCTGAATGGCTTGTTTAATGGCCCACTCTTCCACAAGGTATGATATTGTCCGCTTTGAGCTGGAGCTCGCATGGTTTTGTTCTTGATTTTTACCCCAAAAGACCTTGTAGCATTTGGAGATGGCACCAACACATAGAAGGGTTTCACCTTCACCTTACCCAGGCAATGTGGAAGTTAACCTGTAACCTGCTAGTTCCTCGCACTCACCCACGCACGCCTGCCCACAAGATCGCCACAATCACCCCGCCTTAGGGGGCCCAACGTCGTCGTTGGCCACACTTCCGGCTGGGCTCTAACTCTGACACCATTTGTAGTAGCCTATTCCACCACAAGGTATGATATTGTCCGCTTTGGGCTTGAGTTCGGTTTTGTTCTTGGGTTTTACCCAAAAAGGCTTCATACCATTTGGAGATAGCATCAGCACATATAAGCACTTCATCTTCACCTTACCCAGGCAATATTGGATTGTGCACCTGTAGCCTGCCAGCATGGTAGCCTACCAGTTCCTCGCACCCGCCCACGCACACCTGCCCACAAGGTTACCACAACTTAAGTTTTTAGAGTAGATGGTAGTTAAAAATTATATTAGAGCAGGCAAGGTTCTGAGTTCAAATTTGACCGTCACCCTAATTTTAAATTGGAACACGTGTTGGACCAAAAAGAAAGCCACACACGAGGGGTGTGTTGAAGGATTTAAATATTAAATTTACACCCTCTCTAAATGTCTAAGCTTTAGAGTAGATGGTGGTTAACATAGAGCAAAGGGGGGATTTTATTCACAGAACTGCAACAAAATTGAGAGTGTAACAAATGGTGTGTCAAGGGAAGACGGAGCGGTTAAGCTGAGCAACAAGCATGGGATAAACTAAGTGGCAGAAAAAAAAATCATTAAATCCCAGTTAAGGAAAGCAACACCAAAAGCAAGAGGTGAGATGAGGGTTAATAATGTATAGGGCAAAATGAGCAGCATAGAAAATTTAGTCAAAGATAATGGCCGGGAGGTTCCATTCACGAGCTAACCAAATGTTAGACCTTGAACACTTGACCTTTATAGCAGAGAACAACTTCAACCTTATGTATTCAGATATCAGATCCAGGTTGTGGTTATGATCATGGTAGCAGTTCTCATAAACCCTGGCGTTCCTCTCCCCTCCATAAGCCATGACTATGGCAGCTAGAGCAACTTTGTTGTGCATTTTGGAGAAACTTTTGCCTGAGATGTTTTAAGCAGCCCACTGCAATGTTTGGTCCCAATTACCAGCAGGCCAGTTCAGGCCACATTTGGCTTTGATAGAGTTCCAAGTGGAGGCACTATACCTGCACTCAAAGAAAAGGCGAGTGGGTTTCAGTAGCAGTCCTACAAAATAAGCAAGGATCTTGTTTCACAATTCTCCATTCCTTTAGCTCTTCCAAAGTTATAAGATTGCTCAGGATCATAAGCCAAAGAATGAAAGAGAATTAGTGTCCATTGGATTTTATCTGCACTGTTTTGATGGGGTTGACCAGCTGTGGATCTGGAAGAGGTTCTTGCAGGCTATTACCAAGAGCCATTGAGGATAATATCAGGAACTTTAGCTTGAGAGCCAAGATTTGGGAGATGGATAATTCTGCTTTGTTTAGACAACATAAAGATCCTTGAGGTATCCAATTATCCACAGAGAAATGTTTCTGCCATCAGCCTTGCAGACAAAGAAGCTTCTGACTTCAGATATGAGATTTAAGGCATTTCTGTAACTCCAGCTGCAATCAGCTGGAATGGGAATAGTCCAGAAGTTCCTATTCTCGATGAGAAATCCCTTGACCCATTGAGCCCAGAGAGAACTTGAGGTTTGTTGAAGATTGTGCTTTATATATCTTACAATGGCTGCCTTATTCCAGGCATGAATATTCTTAATGCCCAGACCACCTTCCTTAGTAAATTTTTTTACTCCATTTGACCTTTTAGCTCTACCTTTATCCAGAGTGAAGCCTTTCCAAAGGAATCTCCTGTGAATTTGGTCAATGCCGTGAATAACTGCTTTGGGAAGGATGAAATGAGATGACCAGTACACTTGAATTGAGAATAGCACTGAATTGGTAAGTTGAATTCTCAAGGATTTGGTCATCCTCAGGTAGGGCTGCAAATGAACCAAGCCGAGTTTTAGACTGTTCAGGCTTGGTTTGTTCGTTTATGGGCTCAGCTCAGACTTGGCTTGGGATCGTGTTGCGCTTGAAAAACTGATCTTGTGGTCGGTTCAGCTCGTTTATGAACTGAGCTTGTGTTTAGATGAGTTTAGGCTCGTTTTTAAGCTTGCCAGGATCGTTTAGTAAATCGTTGTATTTTAATTCTATAATTTCAAATATTAAAGAATTTCAATAGAAAAAAAAGAAGAAAAAGAATGAGATCTTCGCATTTGCCATTAGAGAGAGCCATTGGAGAGGGGAAAAAGGAGGGAGGTGAGAGAAGGAGGCTGGGGAAGCGTTGGCGGCAGGGGAGGAAGATGGATTTGTTGAATGTTAGTCCAACTCGTTGAAATAAATGTGATATTAATTAGTGTTATTAAAGGTGTGCTTGGGCGTGAGGCGAACACAGGTGCAGGTCCAGCGCCTGTTGGTAGCCCAGGTGCAGCGATGTCTTTTAGGTGCATGGCTGGGCTGTGCCTCATCCTGGGCGTCAGGCACGCCTGACTGATGTGTATATATTTTAAATGATTATTATATTTTTATAAGCCAAAAAGGGAATTTTTGGCAACTTCTGGAACTTTTGTTCAAAAGAATAAACAAATAAGAAAGCCAAGAGTGAACTAAACGAATAAGAAAGTCAAGAGTCAAATACCAACAGAGAAAGACATGAGAGAGTGAGGCTGTGAGACGAGCAGAGAAAGACGGGAGAGAGTGAGACGAAGCCCTATGTTGCAGAGACGAACGACGAAGCCAGGTCAATTGTCTTCTCGTCTACTCTCTCTCTCTATCTTTTCTATCTCCCTCCCCCCCCCCCCCCCCCCCCCCCTTTCTTTAAACAGCTTCTCTCTCTTCTCGTCTACCTTTCTCTCTTCCCTCTTCTGTCTATGCGGTTTTTTTAGAATATTAATGACTTATGAGATATGAATGCTTTTATGGTAGTTTAAATTTTCAATTGTGCGCCTTGCTTCACTCAGGTGCGGCTTGCGCCTAGGCTCAGAGGACCTCTAGCGCCTCTGTGCGCCTTGGGCCTTTAATAACACTGATTCTAATTACATCAAAGTTTAAAAAGAATGTATATTGATTGCTCGAGTTCTCAATCTGGATGGTGATTTTGATTCAATTTTTGTCATTTATACTTGGGAGACAAGTTGTTTGAATTGATTAAAAGCCCCCACTTGGTGAGAGAATGCACCATTTTTTGAGTTTTTTATATCATATTCTCTCCATCTTTTTATTTGGATATGCATATTGTATTTTTTCTTTATAATTGTTGAGCATGAATTATCTTTAACCACTTATCTCAAACCTTTTTATTTTATATTTTATTTCTTTTTATTTTCCTTTTTGAATGCTGAAAGTCTGATTTTGGATGTGCAGATTGTTAATATGCTCCATTTGTACGTACAAGATGGTGACATGGTAAGAATTTGTGCTCATCTTTTTCTTTCTTCATTTTTATTTTATTTTATATATACTCTGATTTTCACTGCTATTATTGCCTTCTTTATCTTAGGAATTTTTTTATGATTCTGAAGCAATGACATCTAACCTCTCTGTAATTTTCAGTTGTGATAATGATATGATCAAGGCTGTTATATTATTGAGTCATTTGCCTAGGGAAAAGATATAAGCCCTAGAGAAGGGTGATTGTTACATGAAATGCAAGAATGCGAGGTCCTCAACGTAAATGAGGGTGGAGGCATTTTATCGGGATTCGCTAAGGCATACGAAAACATCCATAGTGGGTCTCACGCCTTGCTAATCAACACATCCCAACAGCCACATTGGTTGTCCACTCGGGAAATGGGTAAGGAAGCATTGACAAGGATCTTGTGCTGTGGTGCACTGGTGCTGTACCGCATTGGACGGATCCCAGCACACACATGATGAGCATTCACACATGCAAAGGCTGGGCACCACAGAAGAGGATCCCAGCTCAAGGAAGCACATCCACTATTCAACAGCACAAGTATTGAGGCTCTTTTAGTTTCATTAGTGATGTGTCTCCAGTGTATACTGCGGTACCATGGGAAACTTTCATAAGTCGAGGGACAAGTTGGCTCGTGCAAGTATCACAACATGGTGTGATGCTCGTTGTGAGGGACCATGATCCCAAATGGGATGGTTGTTTTTGTTGTGCTACGGAGGATTGGAGAGCACCTTGTTGTGTGGGGGTGTAGGTGGGCACTTGTAGACCACTACTCGTGATCTGGTGACTGGGGAGTGTCTATGCTGTGGTTGGTATTTGTACGACGAGCATAAGGCTTCTGTGGCTGCTTCCCTTGAATAATCTTTTCCACGGCACATGCCTTGGACCTATAAATCCCAGAGCCAAGGCGACATGAGGATGCACCTCTTTTGGCCTGGGGACTCAGTGCCGTCTTGAGCAATTGTCCTGCCCAAGTTTTCTCCCTTCTGCCACACTCTCTTCATCCTTTCCATTTCATTCTATTTTGTGAGCCACTAATCCTTCTGGCTTCTGCTTGATCCCTCCCTCTCTATAGATATGAAATTGAACATAAGATACTCTTCTTTGTTTACTATAACGTTGGTGGCCTGAATAGATGTCTCCCTACTGAAATGTTGCATTTGGATTTTCTTCCTCTTGATTTATTCAGAATTCATTTTCTAGATATGTTATATTAAAATTGTAAATTCTATTATGATATGTGTGTGTTTGCATGTATATTATTATATATAGGTACTAATTTAATTTTTTAGTACCTGACTGCTTACTTTTCCTGTTAACAGATTGTCGACTTCTGTTGCGGTGCTAACGATTTCAGTTGCCTTATGAAAAAGAAGCTTGATGAGACAGGAAAAAAGTGCTCATACAAAAACTATGATGTTTTACAGACAAAGGTGACCCCCAGTTTCCTAATAATAAGTTTTTCAGCTTGTCATCTCCCAATTATATGATTTTTTTTTTTTTTTTTTTTTTAACTGATCTGTTTTTCTTTATTGTTATTTATAACACGTTCTTGATCAGGGACGGACCCAGCAGGGGACTAGGGGGGGCATCTGCCCCCCCTGAATTTTTAATATTTTCATTTTATACCTTAATGTTTTTAAAATTTATGAAAATGCCCCTCTAAAATTACAATTCGCCCCCACTGGATTCTTTTTTTTTTAGCATTTTATACTTCAAATTTTGATAATTTATGAAGATGCCCCACTATAATTATAATTTGCCCCACTGAATTTTTTTTTTTCATTTTATACTTAAATTTTTTAAAAATTTATGAAAAAAAAACCCTATTAAAATTACAAAAATGAACCTATCATATAATTTTGTACCCACAAATTAAAAATTCGCCCCCCCTCACCAAATTTTCTGGGTCCGTCACTGTTCTTGATGTTGTTGAGTTGCACTGTGGTATGTATATGGGTCATTAGAAGTTGATAATATATCCCAAAGGCAAACTGGTCTTTGAAAACAGTTCTATATGCGCGTGTTTGAAACATCAGTGTTTGTATGTCTATGCATCTGCATAAAATGTCTGGTGCACGAGAGTTCTTGAACGGGTAAAGCTCAATTATTTTTTGAGTGTTTTAATCAGTGTTGGAGATGGGCAGACACATGGCAAGAAGTGTCGTAAGCTCCCACTGTGGTTATATAGGAGTTCTTGGCATGTCACAATTGCCAACTGTGGTTATATAGGAGTTCTTGGTGCATCACAATTAATTTGTTGAAGAGTTATTTAGGTTTTTTGATCTGATTTTTTACATGGAATAATGCTATCCTGTAATTTTAAGGCATAAAATGGCATATTATATCATACAATTTATTATATTTGGATGAATACCTCTTTATATCAAGTGGTGTTGATTCCATGATGGTTATACAATGACATACAAGAGGTTTATAGCAAAATGAAAACGGCTGGACTTCAAATAATTTCTTATTGGGAATTTGGACTTTTTGTTCTTGGAGTGTGATTTGCTTTAAGACTATCATGATGGCTATGATGTTTGGCTTAGGTAGGTCCAATATGCTCTCCCATATTGGTACATTTCTACCCATTGCCATTTGGGTTGTAGCTCTGGTTTTCCCTTCTTTTTGGATGATCCCGGCTTGTGTTCATATAAATATTGTCCGAAGCATAACCTTTCTATTTTGTATATTGATATGCTTGAATGGTTAGGAGTAAATGTGTACTGTTTGTGGATATGATTGGGGATGTCAAATCCTTGCAATATTTACTAAAATGACCTTATTTGAGTTGGGTAGCGGTATAATAATGTTGGTTTTTCTTCCTAATGTTTGTTTCCTCTCTCTCTCTCTCTCATATTTGGTGCTGCATGATTCTTTTTTGTAGAATGATTTTAACTTTGAGAAGAGAGACTGGATGAGTGTCCGTCCAAAGGAATTGCCTACAGGGTCACAGTTGGTGAGAAAAATTGAATTCATATAATACACAGTTATCTGAAGTCCTTGGTCAACTCACAATTGCTTCACCATATTTCTTGTTTCTTGACTAGATCATGGGGTTAAATCCTCCTTTTGGAGTTAATGCAGCCCTAGCAAACAAGTTCATTAGTAAGGCACTTGAGTTTAAGCCAAAACTCCTCATCCTTATTGTTCCACAGGAGACAGAAAGGTAGTTGCTTGCATACTTGTGTTCATCTCTCTCTCTCTTTCTCTCTGTGTCTCTCTCTCTCTCACCCAGAACTTGGTCATCCTTATTGCTCCACGGGAGCAGAAAGGTAGTTGCTTGCATACTTGTTCACCTCTCTCTCTCTGATGCATCGCTCTTTGCCTGCCCAGGTTGGATAAGAAGGAACCCCCCTATGATCTAGTGTGGGAGGATGATGAGTTGCTTGCTGGCAAGGTGAAATAAGGCATCCTTGTGGCTATATTTTATTTTATTTTATTTTATATTATTATTAGAATTCAAGTTTGTTTGGTGGCTTATCCGGTGTCTTCTTCCTTTCCAGTCTTTTTATTTACCTGGATCTGTTGACGTAAATGACAAACAAATAGATCAATGGAATGTGAGCCCACCACCACTCTATCTTTGGAGTCGCCCTGATTGGACTGCTAAGCACAAGGCAATTGCTCAACAGCATGGTCACTCATCCAGGGTACGGGAGGAGTCATGTTTGAATGAAAATCAGCACGAAATGCTGGCCAATGATTTTCATCCAGTGGAGAATCATGATCTTACTGCTGAAACTTCAATAGTGATAGATGATTATTCTTTTCAAAATGGAGAACCAGAACAGGTTCAAGAAAGAGCAAGTGTGACTACAGATCATAAAGAAGGCCCTTGCAATAATGGTGACAGAGAAGCCCAGAAGAATCATGACCTTAGTAAGAACCTATCTAACGAGAATCCGAAAAAGAGACAGCGTGATAAAGGAAAGCATGGGAAAGGTTCAGGTGAGATTGCCCCAGAAGACAGACAAAAAAGTAGTAGTTCATCTGTGGGTGTGATGTCTAAGGGAATGGCTCGCCATTCCCCACACCATTCTGCTCGCCGTTCCCCTCGCCATTCCGGTCGCCCTTCCGCTCGCCCTTCCCCACCCAAGGTGACTGGTGCTAAATCATTGGATGGGCACCCATCCAAACCTCTTGAAATACCCTTGCATACAGAGGTTGGCAACGAAAGGCAGTACAACCAAATCGGTGCTGGATCCAGTTCACAGTTTCAGACGGGATACGCTGGGGCTTCGGCTGATGACATGGGAAGGAGGTATGGCTTGAACACCGAGGAGCGTTATACAGGTGTAACCCATAGATATTCAAGCGGTGTTAGTCCTGTTCCTGATTACGGGGTTAGGAATTCAGAGGAACGGATTCCCGGTTACCAGAGAGAGAGTGCAGATAACTACGGTTACAGATCTTCTTACATCGGTGAGATGGATGGTAGGTATGGAATGGAGCCAGATATACGGTCACAGGTCCCATTTTATGGGCGACAAGATCATGATCCTTTAAGTCTAAGCAGCAGCTATTTAGCAGGTCAGAATCCTGGGTTTCAATCTTCCTTTGGGCAACCAGGCTTGGCAACTGAGTCATCTTACAGTACAATGGGCACATCCACAATGCAGCGATATGCACCTCGACTGGATGAATTAAACCACACGAGGGCCAACCCCTTAGCGCCTGATCTGTCTATGATGCGTAGGCATGGCAGCTACGACCCTCTAGCTCCCCGACCAGGATATGGAGCTGACACACTTGGTTTCGCCCCTGGCCCTTACGGCTCCTATTCACAACGGAACTCATCAGGCTGGCTCAATGAGTAGATTGTCTAGCATATGCTTTTTGATGTAACAGGTTTACTATTTTTTGTGAATATTATGTTGCGGCTAAGACATTATTTGTCGTGGCTGTCATCTTTGCTTCCGAATAATTTGTTATGACATTTTATATTGTATAGCTGATTACAGTCGGGCCTACTTCGTTTGTCACTCAAAAAATAATTTTATACAGTTCTATATTTTTAGAAAATTGAAAATTAGAAAACTTTATAAAAATTCTCTTTGGTTCAGTATTTTAAAATCTGTTTTTTGAAAACTCAGTTATAAAAAAATACTTTGTTTTTAAAGAATTGTTTTTTATAGGTCTTAAAAAATATGGTTCTTGAGAACTCTTAAGCGACAAATCAAGAAACATTTTGCGAGTCGTTCCGTGTAATATGAAATGTGCAGCGCAAATGGTGCTCACAGAAGTAATAGTATTTTGAAACTAGATTTAGGCCTTGTTTGGGAGCTTCTCGACACTAAAAATCTTTTTGTTGATAATTCCTTCCTATAAGGAATTTTGTCCAAAGGAATTTAGGTTTGGTGAGTCTACTTTTTACAAGTCTTACAAGTCATTCAACAATTAAATAATTTTTTATTTGACAAGAATACCCATCTCCTTTTTACTCAATATATATATATATATACACATATATATTTATTTATTATGACCAACAAAATGAGAATGCAGTAAACACAATAAAAAAGAAAATCGTACTCCTCCATCTCCCTTTAAGCCCATTAACCTCCTCACTCTCTCACTAAGCCAACAATGGCAAGAAGACCAATCGATGCATATATATATATATATATATAAAATTATAGATGGGTGTTTATTTTTATTTTTTATCAATTGGAAGCTCCAAAGCAGTCTACTGTTAAAGTGGTTTGAGAATAGACAATTCCGGTAACCAGCGTTGAAATTATCCAAACGCAAAATTCATTGTCTTCATCATTCATCCGCATAATTTTCATCTCTATTTCAATCTCTAAAAGAACCCTCAATATATAAATTTTATCTTTTAACACGTGTGCAAATAGATCCACCATGTCTATATAAAAAGTTTACGAAAATTTACCACCATTTGAAGCCCCTTCCCACTCTCTCATTACCCTCTTCTCTTATGTACTAATTTTTCAGATCTGTTGCATATTTGAATAACAGATTAGAAGCATAACATTGTACATAAGTGATATCAAGGGTTGTGCAGTCGCGTCGCCAGCGACAAGGTGGCAGAGGAAGGAGTGGTAGTGGTGGTGGTGGCCACCTGATCGGGTGGTGTTCGTTCGGTGGTGGCCAGTTTATTTTGTTATCAGCCGTTAATGGTAAATTCACAGAGATAATTGATAAGACTGTATTTTACAATTACGATTATTCACGTTGGGGAAGTGGGTTGTAAAAACAACTATGAGTTACTTTTGCTGAACGGGCTTTTAAGGAGCCAAATTTTATGGAAGTCGGTTTCGAATTTTTTCAAACAAAGAGGCTTATTGTGAAACGGGCTTTTTGAGTTTAGAAGTCCGTTTTGGGGATTCAGAAAGCCCAGCCAAATAGGGCCTTAACTGTATTGAACGCACTTAAAACAACATGGTGTTGTCCTTAATACATTTACATAGCTGTATTCGATGATTAAAATGATATGGTACATGATTTCATAAATTGGTGCATTAGTAAGATTTATGTCAACTCTCCATGTAGTCTTGTAGTTCGATCATTGATTCATTGATGTCGTTTTACGTTAAATCTGCTTAGGCTCACACCAGAAAATTGGGCAGATTAATGTGACCCACATTTGAAAGTTTTAGTAGATCTATTTTTTCACATCCAAGTGACCTTATTGTTCTTTTTAATAATTTTTTTATTTTTATTTTTTACATTCTCACTTTATTATCATCAACTTTAGGCTTATTATCAACCGGCCTGTGGCTTTACGGTTCAAGACATTTACTTTCCAAAAGGAGGTTAGGGGTTCAAACCTCTTATTTTTGTCCCTCATGCATACTTTATTAATTAGTTTTCGCGGTACACGCGTACAAGTACCACTGGGCACAGAAGTTATCTAATTCTCGTTGGATTCAGTTTCATCAGCACCATGTCCGGGGTGTCCGTGTCCGTGCCCGTGTCCGTGTCCGTGCCCGTGCCCGTGCCCGTGCCCGTGGCCCTGGCCCTGGCCGTGTCCGTGCCCGTGCCCGTGCCCGTGCCCGTGCCTGTGATATTTGGCCTCCTCCACACCGTCCATTTGCACATTCTCCTCTGTAAAGCATAATTAGTCTCAAAATAGTGTTTCTAAAATTCATTAAAAATTCAATTGGTTCACTAATTTTTTTTCAAAACATTTATATAATAACCCCGAAATAGAGAGTTTGAAAATAAATTTAGTTTCTCCTTGTAACTTATAGAAAATTTTAACTTAGGTTCACCCTTCTAGTTATACTCTTGAAAACTCAAATTGTGAAACAAAAATTTAAGTTCATTACCATTATAGTCCTTGCCGCAACACACAGTTATACCATTTATATATACTCATGTACAATATCTACTACCTTGTTGCATGAACCTTTTTTGTCAAACATTTTAAAAAAATACTAATGTTTTCTCATGTTTAATAAAAACACATGAAACTTTTTTATAAAACACTTTTTTTAATTTGTAAAATGGTGTTTACAAAAAAAAATATCTATGATAATATACCAATCTCCATTCATGAGTCCTAGGAGTATTTATTTATTTAGACGGCCAACAACAATAATATCATACATGTTTATATATTCAAATTTTAGTTATATAGTATAAATTCAGCCCCAATTTGAAATTCCTAACTTAAAGGAAATAAACCCAGCAATAATATTCGAGTTGTTTTTTTTGACATGGCACAGTATGATTGGAGAGCATGGTATTAAATTAAAAGTAAAGGGTACTAACTTGATTGCAATATTATGTAACATGTGTACATATAACATTGAATATTGGTATCTAACATAAATACATAAAATAAAATAAAAAAACGTATAGACAACAAACATGTATATATGTATGTATATATTCAATGGTTGAAGTAAGAAAAATAAATTTAGATAAAAGTTGTTGGGAAAGGGTGATAATAGGATCAAAATCTTCTCCTCCACTTGGTGAAATTTGTCACCATTAATAGCAACTCATGTTATTTTTATGGTGTGATATGAGTGAAGTTTCAAACTATTTACGTTTCGAGTGTATTTTACACCATTATAGTAACTATCAAGGTAGTCTATCGATACATCTTTGTCTTCCAAAATGGAAGGCTTGAGTTACTGTTGATAGTAATGGACCGCGGGTGGTTTTGATTCATGAGAAAACTTGAAAACTTAATAACTTGATATATCGAAAGGTTTGAGTTACTATTGATGTTAACAATAGCCTAAGGATACATCATCGTCGGAAGGGTTGAGTTATCAATGATGGTAACGAACTTCACCAAGTGGATGGAGCGTGGGTAAATTGAATTGATCCAAGAGAAAATATATCTCGAAGGTGGATGAGAGTGTGGGTGATTTTGATCCATGAGAAAAATTAATATATTTCGAAGGGTTGAGTTACCATGGATGGTAACGAACTTCAACAAGTGGATGGGATTGTGTGTGAATTTGATCTGTGAGAAAACTTAATACATCTCTAATGGTAAAACAAGCACATATGCACTCTTTTGTCAGACGCTCGGCTTGAACCCCTCTCCTCCTCTCTTATGATGGGTAGACTATAGTATACTGCTAGGCCAAATGTTCTTTAATACAATGAATGTAGGTTCATTGTCCGGCTTAATGTGTGTGTGTGTATATATATTATATATATACCTTAATACCTATCTATGTGATATTAAAATTAAAAGTGAGGAATGAACTCACCTAGTTCTCTAGCTGAAACCTGGGAGGATATGACAAGCATGATAGCAAATACAAGTCCAAGAAAAAAAAGAGAAGTCTTGGAGTAAGCCATCTCCTTGAAATGAAGAGTACTACACTGTAAGAAAAGTACTTCTGCTCAAGGAATAGATGAGAAGTGCAGCTAGCCTGACTCCCACTATTTATAGAAATGTGGAGAGAGAGAGAAAGTGTGTGTGTGTGTGTGTGAGAGAGAGAGAGAGAGAGAGAGAGAGGAATCAAATTTAAGAAATAATTGAGGACGGTAGGAGTGTCCATTACCTTACTTATTATTACTTTTTCTCTTCCAGAATACTCGTCCGTCTTAAAAACTGTAACAAGTATTTACTCAAATTTATTAAATTGATAGGGTACACTTTAACGAATGGCGGATGGCACTCTTAATGGTCAAATGCAATAACTAAATGGTCATTAGGTTTCATTTCAAAAATTAGTTATCATGTGAATGAACTTCTCTCTGGTTACCGATGAATAATTCACACTTATTTCGCTTAAAATTTGAAATCTTAATTTTGTTGGAGTTATTGTTTCAAATTTATCCTCTCTATAGTTTTGAAGACTGAGGACTTGTTTGGTAGCGTTTTGTTTTGGTGTTTTTGATTTTGTAAGATACTATAGTGGTGAACAGTGAAAAATGTTTATAAAAATTATTTTATTTTGCACAGTGTCGAAACGTTTTGTGAATAATGGCAAAAAATTAAAATACCAATTTGATATTTTTATATGTTTCCACACTACAATGTTTGATATAGTATTGATGAACAGTAATTTTGTTTTTTTAAAAAAACTTTTAAATTATATTTTTAAACTAATCATTATATTTTTCAAATTTATAATATTTTTTTACCAAATATGTTTTCATATTTTTACTTCTAAAAATCTTGCAACAAATAGACGTTGCCAAATTAACATACTTTCGATTACTGTTCAAAACTCTTAAAACAAAACACGGACCAAGCAAGTTCAAATCTCTTAAAACAAAACACAGACCAAACAAAACACAGACCAAGCAAAACACAGACCAAGCATGCAAGTCCTAAATTTGGACTTTATATTTACAAAGTCGTTATTTTAAGACTCTAACTTAAAGGTTTTTTTTCACCCAATACAATTAATATATTATTTATGAGTAAGTTTAAAATACATTAAGTGTTTTGTTACATATACCTTCTAACTATGTTAGTATAAAGATCACCATGATATAGATGGCTAGAAAATTTTGCATTATTCCTTTCTTAATATACGAAACATATAATTAAATCTATTTTTATGAGAGACTGATCATGACCATTAAATTAGTTTGATTCAAAGGACGGTATTGTTGATGGCCATTTTTTTATTTCATTTCATCCTTATCTCTAAATTATCATGTTATGTCCTCTCACTTTCTCACCGACCACTTTTGAGTGATCTAAATTTTCATACAATACACATGTTAGTATGTAGTAGTATCAATAATTTTATGTGGTCCATGCTAGAATGTAATGTCCACGTAAAAATATAAATACTAAATGGACCACATAAAAAATATTAATACTAGCATGTGCAGTGTTTAAAAAATTATATATATATATATATATATATATATATATATATATATATATTATAACATTAACATAAATTTACCATTAATTTTTGAAATTTCCGTGTTCTTAAAAAAAATCATAAGTAGAAAATATTGAAAACAATTGGAAGAATTCATTGATTCTGATTTTTGTCCTTGCAATTAAAAAGGAGGACTGACTTGTAATTTTTTTCTATTTTTAATTGCCACCAGACTTTGCAATATTAAAAAATAAAAAAAGAAGCAACAAATTATTTGAGTTACACTATTCATAATTTAAAAAGTTTCTCAAGTGTATAATATATTTCATGCAGTACTATATTGTGAAAATTCAATGAATTTTCCAAATTGTTTGTGTACATTTTAAACTATGGTATATAAAAAAATTGAATCAAGAGAGTACGGATTTTTGTTGAAAAGTTGTTTAATAAATAGATAAAAAAAAAAAAAAAAGCGAAGCTAATGTTATGTTTTTGAAGTATCAAATCGGCGCCTTAAAATTCGAATGGACTAAATTTAAATTAAATTTCCTTTAATTTCGATTCCAAGACGCAACATAAATGTATTTCAATAGGGGAGAAATTGAAAAAGAAATTATTAGTACAGAGTTATGAACTTAATTAATTGGGAATACGTATTTGTAAGGAAAATTGGAGTTTATCATCTTAGTAAAATTTTTCCTTCCATTTTAAAACGTGAAAGAGAAAATACATCGTTGGACTACTACCCTTGGTGGATGTTATTTATTAAATGTAATTGATTATATGTCGAATACCGATATTTTACGAATACTCGCAGATACGTGTTTGATACTTTTTAAATGTATCAATAATATTAAAATATATTTTTTAATTTCTAACACGTTTCCGATACGTTTCAAACATTTCTTAAATATTTCGAATGTATTCGATATTTTTCTCAAATACTTTATAACATATTTTTAATAAATTTGAACATTAAAATGTAATTTTTTCGAAAATAATAATATAGCACAATTGTTAAGAAAAATTTAAATTTTATAAAGTGGTGATTCGGGATGATGATCTAAAAGGTCACAGGCTTGAGAATATCCATATGGACCCAATTCACCGGGCCACAAAAAACAAAGGTCTTGTAGGCCCACGGGGTTGACCTTTTTGTACTGATCCAAACGGTGTCCTTGCATATCACATCACGTAATTATGTTTGCTTGGTTACGTCATGTCTCACGTTAGTCTCCTATTTTTTTTTTAACTTTTTTTTTTCTTTTCTTTTCTGAGGGAACTTATTTTTATTTTTATTATTATTTTTTTTTTCGGGTAAATCAATTTATTAACGAAAAAGAGATGTAGAAAGGGCAAGCCCAACAAAAGTCGGCAAGAAAACAAAGATCAGGAGACCAAAGAACAAACAACAAGAGGCAACAGTCTCTAACCAGCAAACAGAGGGAACTTTTTTTTGTAACTAAATAATTTATAAAAAGTAATACTAAAATGTACTATTATTTTCTTTAACAATTCTATTTAAATAGAATTCAATAATTGTTCTTTGTCAAAAAAAAAAACAATATTTGTATCAATAACAAGATTAGAGTAATGCAGGAAGAGAAAGGAAATGAGACATTTTGTCAAAAATTGTCACATGCATATATACAGTTAATTATTCAAAGGGTCTATTTTTATCTCATTTCACCTTTTTCACTTTTGCCTTTGCAATAGTAAGTCATGCTTGGTCAAAAAGGATAATATCTCTGTTGAGGGTGAAATTCACGCAGTCTGATATAACACTATTTTCTTGCAAAGAAGAGAGGAGAAGATCGATAAATCTTGACGGCACCGGTGTGATGCCTGCCAAGAGCTCTCCGACTGTCAAATTAGTCACCGGAGGTCTAAAAAGAAGTCAGGAATTTAATAATAGTTTTTTCGTCGTATCTTATTCCCGAGTCGTCGTCCTATTTATCGTCGCTTCCCTTATTTTCAATAAGGGAATTTCATCATCCTTATCTCATGGAACTTATCTCATGAAAATCTTATCTTTGATAAGATTTGTCATCATCCCCATGGAAATCGTATCCTGCATAAGATTTGTCATCATTCTTATCCATGGAAATTGTTACCCCTAATAACAAAATATGATCGTTGATTACCGAAAAGATCTGGGGGTTGGTCAACACTTGGTTGCCTCTATCATTAGGTCAAGATATGTTTATTTTTCCCTATCAGTTGCTCCCCAAGTTTGCTCGTCTAGCTTTGGGAATGTAAGATTTTTTTTTTTTTTGCCCCCGACACTATTCATTGAATAGTAGAGTATATATATATATATATATATATATATATATATATATATATTTCCCTTGCCCTGGGAACGGTACCCGCGGGTACTATTCCCGTGGGTACTGTTCATATGAACAGTAGAATTTTATATATATATATATTTTTGGCCCTGGGAACAGTACCCGCGGGTACTGTTCATATGAACGGTAACAAAATTTTTTTTTTTTTCCCTGTCCTGGGAATAGTACCCGCGGGTACTGTTCATATGAACAGTAACATTTTTTTTTTGTACTGTTCCCTTGGGTACTCTGCCCTGGGTACTATTCATAGTACCCTTGGGTACTCTACCTCTGGGTACTATTTTTGGTATCCTTGGGTACTCTGTCTATGGGTACTATTTTTGGTACCCTTGGGTAATCTTCTCTTGGGGTGCTCTGCCTCTGGGTACTATTTTTAGTACCCTTGAGTAATCTTCCCTTGGTAAGGGAATAAATTATACAAACTTTACTCAGGTCGTCACTCCTTTAGTAAAGGAATTGAATTTTACGAGCTTTACTTAGCTCACCCCTTTAGTAAGGGATTTTTATTTACTATCCCTTATTGTAAGAGGATATTAATTACGGGATTCATTCAGCCCGGGTCTTTGTAGTACAGGACACTCATTTATTATCTCTTATATTACGAGGATATGGATTACGAGATTCATTCAGCTCGGGTCCTGATAATACATGATACTTATCCCCTATAGTTCGGGGATATGGATTACATGATTCATTCAGCCCGGGTCTTTATAATACAAGATACTCATTTACTATCCCCTATAGTCCGGGGATATGGATTACGAGATTTATTCAGCCCGGGTCCTTGTAATACAGGACACTCATTTACTATCCCTTATAGTACCGGGATACGGATTACAGGATTCACTCAGCCCGGGTCATTTTAATACAGGACACTCATTTATTATCCCTTATAGTACGGGGATACGGATTACGGGATTCACTCAGCCCAGGTCCTTGTAATACATGACACTCATTTACTATCCTTTATAGTACGGGGATACTGCACGTATAAAGATAATTGACCAAGAGTCAAGGCAACTGAAAGGAATTTTATTAAAAACCATCATTGCCTCAAGGCTTATTAAAAATAAGATAACACGTGAGGGAGTTACTGTAATACCCCCTAATTTCGGAACACGGGTTGATCAAGTCCGCGCACAAAATCAAGGGATATCAAACCAATTAAAGTATTTAAACAAGCACGGATTACAAAATGAAATAAAGAATAAAATAAAACGCTGAAGAAATCCAATTAATAGTAAATCCATTAATAACTTCCAAATGGTTACAACTCGAGAATCCCGTAACTCAAGGACCCCTTAACCAAAAGTTACTATTTAGAATTTCAACCAAATAAGTACTAATATCAACTGAAACAAAACTAATATCCTACTTTTAAGTAAATAGAAGGAATGGATAAGTCCTCCAGCTGCGGATCCTCAACCTTGAGACTTGACCTTCTACAACCTGAAAAATAAATCGCGGGTTAAACCCTACGAGCAAGTTCTCTCTACCAAGCCTCTGAAAACCAATAAACAGATCATCTTTACCAAAACCATCCCTAATTAAGCTTTAACTTTAATATACGATGCTACAAATATATATAAGTACTTATATATATAGTGCAAGAATCCTACCAGTTAATAGGGCATTAAATTGTCAAAACCACTCACCAATAATTAATTATTAGTCATACCTAGACCAAGCCCCCCCTTTTATAATTTTCTCATAAAGTAAACCCCACGCACCTTAACTCCATCCTAAACAGTAATTTAGTCATCTACACATATAGCAATTTAAATATGCACCGGCAAATCAACCATACCATTTATAAATATATTTATTTATATATTAGCAATTCAACTATGCTTCCTTCAATATATTTACTTTTACAATTAATTAGCAATTCAACCATGCTTCCTTCAATATATTTACTTTTACAATTAATTAGCAATTCAACCATGCTTCCCATATATGAAATTTATTCATAACCAATAAGGCAGTATATCAAAGTCTTTGGCAACTCATCCATGCCTACAATTCAACCATGTATTAACTTTAAACTTAACTCTAGGTATAATTATACATAGACTTCACATGCATATAATAAGCATGTCCTTAATTTAATAACCGTGTATCTATTACGATTTTAAATCAACCATACCATACACGAATCAAGTCATACCAAACAAGATTTATAATATTTAATAATCTTAAATAATATATATATACACATATATTTTATAAAATATATATGTGTGTGTATCATACATTCCATACCAATCGTTGACTATTTAAAATCATATCTACATATATATACACATATATACACCTCATTTCATTGCAAAAATATTTAATTAATTATATTTATACCACTAAAAGCTACTAGGTATCTTAGTAACACTCTGAGGCTCTCAAAATATCAAGAACACACCCTCTAATGATTAATTTTAACCCTAACAAGCTTAAGATAAATACTGGAACTTCACCGGAGTCTCAAGCAACTTTCCAGGACCTCACACGCATCCCCACGCGCCTTCACGCGCCGCCACATACCCCTAGACTACTCCCACGCGCCTCCACGCGCTTCCCCTTACCGGCAGGCGCGTCCACGCGCCCTCACGCGCCTGAGCCACTCTCAGCGCGTGTTGGCAGCTCCTAATTGGTTGTTGTTTGGTGCTCTTGGTAAGCCGCGATGCACTGGATCCTCTCCCTTAATCAACTACATCTAACCATTGACGCCGCATGTGTATCAACTTACAATGGACCGCATCACACCAGATCAATCCAACTAAATTAAATTAATCATATGGCCTAGATCAACGAGTGCACCCTTTTCCTACGTATGCGACCACACTGGATAAAAATCCTATTGATGCGCAAATACTAGCCGCCTCCAGTGTATTTGTTAAACAATTTAATATATATATATATATATAACAATTTCTAAATTAACATTAAAAATACAAATTAATTTCAGAAATTGTTCAGAAATCTCAGAAAAATCCCAAAAGCTCTATTTATTATTTTGGGCATAAATGAACATATACAATTAAATTAAAATCCATTTAATTTAATTAATCGTGCTACACAAGGTTAACGCAAAATATAAAAATTTTAGCAAAAATAAAATTTAATTAACCTAACCTCACATACAAGATCTAAATTATCAGAACAATGCATACATATATTCACATGTTTAATTCTATAATTTTGTAAAGAATAAATATGCTCCTCCAATCTGAATAATAATTTAATTTAATAAAATAAAATTATAATTTCGATAATCAAGGTGATAAGTTTATGAGTTCTAAGAGGAGAAGTAGAGAGGAACTCGCCTTTTCTTTTCCAAATCCGGTCTCCTCTTACGTTCTTTGATCCGGCCTCCTCTTCGTTAGCCCTTCTTCTTCTCTCTCTAATTCTCTTATTTTTCTAACGTGGAAAAACTCCTAACCCTAAAGTCTTATGTGTCTATTTATATACATACAAAAACTAAATCCTTTTCCCATTAGGATTATCATATAAAATAAATAATATTTATCTTTTAAATAATATATATACATACATATATTTTACTATAAACATATATATATTACCTTCCATATATAACCATTAGTTAAATAAATTATATATACCTATATATATCAATATATAATTATATTGACATATATACCCCTCCACATGATTTAATAATGAATTAATATCCTCATGTAATTATATAGGTATAATTATGCAAAGATAATTATTAAATATCCTCATAACCACGGGCCTTTACCAATTAACCCAACAAGGCTTCCTTCAAGCCCAATACCACATCCGTTGGTCCAACTTCCTTTAATCCCAACCCAAATAACTTAAATACCTAAAATAATGAAATTAAATAAAGTTACACCAACATAAAATCACGCAAATCAAATAAAAAATTCACTAACTAGCATTCCACAAATCAAACACCGTATAAATTTAACAAATAAAATTACAAAATATATAATTTAATTAAAACAATACAATTTACCTACGCACTTAATTAAATAAAACAAATCACAACTATCAAGCACCTAATTAAATAAAACAAATCACTTAAAAATAATAATAATAATATAATATAAATTAATTTAATTAATAAATCCTTTTTACAATATCGGGGTATTACATTCTTCCCCCCTAATAAAAGGAATTTCGTCCTCGGAATTCACGAATCCATGAAATGAAATTTTGATTATTTGTCCCAAACTTTCATTTTCCCTTATTCCACTGTTTGCCATGTAAGATATTTAATATGTAAATATCTATAATAAAATGCTCACAATTGTGTAAATTACTTAAACACTTAGTGGTGTAATATACTAACAGTCAATGATTTGTATATATATGTATAAATATATATCACCATCATAAGCCAAAACCATCCAGATACTAATGAACATGATGCACTTATATCTACTAAGTCATTTCTACATCTACCTTGAAATAAAAAAAACATACCTCAATTCTTCTGAGGTACCCATGCATTGCAAGGTGTGGCATTGTACACCATACCCTGATGCAACTGCTGTATAGGCTGTCCCTGTGGTGGCGGTGGTGCTGGTAAGGCCGAAAATGTCTGAGCCTGCACACGTGGAATCTGTGGAGTAGGTAATGGTTGCCACTGTCCCTGTTGCCCATACTGTTTCTGAGCCAACCCAGGACACCGTTTGGCTGAATGCCCATAATCTCCACACTTATAGCAATGACCCCTAAATATACTTGACTGCCCCTCCTGGTGATTACCCTGTAGCTGTCCCAGTCCAGTCTGAGGTGCTCCAGTCTGCTGAGTGGAAACTCCCTCTCTCTGAACTTCTGAATTACCCTTGTGCTTCTTCCAAGGCTGCTGGCCCTGGAATCTGCCCTTGTCATTCTGTCGGTTCCCATTATCATTCACTTTCGCAGCTGGCTGATTAGCAAAATCTTTGCCACCCCGCTTCTTAGCCCTAGTCTGTCTGAAATCCTCATTCAGCTGATAAAGCTGCAAAGCTGCGTCCACCACTTGAGCATAAGTAGTGTAGGCTGGACTACCAGTAATAGCTCTCTTGATAGACCACATTAGTCCCTTGACAAAACTGTTGCGCTTCTTCTCCTCTGTATCCACCTCCTCCGGTGCAAAGAGAGATAAGCGTGTGAACTGCTGTTCATACTCCGCCACTGTCATGTTCCCTTGCTGCAGATTAAGAAATTCAGTCTTCATGGCTGCCCTAACTGCATAAGGGAAATACTTTTCTTCAAAGCGTGCACTGAACTCATCATAAGTCAATGCCATCCTCTCCTCTATGGTGGTAACTGACTCCCACCACTGCAGTGCATCCCCAACTAGCTTGAAGGTAGCAAGCATCTGCTTCTGAACCTCCATGCACTGAACCAAGCGAAGATGTCGCTCAATGTCCTGTTTCCACTGGTGAGCTGCTCTCGCATCCGTGGAGCCCGTGAACTCAGGTGGACTCCCTTTTGTGAAGGAACTCCTGGCCTTCTCCCAAGTATCAGTCCGAACAACCGGTGCTGGTAACGGTGCCGGCTGTACCTGAGGCTGATTCCGAAGTACAGCTGCTACCCCAGCTTCTATAGCCCGAGCAATGAGGTCATTGATGTGAGGAGGATACTCTGGATCCCTGCCCTGAGCCGGAGCCTGAACTTCCTCTTGCTCCTCCTGAAGCTGACCCTCATCCTGAAACCCAAGTCGTTGCTGCTCTTCCTCCATTTGCTGACGTTGCAGGTGTTCTTGCTGCCTACGTGCAGCTCTCCTCTGTCGACGGTTCAGATTCTGTCCTCTTCCAGTATTAACCATGCTGTTAACATAGAACGACAGACATTAGTACGATTTTAACGGACCGTAAAGGAATACAATGTATCCTAAACTTAAGCTCTAAAGAAACGAGTACACAAAGCGGAATTCACATAACGAAATACACCCTAGGGACACTTGAACCTGGAGTGCTCTGATACCAACTGTAATACCCCCTAATTTCGGAACACGGGTTGATCAAGTCCGCGCACAAAATCAGGGGATATCAAACCAATTAAAGTATTTAAACAAGCACGGATTACAAAATGAAATAAAGAATAAAATAAAACGCTGAAGAAATCCAATTAATAGTAAATCCATTAATAACTTCCAAATGGTTACAACTCGAGAATCCCGTAACTCAAGGACCCCTTAACCAAAAGTTACTATTTAGAATTTCAACCAAATAAGTACTAATATCAACTGAAACAAAACTAATATCCTACTTTTAAGTAAATAGAAGGAATGGATAAGTCCTCCAGCTGCGGATCCTCAACCTTGAGACTTGACCTTCTACAACCTGAAAAATAAATCGCGGGTTAAACCCTACGAGCAAGTTCTCTCTACCAAGCCTCTGAAAACCAATAAACAGATCATCTTTACCAAAACCATCCCTAATTAAGCTTTAACTTTAATATACGATGCTACAAATATATATAAGTACTTATATATATAGTGCAAGAATCCTACCAGTTAATAGGGCATTAAATTGTCAAAACCACTCACCAATAATTAATTATTAGTCATACCTAGACCAAGCCCCCCCTTTTATAATTTTCTCATAAAGTAAACCCCACGCACCTTAACTCCATCCTAAACAGTAATTTAGTCATCTACACATATAGCAATTTAAATATGCACCGGCAAATCAACCATACCATTTATAAATATATTTATTTATATACTAGCAATTCAACCATGCTTCCTTCAATATATTTACTTTTACAATTAATTAGCAATTCAACCATGCTTCCTTCAATATATTTACTTTTACAATTAATTAGCAATTCAACCATGCTTCCCATATATGAAATTTATTCATAACCAATAAGGCAGTATATCAAAGTCTTTGGCAACTCATCCATGCCTACAATTCAACCATGTATTAACTTTAAACTTAACTCTAGGTATAATTATACATAGACTTCACATGCATATAATAAGCATGTCCTTAATTTAATAACCGTGTATCTATTACGATTTTAAATCAACCATACCATACACGAATCAAGTCATACCAAACAAGATTTATAATATTTAATAATCTTAAATAATATATATATACACATATATTTTATAATATATATATATATGTGTGTATCATACATTCCATACCAATCGTTGACTATTTAAAATCATATCTACATATATATACACATATATACACCTCATTTCATTGCAAAAATATTTAATTAATTATATTTATACCACTAAATGCTACTAGGTATCTTAGTAACACTCTGAGGCTCTCAAAATATCAAGAACACACCCTCTAATGATTAATTTTAACCCTAACAAGCTTAAGATAAATACTGGAACTTCACCGGAGTCTCAAGCAACTTTCCAGGACCTCACACGCATCCCCACGCGCCTTCACGCGCCGCCACATACCCCTAGACTACTCCCACGCGCCTCCACGCGCTTCCCCTTACCGGCAGGTGCGTCCACGCGCCTGAGCCACTCTCGGCGCGTGTTGGCAGCTCCTAATTGGTTGTTGTTTGGTGCTCTTGGTAAGCCGCGATGCACTGGATCCTCTCCCTTAATCAACTACATCTAACCATTGACGCCGCATGTGTATCAACTTACAATGGACCGCATCACACCAGATCAATCCAACTAAATTAAATTAATCCTATGGCCTAGATCAACGAGTGCACCCTTTTCCTACGTACGCGACCACACTGGATAAAAATCCTATTGATGCGCAAATACTAGCCGCCTCCAGTGTATTTGTTAAACAATTTAATATATATATATATATAAAACAATTTCGAAATTAACATTAAAAATACAAATTAATTTCAGAAATTGTTCAGAAATCTCAGAAAAATCCCAAAAGCTCTATTTATTATTTTGGGCATAAATGAACATATACAATTAAATTAAAATTCTAATCGTGCTACACAAGGTTAACGCAAAATATAAAAATTTTAGCAAAAATAAAATTTAATTAACCTAACCTCACATACAAGATCTAAATTATCAGAACAATGCATACATATATTCACATGTTTAATTCTATAATTTTGTAAAGAATAAATATGCTCCTCCAATCTGAATAATAATTTAATTTAATAAAATAAAATTATAATTTCGATAATCAAGGTGATAAGTTTATGAGTTCTAAGAGGAGAAGTAGAGAGGAACTCGCCTTTTCTTTTCCAAATCCGGTCTCCTCTTACGTTCTTTGAGCCGGCCTCCTCTTCGTTAGCCCTTCTTCTTCTCTCTCTAATTCTCTTATTTTTCTAACGTGGAAAAACTCCTAACCCTAAAGTCTTATGTGTCTATTTATATACATACAAAAACTAAATCCTTTTCCCATTAGGATTATCATATAAAATAAATAATATTTATCTTTTAAATAATATATATACATACATATATTTTACTATAAACATATATATATTACCTTCCATATATAACCATTAGTTAAATAAATTATATATACCTATATATATCAATATATAATTATATTGACATATATACCCCTCCACATGATTTAATAATGAATTAATATCCTCATGTAATTATATAGGTATAATTATGCAAAGATAATTATTAAATATCCTCATAACCACGGGCCTTTACCAATTAACCCAACAAGGCTTCCTTCAAGCCCAATACCACATCCGTTGGTCCAACTTCCTTTAATCCCAACCCAAATAACTTAAATACCTAAAATAATGAAATTAAATAAAGTTACACCAACATAAAATCACGCAAATCAAATAAAAAATTCACTAACTAGCATTCCACAAATCAAACACCGTATAAATTTAACAAATAAAATTACAAAATATATAATTTAATTAAAACAATACAATTTACCTACGCACTTAATTAAATAAAACAAATCACAACTATCAAGCACCTAATTAAATAAAACAAATCACTTAAAAATAATAATAATAATATAATATAAATTAATTTAATTAATAAATCCTTTTTACAATATCGGGGTATTACAGTTACCCTCAATTTAAAATGATTAACTAAGATGTCCCCAGTCATTATTGTGAATGACTTGATAAGGCTAATTCCAGCCGTGAGATAATTTTCAGTCGGTATACTCATCTGAGTCATTCTCATGATATGTGCTATCGTTCTAGCTGAAGAACGATTTCTTATATTTGGTATTATTTTCATCCCTGGCGAGAGGGGCTGGCCTTTTCTTGTCCTCTCCTTCCTTCCGTGCACTCATGGTGTCTTCAGCGTTGATGTATTTTTGCGCTCTGATTAACAACTCTATCATGCTGGTGGAAGGTTCTTTTGATAAGGAGAACAAGAATCTGGAACTTTGGAGTCCTCCTATGAAAGTGGTCAAAGCTACCTTATCGTCCACCTCTTTTACCTGCAACATCTTTGCGTTGAATCAGGTGATGTATTCCCGAATCGACTCTTCCTTTTGTTGCTATAGGGTAAACAGGTAGGTAGTCGGCCTCCTATGCCTCTAACATGTAATAAAGTGGCTCACAAACTGCTTACTCAGTTCTTCGAAGGTGTTGATGGTTCCTGGCTTCAGTTTGTTGAACCAAACTCTTGCTAATCCCTTAAGTGTAGTGGGAAAAGCTTGGCACATGATTTCGTCTGGCACAACGTGTAAATACATAAGAGCTTGAAAAGTTTCCAGGTGATCGAGGGGATTTTTGGTCCCATCGAAACTTTCGAACGAGAGCATCCTGAACTTGTTAGGTAGTGGACATTTTATAATGGCGGGGATGAACGGCAAGTTGGTCCTTTGTACCAGGTCATCTACGGCGGCAGAACCTTTCCCTTTCATAGCCTGCATTACATCTTCCATTTTTCCCTTAAGATCCTCGATCTGCAGGTCGAGATGGGTAACTTTCTTTGTCTTTTCCTTAAAACAGAAAGCTGTGCTTTCAGGAGGTCGGGAACTCCGTGGGAGAGATGGGTGGACCACCTCTCTATGTCGGGTTCCCACTTGGCTTTGTTCCACTTCAATCTCATTTTGGGGGGGATGATTATCCTGCTTTTCAAGATTCCTATTTCCTCCGTTTGGATTTGAGAGATCTTGTCGTGGTAAGTTTTGTTGAACCGGTGGAACAAAATGTTGCAGGAGCGTTGCATTTTGCTGGATCAACTGTTCCGTACCCTGACTCAGAGTTTGGACCTACAGTTCCAACGCTGCAGGTCGAGTCTGGTCGTTTGGGACGTTCAGGTTTTCATCCGACTCTACCCTTTGACCAGATCCCTGCGACGATGTTCTTTTGGTAACCATACAGGACTATAAACATATATACCCAACATAGTAATTAATTGATTCAAAGGAATCGTCGTTCCCACAGACGACGCCAACTGTTGAGGGTAAAATTCACGCGGTCCGATACAACACCGTTTTCCTGCAAGGAAGAGAGGAGAAGATTGATGAACCTTGACGGCACCGGTGTGGTGCCTGCCAAGAGCTCTCCAACGGTCAAGTTAGTCACCGGAGGTTTAAAAAGAATGTAGGAATTTAATAATAGTTTTTTCGTTGTTCTTTATTCCCGAGTCGTCGTCCTATTTATCGTCGTTTCCTTTATTTTCGATAAGGAAATTTCATCATCCTCATCTCGGAACTTATCCAATGGAAATCTTATCCTTCATGAGATTTGTCATCATCCCCATGGAAATCTTATCCTGCATAAGATTTGTCATCATTCTTATCCATGGAAATCGTTACCCCTAATAACAAAATATGATCGTTGATCACCGAAAATATCTGGCGGCTGGTCAACACTTGGTTGGCTGATCGTTAGGTTAAGATAGGTTTATTTTTCCCTATCAATCTCCATCATCTTTATTTTGTTGTTATAATTTATTTATTTTTTATTTCTTCTTGTTTTAATTTTTTTCTTAGGATCAATTTGTATTTATTATTGCATTATAACAATTTACAATTGTACTACAAGGACAAACCTTTTTTAAAAAAAAAAAAAAATCCAGACTACATAATTTTGTGTACGTGCATATATTGTGTGAAATATAAATTTTGTAAGGAAAATAATATTTGGGCCGATAATTTTGGTAGATTTGTTAGACCCACGTTGCGATCAAAATCATTGTCGGTTTGAAGTTAAAGAAGAAACTTGCTTTGTGGTCATCGTTGTGGAGCTCTCGCAGTGAGCTTTTCTGACGACGTTATAGTGGTGGGAACATATTCAATCTCTGTCATGGATGATCCAAGGAGGATCGATGTTGTTTATAGCATTGCTGGACTGACATGTTGAAAAGTCTGATGCCGGACTGACCTATAGTGGTGGCGGCAACCGATTCGTAAGAGCTAGAATTGAAAGTGATGCTGTCGGTGAGCGTGGTGCGGAGGGATACCTTTATCACGCTCACTTTCTATCTGAGAAATAAATATGGGCTTGCACACTTTTGACTTTTGATTGCTGGGTTTGGCAAAATGTAAAAGAAAAGATGAGATTATATCTTCAATTTATCTCTTTAGAAAGAGAAGAAAAACATAACTATGGAGGAGAAGTCCTTTGCCTTCGAATCGAACCACTACGTAGCAACCGAGATCTGTTCAGAACACAAGGGCATCGACGAGACAGTGTAGGAGCCGGGCTTGAGAGATCCAGAGAAGCGGATGGAGGACTCGCCGATGATGATGGCAGCGGATTATGCGGCAGATTGAAAACCTCGTCGATAAAGAATACAAGCAGTAGATATGATGAAGTGGTTGCAGCAGCGAGCAAGGCTCGGCTCGGCGGTGTTGAACCCACCCACGGTGGAGATACTCTGCTCGGCGGTGGAGAGAACGGATGATTTCACCGACGGCGAAGGAAGTATTGACTAACGTTGCTGAAGGAGTGGACCGGTGACAGTGCTGCCATAGCCGGCGAGGGCTATTTAAGGAGGCCAGAGTGTATCCAGCGCATGATATTGAACAGAGGTTGAGACCAGTGAAGCGGCAGAGGACAGCGGCGTGGCAGAGGGTAGTGGTGGCGGTAGAGAGCAGCGGAGTTTCGTCGGCTGTAACAGAGATGACGAAGAATGTGACGCGTGGACTCTGTTCTTTGGTTGGTTAGTTGTTGTTCGGATGCTCGCCGAACTTCCTGACTGAAATTCACCGGGACTGAGGTTCTTCTAAAACAACTCACTGGTTTATCGAAGCTGAAGGTTGGGAATTTACTGTTGGGTCTCTGAATCCTTCACCGGAACTGAAACACTTGGGAAGAAAGCTCGTCGGAAATGAACTTGAGAAAGCAGGAAATGGGTTTGATGAAGCTCTGCTTGGAGTACGTTGAAACTGCTGGGTCTCTTGGTGAAGCTCACTGGTTTAGTTGTCAGAGCTGCTGATTTCTGTTCTTTAGATGGGTCTGTGTTGAATTGAGAGAAAAACTGGATCAGTTGGTGTTTGCCGTCCGGTAAGGATGAGAGCTTGCGGCCAGAGATTGGTTGACGGTGACAAAGGGTGATTGGTATCACCGGGACGGGTTTGGTGATGACAACCTCGCCAACAACGAGGATCTGATCAGTAAGAAAGGCGGTTCAGAGATGTAGAGGCTGTCTGGACCATCTATGGCAGAAGGTCATGGATTGATGGAGGCCTATTTTTTAGCTGATTTTTTCTCTCTCCTCTCTTTTCCAAACTTGACACATAGACCGGCCATATAACAACAAGCCACATAGATTCTGCCTAAGAAATAGGCTTAAGTTGTCTACCTGAGTATAACGACCCATTTTGTAATTAGGAAATTTGAGTGTCAAAATGTATTGGATCCAGTTATAATTTTTTATTTATTTTCGAACCTCGATGTTAGAAGGCGTAACAAGTACACGCATACTTCAATTTGATGAGACCATTATTTAGAACATGTATGTGAGTGAGGAACATTATGAATATTTTTAAAGTTGGGTAGAAGATAAGAGGTTTGTGAATAGTTTTTAGTAAAGTTCAACTGGTTGCACTGTCTTCTTAAATTGGTTACACTTCTTGCGTAAGAATTTCTCTAGGGAGAGTCCAACCAATTGAACTTGAAAGTGAAATCGATTATACTTCCTGATGTAAAACAAGACTCAGCAAAAATCCAACCCATCACACTTTTACCTGAATGTGCAAAAAATCAGATTTTAGTAACTTTTCAATTTTTCATGCTTTTAACCAAACTCTTAAATAAGTCCTTATATAATTTTAAAAGAATTTTACATATATTTTGAGGACTTTATACAAAAGAAATGAATAAAGAAATCTCAATGGAAAAGAAAGTGCATTACCAATTTTCCCCATTTCATTTTAAAATATTTCAAAAATGTATACTCAGATCTACTAGGTAACAGCTACCACCTTTCTTTTCGTTACATCACTCCGTAAGAGGGGCCTATCTATCCAAACCGAAAAATATTATAAGTTTATATAAACTCTTTTTCTTTCTTGGTTTATTAAAGTTTTAAAGAGAAAAATATTTTTTCTTAACTTTTTAAGGGTATTTTTCACAAAAATAAAAAAAAAAATCCTTAATTTTTTATATACTTAAGAGAACACACTGTTACATGATAGTGACTTTGGGTGATTTTCTCTATCTGGTCGGTGTTCAGAAAAGTAAGACTTTTATTTTGCCTTTACCAATTCATAATTTGAAAGAAGGAAGAATTCATCACTGTAAATGGGTCAGAGCATTCGCGAAGTGTTCATAATTTACTAGCAATCCTTCTACTGGGATGAAGGGAGTAAGTCTAAAGTCTAGAGTATTTGAACGAGGGAGTCACAAAGCTAGAAAGATATTTAACAATTCGTTCTAATTGGCAGACCGACGTGGATGGGAGCCTGAATCACAATCTGTTGTACTTTGCTTCAATATAGTAGATAGTTGATCATTTCGTTCGAGATAACAAAAGTCTCTAGGGGTGCACACGGTTTAGTTCCTTACGATTCCGGTCAGAATCGAAACTGGAATTGTTAACAACGGTTCCTTAAAAATGGAACCGGAACCGGAACCGTATAGTATGAACCGTTAATTGTTTGGTTTTATTTCCTTGTAAGGAATCTGACTACCTCACAGAAAGTAATTGGTATGAAATACACAAACAGAAAGAGAGAGAGAAGAATCTAATTGAATTCAATAAAAGTGAAGTTGAAGTTTTTCAATTCCAACAATTGAGCACCTAAATCGACAATGGCGTACACACAAGAACAAGAACAAGAACTTACAAAGGTTGTGTTGGTTCTTCGCCCACCAATTGTTTTCAGTGACTATGGAAAACATTTCTTAGAAAAGTTCCATTTGCTGAAAGCATGGGAATCTCTGATGCCCACTGAACAATTCCTCGCAACCCATACCAGTTCAGTGCAAGCTATGCTCTGCTCCGGCAACACTCCGATCCCCGCCGAAGTCCTCCGCCTCCTCCCGTTTCTCAAGGGCATCGTCACCACTAGTGTCGGCCTTAACCAGATCGACTTGCCGGACTGTCGCTGCAGGGGAATCTCCGTTGCCAACATCAAAATAGTCTACTCGGTTGATGTGGCCGACATAGCGGTCGGACTGTTGATTGATGTTTTGAGAAAAATCACGGCCGGTGATCGGTATGTTCGTGGTAGGCTTTGGCCGAACCAAGGAGAGAATACCCTCTTTCCGAGTCTCTCTATACATATATGTACTGTATATGTATCACACATCTGAGATCGGAGATTGAGAATTTGAGAGGAGGCGAGGAGTGAGGACTGAGGACTGAGAGATTTAGGGCAAAAAGACTAAAAAATTATGTTTTTCACGTGGACCACGTGGCTCGAGCCTGATGAGTGGACGAGAATGCTTACTTAAGTCTTTATAGTGTACTTTTAGTATATAATTAAATATATATTAAATAAATAAATAAATATATATATATATATATATATATACACGGTTCCAGTTCTTACTGGTTCTCACGGGCTAGAACCAGAAACAGAATCGTACACCCACGGTTACAAAATTAATAATCAGGATCAGAATTGGAACCGTGAGAACTGGAACCGAACTCAAGGTTTCGGTTCGGTTTGGTTCTCACGGTTCTACGGTTCCACGGTTCTTTTATGCACCCCTAAAAGTCTCCATGGTTTTCATCCCCATTGATTGGATTTATTTCAACAAGGGTTTTCACGCACAAAATGTAACGACGTGAACCAAAAGGTCTGATTCGCTAACCGGTTCCTTACCCGAGCCCGAGGTCATTTAAGACAATACCATTATATCCAAGGTCAATACATCATTACTAATCAAATTATACAAATTTCTTTTACACAATTTTCAATGAATTTAAATACATAATTAGGGCCACCATGGCCGTAAATACAACGTTATATAGTATAAGAATCCTAGCGTCATCTAGGTCCGTGAATGCGAGTTATACGCCCTTTCTCTTCCGGTTTGTAATACCCCTAATTTTAAAAGGATAGTCTCGACATTTTATTAATTGTTTTAATTGTGTTTTAAATTCTTTAATTGATTTCTTGGCTATTTGTTACTTTTTTTTTATATGAATTAATTAATTATGTGTTTATTTGAAATACATGTTTAAAGATGTGTATTTGTTTACTTAAATGTTAGATATTTTAATGTGTATTTGTTTATTTTAATGTTAAGAATTTTCTTTAAAAATAATGTTAGGAATTAAATGTTTTAAATGGTTATTTTATTTTATTTAATGTTTTAACTTTTAAATGGTTGTTTTATTTATTTATTTTATTTTTTTTAAGAGTTATGGATAGTAGTTATGGGCCAACCAATTGAAAAATGTAATACCCCTGATTTTAAAAGGATAGTCTCGGCATTTTATTAATTGTTTTAATTGTGTTTTAAATTCTTTAATTGATTTCTTGGCTATTTGTTACATTTTTATATGAATTAATTTATTATGTGTTTATTTGAAATACCTGTTAATGATGTGTATTTGTTTACTTAAATGTTAGGTGTTTTGATGTGTATTTGCTTATTTAAATGTTAGGTTTTTTCTTTAAAAATAATGTTAGGAATTAAATATTTTAAATGGTTATTTTATTTTATTAAATGTTTTAAATATTAAATGGTCGTTTTATTTTATTTTATTTTATTTCATTTTATTTTAAGAGTTATGGATAGTAGTCATGGGCCAACCAAATAGATTCCATGGACTACTTGGATAAGGGGTTTAATGGGTACGGATAATTACCCATGGATAGTGTGTGTGTGTGTGTGTGTGTGTGTGTGTGTATATATATATATATATATATATAATTAAATAATACATATATATTTAAGAAAAGTCCTTTGGAGATAATCTAGTGTATTTATTTTATTTAGATAAAAATAATATGCATAGATCATACGTATTTTATATTTTTAGTTACTTTTTTTAGTGTTTTAAATTTTATTATTATTTTTTTTATTAATTGGATGTGGATTGGGAAAAGGAATATGGTAAATATGTAGTCTATAAATATATAACTATAGGGTTGAAAAAAGGGGTTAGAATTATATCACGTATATTTTATAGAGAGAGAGAAAGAAGGAGGAAGAAGGAAGAGGAAGAAGAAAAAGAAGGCTAGGGTTTTATCAAATCCTAAAGGCAAATTCTTTGTTCTACACTTCTCTCTTAGATCTGTAATCTATATATCTCTAGTATAACTTTAGGGATATTTAAAGGATAATTAAAATTGGAATCCATGTTTTAATTAATCTAGAACTAGGTTTTATAAATTAGTTTGTCATGTTTGTTCTTGTGTATAAATTGATAAATTTATGATTTAATTTAGATTACATTATGTTTTGTGACATGTTGTACATAATGTTTTTTATATCTGTATATTGATGGAACGTAGAAACATGTCTAGGATTCCTGAAACAAATAAAGAATGACTGCACAGTGAAATTCTCGGTTGATTCGCGTAATAGTGCTCGGATCGCTGTTACAGTGTTCGAACCTTAGGGACAAAGCTCGAGCCTTGAATGAAAAGCTCGAACAATTGGTTGTAAAGCTCGAGCAATTGGATGTAAAGCTAGAGCCTGAGAAGGAAAGCTCGAGTAACTGGGATAAAAAGCTCGAGCCTGAAGTAGGATGCTCGAGTCTTGGACAGGGTGCTCGAGCATTTAGGACAAAAGCTCGAGCATTACCTAGAGAAGTTTCGTAAACAGCGTGGTGTTACTTCTTTTTGATTTTGAAGGGACCTGAACATCAAATAGGGACTTATGTTTGGATTTAAATAAATTTAAATAGATTTGATCATAATGATGTTTGCTATTTGAATATTTTAAACAAACGAATGGATTTAATATTTTAATTTGTTCTAACAATTAAGATTAAATGTATAGCATGAATAGTATATGAAGACTGCTTAAGTGATTGTATAGTAAAATTTCAATCTGTTTATGATTTGGTATGTGTAGGATATGTAATGTAGGAAGCTGAAATAAATTGTAAGTTGTTCCTATTTTGTGATAACATGATATAATATTATTATGTTTAACTCTGGATTATTTGATGTACTTCTGAAATTGTTACATCAACTGTTGGATTGTGTGGATTTAGTGCACCAGTATGGGATGGTGGCACTCTAGGGATGGATTAACTTATCAGTTAAGTCCTACCTATTTTATAAGGGAACGGATTAACTAAAATGTTAAGTTAGACTTATATTTGTGTCAGGTCAACTGAACCAATTGGATGATATATAGTAGATTAATTTAGATTGGATATATATATATATATATATATATATATATATATATATAGACATATGCCATGATACGAGCTTGAGTCTCATGATCGTGGTTAAGGTGCGTATATTGCCAGGGATGTGCAGCTAGATATAGTGTAGTTGTTTCCCTGGTAGGTTCAGGTACTCATGCCCACTATATGTGCGTTTTGCATGTTGCCCACTATTCAGGTTGAGACAATCTTATAGTCTAGTGAGGTTCCTTTAGTGTGTATCTATATATATATACGGATTACTTAGCTATTGCATGGGTTAGCTATAGATATATAGTTTCTCCAGTCTCTATTGGGTTGTCGTAAAAAGAACTTGTTCGTAGGCCTGACCTACTATTATTATTTTTTTAGGTGCTCATCAGTTCCATACATAGAGTTTGTTCATGCTGAGCAGAGACAGTCCACATCATTCTTCTGGTTCTACGTAGGACTCTCTTTATGTTTTAGTTTCAGATTATAGTTATTTTCAGTTGTTTCAGTTGGAATATCATTAGGGGTCCACTAGATAGATTCCCGAGTTATACTGATAATTAAAGGTTTTGGAAAAACTTTTGGAGGAATTATTATTTAGTTTTCTTTTCTGCTATTTTATTTATTCTTAACTATTTCTTTTGTATTATGTGTTCATTTACATACTTAATTGTTTGGTACCCCTCGGATCTGTGCTCGGATTTGATCACCCGTGGCTTTAGAATCGAGGGGTATCACACGGTTCTCTGAAAATATTAAGATAAGGAGTGAGCTTAACAAGTCAGTAGGTAATGCCAAAAATACCGGTTTTGGACTCCCTTAAGCCAACAACCAAAAAAGGGGAAAAAGATGCCAGGATCATACATGGGGAATTATCAAGATCACAATCCACGTCATTCAATTTAAAAGATTATCATCGCATAATCAGTCATAATCATAGGTGCCAAAATGCCATGAAATGCAATGCTTTATGTAACCGTTCCTGAGCTTGGTCTCAAACCAACCCCAAATCCCCACATATGCTAACTGACTTTACCGAGTTGGGATTGACATTATCCCTTGCCTCTCGCCCATTTCGGGCCTAATATCAACTTTTTTACGCCCTACACCTTGCTGCGCCCTTCTAAGTCAGGTTAGCCCCGGGCTTAAACCAACCTTAGATCCTCACCTACGCTAACTGACTTTACCGAGCTAGGATTGACACTATCCCTACCCTCTTGGCATTTCAGGCCTAGTATAAACTTTTTCACGCCCTATACCGGGCCGCGCCCCCTTTAGGTCAAGTTAGTCCCAGGTTCGCGATACCCGGTTTGTTTCTAAATCCCCCCTTTCCGCCCATTCTATGATGGCTCACTTTTCAATCTTGTTCAACTTTCTTACCATTCTAAAATGGCTCAATGCACTTCTTATTCAATTTTCTCACCATGCCATGCATATGAATGCAATGGCGTCAACTTGAACTCAATTTCACATTTATGATAATAGTGGCATAAACACAGCATTCCCAATACAATGGATATAACATGGCATTTATTTACAACTTAGCTATAAGCATGGTATTCATCATATAAAGCAACTACAAGCATGGTAATTTTCAAAACGTTAGTAATAACATACTCATCATCATCATCATATATATATATATAATCTCACGAAAATAATTCAACACAAGGTGTGCTCATTCAACAACTTTACAATCAAGCACATATATATACAAAATTAATATCATTTAGATCATGTTTCGTCACATAAACGTGTAAGCACATAATCGACATTCAATTTTTTCGAAATTTATCATATTAAACATATTTCAAGTATACGAACTCAACTAAAGTCAAAACTTAATGGTTTAGATTTCCCTACCTCAAAATTAGCCAAAATGCATCTCCCGCCGGAAAAGTCAACGCTGGTCAATGTTGGTCAACGGTAGTCAACGCCGGTCAACGGCAGCAGAACGGAAAATTCCCTTGCTCAACAATATCAGTTGTGCTTCCCGCCCGGGATCTCTCAGCCCAAAAAACTGAAAAATGCCATAAACAATGCATTTCTAAGAGTCCTGAACTCGAATAAATGCCTAAACCACTCTCGGAACTCACCCGGCACACCCCAGGGTGTCCGGCAGGCAAAACGAGGTACGGAAAGAAAAATCCCGAAAAATCAAAAAATTCCCGAAAATGAAATTTTAATTTTTTTTTTTTTTTTTTTTTTTATAAAAAATTATAGCTAGCCAAACAGTGCCTTAAGGGCCAAATGCATTGTTTATGGCAGCAATTTAAAATTTAAAGCAAATTTAAAAAAAAAAAAAATCAAATTTTAAGGGGAAAAAACCAAAAAAAAAAAGATTTTAAATTTATTTTTGGCAAAATAATTTTTTTTTGGGACAAACAGTACCAAAACAATATACTAATATTTTTTATTTAATGAATTTTATTTTATTTAAAAAAGATGAGCTCAAAATAATTTATTTTTAGGTTTTTCCAAAAAAAAACAGGCTGCCAAAGGCACTGTCGCAGCCTGAAGTTTAAAAAAAAAAAAAAAAAATGCTTCAGGCAAAACGTCGTCGTTTTGCTAAAGGGAAGGAACAGGGCAAAAAAAACATATACCCCTAACCATCCAAACACCCTTCATAAGTAGCTTCTGAGCCCAGAAAGCGAATCCAAACAGGTCCATAATTGCGCATCAGCCGGTGGGGTTTAACTCACACACACTGCAACACTAAAACCTCTGGTTTTACGCACACAGTCCCGGTATCGCTGAATATGATTAGGGCTGCGACGATCAATACTCGAGCCCTGTGTCTTCGCTTTTCTCTTTCGCTTCTCGTATTTGCAACCAATCGATCAACGAATCAAAGCTTTTGCTGTTCTGCTTAGATTCTGGTAATTTCTTCAAACCCTTATCCCTAATTACTGGTTCTTTAATGTTTCGTATTAATTCTTTTATATTTATTTTATTTTATTGTTAATTTTTCGTTTCTATTGAATACTGCATTAACGATTTCGATATTTGGAATTGGATTTAAGGAATTCAAAATTGAAATAAATTTCCTCGAAGTCCAAATGCCATTATGCATACCTAGGGACTAGGGTTTTCCAGTAGAAAATTGGTAGAAAGGCAAGGCCTATACCCAATAATCTCAACCTCTATTTTTAAAACTCTGTCTAAGCCTCCACTTTTAGACCATTTGAATTTCTACTTTTTATTTAGAGGGCTATTATCCTAATGAATGGTCCACAATCTACCAATTTTCTTTTATTGTTTTGGGCATATCATTATTTTATTAAAAAGTTTGAAAAGATTAACTATCCAATGGAATATACCTGCCTCACCCACGGGGCTTGGTCCGGTCTCAAACCTATCGGGCTGGTATCTCTCTCAGTTCAGATTGTTTTCACTTTTTTGCAATTGATCTGTGATCCAACTGACTTATTATTATTGTTATCAGTTTTTGAACGTGAGTGCTTATTTTTCATAATTACTGGATATTATGGATGCTGATATGATTATTTATATTAGTTGAATAAAAACATTTTTATCAAGATCGTTTTTTGTGTTGGAATTACAGCTGATTTTGTAGTTGTGCACATATAAAAGTTGTTCTTTTTGGTTCTATCCTATCACACTTAAAGTGGCTATCTTACCATTTAGGATTTAACCGCGCTACTTATTTAACCATGGACTTTTACATTATATATTTATCTTTTTTACTTTTTTTACATTAATAGTATATTTCTATTTATTAGTCAATTGTCATTAGGTGGCAATTGAGTAATTAATTTTTCTTCCTTTAAATTTTGTCCTAATTTTTTTTGAGAGTGAAAAAAACAAAGTATTTATGAAGGCATTACGAATAAATGACGTGTGTTTAGTCCTGCATTAATGATTATGTTCTGCTAATATGAAGTATATTTTGTTGCAGTGATTTGTGCATTGCTTTCTTTAGGTCAATGATTATGGTGTTCCTCTTCAGTTTTTGTAGTTTCCAGCTATGATTGCTACTGAAACTATAGTAATGAGGAAGTTGAAGATCCAAACTGAATCCAAACAAACTAAGACTGAATCTACGACTCAATGCAACTTTGGCCAGCAGTTGGTGCCACGTTTCGCAGTTGACAGAAATTTGAATTCTGCTGATAACTTAAAGGTGAAGTTCTTGGAACCAGGCTGTCACAAGCGGAGACCTGCAGGATTGTTAGAAAGTCAAAAGGTGAAGAGGCAGAAGATAGATTGGAGCGTGTCACAGCAGTGTTCTACCATTCTGAAGAAATTGACGACTAATCCATCTGCTTGGCCTTTCAATCAGCCAGTGGATCCTGAGAAATTGAATATTCCTGATTACTTTTCTATCATTTCTGAACCCATGGATTTGGGAACGATAAAGACCAAACTGGAGAAGAATTTGTATTCCAGTGCTGCAGAGTTTGCTTCTGATGTCAAACTGACCTTTTCCAACGCCATGCTGTATAATCCTCCAGACAACTATGTTCATCTAATGGCCAAGGATTTAGATAATATGTTTAATTCAGGATGGAAGTGCTTGGAGGCAAAATGGAATTGTAAGAGCAAAAGAGATGAGCAGTCATCTATGTCAAGTGAAAGACCAAAGAATATTGATGTTTCAGGGCAGAATAGATGTTTTCTGAGCAGAAAAGATGAACAGGCATCTGTTTCAAGTGGAAGACCAAAGAATATTGTTGTTTCAGGGCAGAATAACCATAAAACACCTTCATTGCGTGTTAGTTTGCAGCCCAACACCTTGACGTCAGCTATGAAGAAGCAAAAGCTAACAGAAGAGCTTGTGAGAGTATTAAAGGGAAATATGCCACAACAGCTGGAGTCGTTTTTAAAAAAATATGGTTTCATCTGCCAGAAAGAAGAAAAAATTGAAGTGGAGATCGATACATTGGATGACAAAACTTTATGCGAGTTGGAAAGAGTGATTAGGAGTTCTTTGGATATAAGAGCTGAGTTGGAAAGAGTGATTAGGAGTTCTTTGGATATAAGAGCTGCAAAAGTAAGTAATTTTCGGGTGACTAATATATCAAAATAACTTTTACCTTTTCATTTTTTGCAGTTGGTTCTAAAACTTCGTGTTGGTTTGGGTTCTTAAATGTATTATCTATTTGACCATCTCTCTTCTTTACACAGGTGGAGCCTACTAAAATGAAAGACAATGGCAGGCCTCAATCTTCAGGGAAGATGTTCCACAAAGGTATGAAGTGGCAGAATACAATTTCTGTTACGGGTACTGGAAGTGCTTCAGGTTCTGCCAATAGCAAACCTTCATTGGCTCTCTCCAAATGTGCATGTGGCAGTGTGAGATGCCAATGTGGACGTCAAAATGATTTTGTCTGTTCATCTTCAAGTGGTTAGTTGATATTTTCTCATGCTGCTTCTCTACTCTGGATTTCCGGTAGTTGACCGACTTAATTCCAATCTTGCTTTTGGTACAGATTTATCTTCAGAGAAATCATTGGAACAAGATGATCACGATGCTTGTAGAACGGTACATATCTCAGTATTTTGTTCATGTCATGGATTTATAACGAGATTTATTATATTTGATTTGCTTGCTTTTCAAATCTGAGTAGAAATCTTTGTATATAAATCTAGGACTGCAAGGTACAAATGGCATCTTCCCAGATGAGCAAATCAGATTCTGATGGTAAGGATTTGTATTAACTGATATTTTACCTGTTGTTTCTTGGTAATCTAAGAATTGACTTGACATCTGAAATTATCTAAAGGGGCCGCAAGTGCTTTGGATGAAGAAAATTTTTGTTCTAGTCCACAACTTTTGACACTTGCTACAACTGCTGCTTCTGGGGAAGGTTAGTTTATTTGTCAGTTATGTATGACTTAAGTGTTTTTAAATGTAATCACCACTCATATACTCATTTATACATCCTTGCATTTCTGCTGTTTGTTCATTTGGTTAAGCTTGCACACCACTTATTGATGTCCAACTGTCACCAAAGAAGGCTCTCCGTCATGCAATGCTAAAGAGTCGCTTTTCAGATACTATCTTGAGAGCAGAACAGAAGATACTTTTAAATGATGTAATGAATTTTGATTTTCCGTACGAAGTTTGATGTGCACAATTATGATGTTATTTCTAGCAAGTTAGAAGTAGTATAGTGGTCGAGCATGCGATGTTGCTTACCAAGTTTGTCATTGATCTCAGGGTGGTAAAGCTGATGTGTTAAAAATGCAGCAGGACAAGGAAAAAATGGAAAGAATGCAGCATGAAGGTATTAAATGAACTTCGTACCTGTCTATGAATAGATATATGCTTTCAGGATTATATATTTGTATGTACCTCTGTTATATGGACTCTTCAAAAGTAGTGAAGTATCCGTGTCTGACACGTATCCCTCGGACATGGGTATGGGATATGTGTCCGACAGTTTTGGTTGGACATGTACTTAAAAGCATATCCAATCATTCAATTACATTATATTATTCCTTTAAAATGAGTTAAATGCCTATATTGAACATTATATTAGATAAAAATATTACTTTACTCTAGAAAATAAAATAAAATAATTAATAAAATGAATATTTAGCCGTGTCCGTGTGTGTTTGAAGAATTGACACGTCCGATGCATGGATGCATACCCGTGTCCGACACCCGGTACCCGAGTTCATGTGACATAGGTTTGTGTTACTGATCTAACACATAATTCTCCCTTCTAAATATAATAATGACATTTCTTCTTAGATTTGAGTGAAAATTTGAAGGTCTAGAGGGTGGTTATGGACCTGTCATGCACAAAATATTTAATTCTTTAATCTATTTCAAGCTGGTTGGGAATTGATGAAACAAAATTTGAAGTGTATTATGATGGTATTACAAATAGAATAGAACAGAACAGAACAGAATTGGGACAAGGAAAATGTTAAAGTAGGATGTGAGGACCTTTTAAGCGTCTGGTTTATCAAATACCCAAATCCTAAGACACATGAACTTGTTAAACATTTATCTCTCTCTCTCTCTCTCTCTCTCTCTCTCTCTCTTGTGCACGCGTTGAGGGATGGAGGCTACAAGAGAACATGAAATCTGTCATCTAGTCTACTTTGGCAGCTTTAATTCATCCTATCATATTATTTTTATTTGAGTTTCTAGTCATTTTTGTTCTTACTATGAGGTGCTTCTCTTTTTATGGAAAAGCTATAGAAAGTTCTGCAACTTTGTTTTTAACTGGTAATTTTACTGTTCACAGAAATGTTAAGAATTCAAGCTGAAATCAAGGCTGCTGAAGCTGCCTCGCGACTAAGAGCAGAAGCTGAACTGAAAATGCAGCGGGAGAGAGAAAGAGAAGCTGCCCGACTTGCACTAGAAAAGGTATGTCTATGTCTCAGTATCTCTTTCATGTAGATGTTCAAATTTGTTGAGACACCTCTATTACAAAAGGGATCTTACCTGTTGTAAATCTTACCCCCATTCAGGTAGAGAAGAGCGTGGAGATTGATGAAAATTTGAAGATCTTTAAAGATCTTGAGATGCTTTGTGGGTGTTCGCCATTTGGCCGCTTCTGTAACGCGTTGGAACAGCTCGGTTTGTATATAAAGGAAGAGTACCTGGTGGGTGAGAACGAGGATATATATTCATAAATCTGAAAACTCTTTCTTTTGTCTGTCATTTTCACCAACTCTGATTGTATATTATTGTTTAGTGGAGTGGGGAAAAAAAGGTTGGGTGTAAATGATGATATTCTCAGTGAGGGATTGTAGATGAGGCAAGAAAAATGTTGCAATATAGATGAGTGGAACTTATTAGGTGGGACATTGGTTTCTCATCCCCATTTTCTGAGAGGGGATGTATTTGGATTTAGGGATATTGGAAACTGTTTATAATATATAGCTATAGCCTGAAGAGGGGGCTTCCATTGAGTTTCATCTCTATGACTCTGTTGTATTATCAATGCAAAGTTGATGTTACCATTTTTCAGATTATGCGACTGCTTTTCCCTGTACTACTATTTGATTTTGATACAAATATTATATATAGTACGGTCTTAAGCTGCCGTCAGAAGCCATCACAATCTGGTCTCAATGTTATTAGGTCTGTCGTTCCATTTTGAATTTTCATGGTGACTTAATGTTTTCTTCTTTATTTCTGCTATTTCAAAATTATGGTTAACAATTTATGCCTAAACTCATTAAACTGCTCAAGTCGATCAATTAAAATTAGGGTAAAGTATAATCACACCTCCTGAGGTTTGGCAAAAGGACACTCAGAGGAAACTTACCTGTTTTTTGGACAAAAATACCCCTGAAGGTTCAAAAATGGACAAAGATAACCCTTTATATGAAAAATTAACCAAATTACCCTTTGACCATTTAAGAGACTTTTTTAACCTTACAATTTAATAAATTGGACCAATCTACCTTCATGAATAATTTATGCATAAAAAAAAGTAAAAAAAAAACTTTATATTGTTTACTTTTTTTTTTTTTTTGGTTATTTATTTTATAAATGTCCCAACTTCTTAAGAATGTAGACGTCTAAAATGATTTTTTAATTTAATACATATATTTCAAATAAATTATATTTTGTTATTAATTCTTTTCTTTTTCTTTTTTATTTTTAAATTAAGATACTTAATTCTTTCATCTAAAAAAATTAAATCAATCTCTTTTCCTTAAAAATAAAAAATATGGTACCAGTATAACTTTATGCATCTTAAATTATATATCAAATATTATGCGTTTCCCAACATAAAAGAAAATAGGTACCAGTATAACTTTATTCATCTTAACTTTATGCATGCCTTCTTTTTTTTTTTTTTTTTTTTTCCTTTGTTTTATTGTTATTTTTTTCCCTTTGTTTTATTATTATTTTTCCCTTTGTTTTATTATTATTATTATTTTCCTTTTATGTTAGGAAATGCATAATATTTGATATATAATTTAAGATGTATAAAGTTATACTGGTATCATATTTTTTATTTTTAAGGAAAAGAGATTGGTTTAATTTTTTTAGATGAAAGAATTAAGCATCTTAATTTAAAAATAAAAAAGAAAAAGAAAAGAAGTAATAACAAAATATAATTTATTTGAAATATATGTATTGGATCAAAAATCATTTTAGACGTCTACATTTTTAAGAAGTTGGGACATTTATAAAGTAAATGACAAAAAAAAAAAAAAAAAATGAACAATATAAAGTTTATTTATTTATTTATTTATTTTTTATGCATAAATTGTTCATGAGGGTATATTGGTCCAATTTATTAAATTATAAAGTTAAAAAAGTCTCCTAAACGGTCAAAGGGTAATTTAGTCAATTTTTCAGATAAAGGGGTGTCGTTGTCTATTTTTGAACCTTCAGGGGGTGTCTTTGTCCAAAAAACAGGTAAGTTTCTTCTGAGTGTCCTTTTGCCAAACTTCAAGAGGTGTGACTGTACTTTACCCTTAAAATTAAATCATTTGGGCACTCAATTTAAGTGAGTGGGTTAATAACGGGTAAAAAGTAGGTACCCATTACAATTCAAGGGTTAATAGTGGGATAAAATTTAAGAGTGGTACCACTTTTCTCTCTCTTCTGTAAAAAAAAAGAGGTAATTACACTTACCTCCCCTGGGGTTAGGGGTAATTATAGGCGGTACCCCTTACGTTTAAAAAATTACACCGCCCTCCCTTAAGGTTTGCTCCATCGTAACATTTAGCCCCCTCCGGTGAAAGTCAACGCCGGTCAATGATAATTTCTAATGACATAAGCTATTTTTAACTTTGTAATACCACATTTGCCCTTCTTATATTTGCAAGGACATTTTATCCCTTACTTTTGAATTGACAATTACTCATATATCTTCAATCAATAGAAAAACAATCAGCCTTTATTTTTATGTCAATGGGAAGACAATCTTAATCAACAAGATCGCCCCGGAATCCATGGAGGGCCCATGTCACCGGAATCCATGGATCCACATAGTCGTTGATGACGATGACAACATTGAATAAGTGAAATTTATGTTACCGATAAACCCATGTATATATCCAAAACCACCTATTTTCAAAATCCCCGCAAAACAAACACACTGGTGTTTGTTAACTCATTGAATTAGTAGTAAGTACAAGTGGAACTTGGTTAATTCATTAAAGGATTTATACCCACCACGAACCACATATATGTGCAAGGATTTTTATTGTCTGTAATTAGGCCTAATCTCGAGGGATTTTTACTGTTGAGCATCTTCTCTTAATCTACCCTCTCTGTAACCTCTTTACGAGATTTATCAATGGACAATCTCCATCATAATTGATTACATATACATTTAATTTTTTATTTTATTTAATTAATTATTTATTTATTATTATTATTTTTACCCTGGCAAAGAGATTACATAAACATTTAATTGATTACAATCACAATATCCACAACAGTCATTATCCATAAAATGCAATAGCAGACCTTCACCACTGAACAACCACTATACAACTCCATCAACGATATAGTTATCCATGAAAAATCAGTACTTAGTGAGGACAATATGTGACTGCAATATCAAGGTTATAACATGATTGAATCACTTGTATTAGAATCACCAAAACCAGTACAACACACAAACCTCGCAAGCATGGATTCGAATTCAGAACTCAAAGATTGGGGATTCAGAAAAAAATGCCATCCATCATCGTTGTTGTTTTTGTTGGGAAACGTGCTTGTGGAAGCCTCCATTTGATGAGAACATAAACCCTAATTTTCTAGAGAGAGAAAATATATTCCTATTTCCTTCTCATAAAAATCACCCCCAAAATATACATAGACCATGTATATATATAGGCAACAAAAAGATAAAGAAAAGGAAATAATAAATCCTTCACAATCTCTAATTCACGTGTCTCAAATCTAATATGATTCCAATATCAAGTTGGGCTATGAGTGAGAATCCTTTGGGCTTATTATTTTATTGGCTATAATGAATTAATAATTAGCCCGGTCCATGGACCCAATTCAATTAATTCATAAATTAATTTCTACTCTACTAAAAGAAATTAATTGAACTCCAATTAAATAATAAATAACCTCTAAGTCAATGTTGCACATTGACCCCTCTATGCATAATTAGTTATCGGATAAATAAAGCCATCAATCCGACTACTTAATTAATATATTTATTTTGGTACCATTGATTATTTCTGGCTTGATCACAATAAAACATTTGTTTGACAAAAATAATAATTTAAATAAATAAATATATAATAAATCATTTTGTCTAAAAACACACGAAGGCCTTCGAATTTACTTTGTGATCAACCATAATCAATACAAAATAAATACAAGTAGCAATGATGCAAATATTGAAAATATAACCCTCTAACTATTAATTACATAACTACCCAAAGTGTCGGTCTAAGGATCCCAAAGTATCCGCCGAACAAATCAAAGTAATTATTAATTAATAAAAGAGTTTATAATTTTCTCATGCTTAAGAGTCAAATGTCATGATGGTGATAGGGAGCAATTGCATACGACGGCTCTCGCAATATACATCTCAACCTAACGCGGATCCAGTTCAAGTCTTAATTAATTATGAGTCCATCCATAATTACCGACTATGAACCATTTATGATTACTATTTATATTCATGTATGGATCGCCATCACATACATATATAAATATCTCTTGTAATCAAATGGACACTATCAATTCTATAATGTATCGAAACATAATACATTGAATTCATCAATTGTATAAAGTATAAATATTTCAGAAACGTCAGGAACATATGTCACTATAATCCAAATGGGAATTTGCTATGCCAGGGCATATAAATCCTAACAGTTTTCTCCGCCGCCGGCTTGCCAAAGAGATTAAGAAAATCATCGCATCCCTATCACAATTTATTTTTATCTTTGTAAATTTGTATAAGGCACCTCTTACAGTTACATACACGTTTATGTCTCTATATAATATACTCCGTATATATATACACACACGATCTATATACATATATACAAATATATATACTGGTCCATCTCTAGATGATTAGATCTATATGCATCACTGCAAATCGTCACACCGATCGATTCAATCAGAACAATCTATCGAGCCAAACCCACACAGAGAGCATCACTTTCCCCGAACTCTCCAGCGCCTCAAGAATCGCCTCTTCAGTCACTCTGATGACTCCACCGAGCTCATCTATCTCCGAAAAGAGAGAGAAACTGAGCAGAAGCGCTACCTTACTTGCTGGGACCTGATCTGGCATGGATTCGTCTCCGTCGTCGGCTCTATCATCTTCCCCTCACCTGAAAAGAAGCTCACAACGCTGCTGGACCCCTCCATCGTGCTCTCGTACGCTGCATCTGGCATCTCTGCGCTGTTATCCCTATTCTGTCAGGATAAAAGAGTAATTTACTACCACATTAACATTAGTAATATAATATAGAGGGTATATTAGTATATTCACACAAATTTATAACATAACTCACCGGCGATCACATTAAAGGGAGGTTAGTGTAATTTTTGAAACGTAAGGGATACTGCCTGTAATTACGCCTAACCTTAAGGGAGGTAAGTGAAATTATCCCGTAAAAAAAATTATAAACAAATTTTTTTTTTTTTTTTGTTCGTATTCAACAATCATAATAGTAATAAGGTATAATGCAATAAAACCCCCTGAACTATTGGGCTATTGCAAGAAATCCCCAGATTGAAATGGAAGAAAATATTTTTGTACCTAGCTTTAATACAATAAATTTTGATGAAAATCAATTTGGGAAAAAAATAAATGGACAATTTTAATCAACATAAATGGGCATAAGCGCATTTCATATTAACAAAGTCACGGGTCAGAATTGAAAACTCTGCAAAGTCTAGATTTCATTTTAATAGGTAGACGCGAATTTAATCTTGTTCTCACCAAGGTTATTTCTTTTTCTCTATGTGCATATTTTCATGGTAGGAGTAGATTTGCTAGAGAACTTGAAGTTATTCGATTCTGAAT